TTCTTGCCACCGCTTGTGTGGTCAGGCACAAGGCTACTGGAAGGGGTGTGAGGTGGCAGTAAGGGGCAGGGGGTGGATGACAGCTCAACGCAGGGATCTCACCCAGTGGCCTGACGACACCGATGGTGCATTCGTCTTCGATGCATGCTCCATTCAAGGTACTCAATGCCTCCTCCAATTCCTCCTCCAAGGGTTTATGGATCTCAACCCATCGCCTGGAACGAGTGTGTTCTTCACATTACCAAGCCCTTTGGACCACCTATACCCATTCCTTTTGCTAACTTGCTCTCCTGTCTCCCCCTTGCAATTTTTCCAGCGGCAGATGCATCAGTGCCTGACAGCTGTGCGCTGCTGGGACGGCCATGGGGCCCAGATGCGTGTGTGCTGCTGCATGGGTGCAGCATAGGAGCTGTGGTGAAGGCAGAGGGGTGGGGCGCATGGAACTCTGCGACTGATGTTTCTCGTCCTCGATTCCTCGAGTGGGAGTGCATCGGACCCCGTGCTTCATTGGCTCATGTACGACAACAGTCTATGCTTCAGTCTTGCTATCACAGCCCACACACAATTCAACTGTTTGGCACTTACAACATGTACGGTACTTCTCATGTCCACCCTCTTAGCATCTCCAACCTTCCTTCATTCTCATTCACATTTATTGCACGTTCTACCGTACCTGTGTTGCCAGAGAATCATAGGGCGGCAGGCAACACAAGAAGAGGTGGACAAGATGGTGCCTGAGAGTGTTTTCTTCCAAGACTTGCCAGGTTTCCCTGCTTCCACACCATTACCGTCAGCCCCCGGATAGAAGCTCCCCTGGGGTATAAAAAAACACTTTTTTAGGGGGTGCGCTTATAATCGAGGAATTTTATAAGCCCCGGCGTTTAGGTATAAAATGGCAAAAAGAATTTCTATCTGTTTTACATCAAACTGTAGATCTCGTTCTGCCGAATGTAATCGAGTCTGATTCTCGTGCAGCTTGGCAGGGGGTGATTCCCTGCCAACTCAAACTGAGAGAATGACAGCACATGCTGACTAGACGCGCAAAAAGTGAGATCAGAGTGTGGGAAATCGAATTTGTAGTTTGTTTACCTGATAATGTGAAATTTGTTTCTGTATTTCGTCAGGTTTTCAAATGAAAAACCAACATGCGCATATAATAAATCATTTTTTTTAGGAGTTGGGCTTATAATCTAGGACCGGATATAAGCGCCGTCATCCTTTTACGGTATAAGCGCCGGCGCTTATCCTAGGCCTGCGCTTCTATCCGGGGGCTTACGGTATCTTGATTCTCATTACTGTTTTCTACTATATAGCTGCACAGGATTGAATGATGTGGTAGTCATTCATGTATGGTTCATGTGAGCCTTTCCCTCTTCTGTTCATGGCACCATACCATACCATACCATGCATTGCATGCAGTAAAAAAATCGACCAACCCGACAAGCAATACCAGTAATAGCTACTGTGCAACTTATATACAGCTAGCAGGACCTCAATCGTGCAATACCCAAGCCAAGTTACTACCCGTGCCTTCAGATAAATCACCAAATCAACCCCACAAATTAAGCACATCCTTGAAGGATCTTCCAGCAAAAGCTGCGTGCACCTTTTGACCCCCAGCCCAGGGTCACCCATGGTACAACCCTCTCACTCTGTCCTGAATCGTCCTCCTCTCCTCCTGAGACACATCGGAGAAGGCATGTGATGGCAGGTGCTCCAGTGGTGGGCGGCAGTGCTGCGGCCGGCTGTCTGCCAGGTCATATGTGGCGCCGCGTATGGCCTCCCAGCGCGGGCCGCATGGCCGCTTCGTGGTAACCATCTCATATGCTGTCCGCAGCTGTAGGGAAGCAGGCAGAGGAGAGTGTGGGGTAAAAGGGTCAGGGTTTGAGGACTGCGAGGGGTGGACTGGACGGGGATCAAGCCTTGACAAACTTGAGCTGTGGTAGGAAGGGTGAACTGAAGAGTGTACAAAGGGAAGTTGAGCAGAGTAGGGCAGTCGCAGAGTGAGTCAGTACAGCAGCAGAGCGACTCACGTCCATGTCACGGAACCAGAAGAGGAAGGCAATGGCAGCAGCAGGCGCGCGGCCGAGGCCGGCAGTGCAGTGCACAAGCACAGTGCGTCCCCCTGACACGTGACGCTCTATCACCGCCACCATTCCTGGCAGCTGGTGCCTCAGTGAGTGAGGGTCGAAGTCCACCGCCTGGTGGGGACATTGATGCACACAGGGCCAGGTGGGAACAGAGGGCGGGGGGAGGTAAGGGGAAGGAGAACAGAGGAAGAGTCAATGAATTTTAATGGCACACGCTAGCAAGGAGAATGGGGGGATGTATGCGAGTTGAAGACCTCATGGGGGAAAGCCGCATGCGATAATAAATCCCGAAAATACACGCAACTGGTCAGGAAGAAGGAATGAGCATGGGAAACGTACGGGTCGGCGGTAGTGCCCGAGGCCGAGCTGGCGGCAGTGGTGTGTGATGCGGTGGATGTCGACGCCCCAGTACGCGATGTCGTGGTCCTGCTGCAGGTTCAGCACCACCGCCACCTCCTCCTCGCGCTGCAGCCGCTCTATGTCGTCCGGGCTCTGCGGCTGAGAGCCCACCAGCAGATGCTGCGCGATCCGCGTGTAGTACATGCCTGCACCACGTTGTGAGTGAGTTTTAGCGTGCTGAATTCCAGTCTAGACATACGAATCTAGAAATTTGCGCGTGATGCTGGTACTTGCATGAGAAGGTCTTGTGCTGCTGGAATTGGCAATCGAACAGCAATATCTCAGTTGAAGTAATAGGTTACGAAGTCACTCACATTCAAAGTACGTGAGCTTACCGAGGTGATGGTGATACTCGTAAGGGTTAGCCATGGCTCGTTTCATCCGCATGTTGTATTCCGACGACGGGATTACAATCCCTGTACTGTCCGAGTCTGACGTGTCCCCACCACCATTCAGCATGCCAGCAGCGGCGTCTCCGACGCTCAGACGGCTTTCAAAGCACGGGTGAATGGGGCTTAGGCTTCCTTCTAGAGTCGCAACAGTGGAGCTCTCCGCAACAAGACCGGGTGGAGAAGGAGCAGCAGATGCTGAGATTTGCGGGCCATGGGGCCTAGCAGTACGGTGGCTTGCGGCGTTGGAAGGTGGAGTAGACAGGGCTGCTAGATTCGCGGTGAACAATGAGGTGGTGCTGCTCAGCGCAATGCACGGAGACGGGAACATGCCGGAAATCAGGACGGGGACGGGAAGAATTATTTGTCGAGACTGCCTAGCGGTGCGTATTTCAAATGTAGGACTGGAAACGACTGACTGGGGAATCTCGTCGAGCTATACGATGACCATGAAAACGAGACGAAGTTTCCAGAATCAGGTGTGCCAGCACGTCGGTCGCGGCGGATCAACAGCAGTTTCCGCGGTGATTCTTAGTTCAACAATGTAGCCGCTCGGCCTCCCTCCACTACATACAAGTTGTCAGTCCCTTGCCTACTCTACCCTCCAGGAAGTAGAGGAAGACGAAGCAAGGTAATGCGGGAGTGTCGACACAATCCGCCGCAAACGGTGCAATCTCCGACGTGCTACGCTGGCGTGTGTGGAAATGGCTGCCTGTTTTTATAAGGCGAGGCTGCTGTGTTGGGCCGGAATGTGCCATGCTGTGCTGGTGCTGGTACACTCTTCTTGGAGAAGACAAGGGAGGTTTGCTGGAGAGACTCGCCTCATGCCTTGCATTGAAGCATTTCCCAATCCCAGAATCGTCAAGCACGAGGGTCATATTCCACCCTGAAAATTGCATGGCTGAGGTTTTGCATGACCGAGATTGGTTCCAGATGGAGGCACGAGGGCTGAGAATCAAAGGCAGCCACATATGGTGGGCGACAATGACGTGCTGCGAAGCGGTATGGGAGACGGATTGGAGTTCGCGAAAGGAGCAACGAAAGGCGACGGATGCAGTGCTGGCATATCCGCCTTATGCAGCCCCTATGAGCCACCGCCACAACGGATCCAATGAGTCACCTCCACGCGTGACTAGCGGAGGTCCAGCAAAAGATCGAAGAGCGCCACCTCATAGTAACCTGCAGCTTGCGTCATCCTACTGATTCCTCCAAGGTCGAGATGCGATACCACTATGTTGTAATCACTGTCATGGACAATAGGATCACAAATTACGAACATAGGACTTTGATTTGTTGTGCATCCGGTGTATTGTGGAACGTACACATACCTTGATGTTTTGAAACGAGGCTGCTACAAAAGGGGTTTCGACTCGTGCATTTGTTTCGAGATTGTCCCTTGACAACAATTCTATTTCATGCTCCCAACGGCATCCCATGATCGCCGCGATCTGCGGGAAATCATGAAGGCCAATGGTGCAAATGATCTGCGCGCCATTTCAGCTCGTCACCATGGTCTATGGCGTCCATCTCGCCACCAGTCTAAGCACATCGGGGTCGCAAATCCTGCATCGCATACGCATCAGAGAACTCGACTGACGTCAGTACGGCAGGATATTTTCGGCGCTGCGCCATGGAGTCCATCGCGGCGATTGCTGTGCATGGGCCGCGCGAGAGGCATACTGCTTGCTGTCACGGCTTTAGCTGCGCTGTTCGTACTTTGGCATTCGCACGTGGTGCCACGGTTATTCAGCCAAAAGGTAACTTACTCTCCTCAGCATTGTTTTTCTGAGACTTGCTCGATACTAATCTATTTCCGTCCCGTAAATCGTTGTTACCGTCACGATCTGTCCGTATCTTCCCCAACTACCCACCGTTTGCATCACAATTCCTTTCCATGTGGTGTTCGCCGTGTGTCCAGCCATCCCGTTTCCAGAGAACGTCAGCCACTCCACCCGCGTCCAGCCTGCTTCTAAACCCTCCGCCAATTGTCACCGCGAATAACAAACCACCTGCCAATCCAACTCCAACCACTCTCCCTCACTCCTCCCAATTGTCCCCCCCCTCCACCAATTTCTCCCCCTCTCCCTCACTCACTCCTCCTCAAGCCCCTTCCTGCGAAACCATGCCCACTCTCCCACCATCCCTTCTCTCCCCTCTCCAAACCCCTCACCTCGCGCCAACCTCTGGGTGCAGCTGCTACCGAGTGCGCAACGTGTACTGCTGCAAGCAGGCCCTCTGCGTCTGCCACTCGCTCTGCTTCAACGGCTCCGCGCTCCTCTCCGCCCCCACCCCTCAGCCAACCTCAGGCAGAAACAGACAAATGACCGGATCTCTTCCCCCCCCCTGCCTTCCGCCTCAGTACACCCTGAACCAGATACAGCCATCCTTAGACGGAGCGAGCAGCAGCAGCAGTGGGATTACAGACGTGCTGTCTCCCATCCCCTGCAGTCGCAAGGCAGAGTTCGCTGCCTCTCTCAACATGGCTCTTACCGAAGCCCCCATCAGAGGAGGCCTGCATGCTGCCAGTGAGGACACGTGGCACAAGTGGGTTGGTCGGGGGGGAGGGAATAGGGACAAGGGAGGGTCGGCAGAGTGGCGGGATGGCAGCACGCTGCTGATACCTCTGGACGACCCCACCACCAACGTGGCTCACTTCATTGGTGCGTGCGCCATGCCACACCATACCATCGCTTCCGGTTGATCCAATCACCATTGTTGTTCTTTTCTTTGGCAGGCTGTTGGGATGGGTTGGATTCTAGTGCCTGTGCAACCCGTGCTGTCTTTTTTGTCTTTTAGGCTCCGTTGTTTGCTACTTCTCTCAAACATGCTTGTGCTTGCTAATGGGCATTCCTGCGTGAACCACCTCAATCTGGCTCCCTCCTTGCACATATGTGTGTGTGTGCATGTGTGCCTCCTTGGGCAATAATGGTGGTGTGTGTGTGGGGATGTGTGCACACATATGCGGTCATGGGCGTGTTTGTGTGTGCGTGTGTGCGCGTGCGGGGGAGGGGGGCTGTTGGGAGGATGGATGGGGGAGGGTCAGGGGGGTGTGAATGATGTGAGTGGCAGGGAAGGTGGCTCAGATACTGCTAGTCAACAATGCATCAACGCCCACGGCTCTTCCTCTCATCACACGATTCCTCCTGCCACGCACCCCTCCTGCTGCCTCCAGGTGTCTGCCTGCTGTGCTTTCCCCACGTCTCCCTTATCCAACGTTTTTCGTTTCTGCACAGCCTTTTCTGGCGTGTGTAGGAACTTTTTGAATTTCCTTTTCGTGTGCAGCATGCACAATCCACATCGTTCTCATCTGATTCACATCTTGCTCTGGTGGGCCCTCTTTGCCTTCCTTTGAACCTCCCTGTCCTCCTGTTCTCCCCGGTTGATATTCCTGACACGTTTATCCCTGTCTCTTAACCAGGATGAGGCAGCACGGCCAGCAGGGGTGGATCCCCTCCGTGCTCCACATGCTGCTGCGCATCGCCCTCGAGCCCCTCCTCAACCACACCGCTTCCTCCCATCACTTCCCGTCGCTCCCACGAAGCCCTCAATCTCTAGCCGATGCGATCTCGCCTGAAGTGTTAGTGGGAGTGTCCACTGGTGCAGCAGCAAGCACTGGTGCCAGCAGGGGTGGTTTGGAGGTGCTAGCAGGGGCGGTGGAGTTTGAGTCAGCATTCAGCAGGGCATCTGATGCACATCCCATGTGCTTCCATCGCCTTGTGCTGCCAGGCTACCTCAAGGTTCCCCTGCCTGCTCTCACACCTCTATCCTCTCTCCTCTCCACCCCACTGCCTGCACTCCCTTGTGATTCCCTTCCGCACGTGTCGCTCATTTGTTCATCTCCCTGCAATTGTTTTCCCTTATTCCAAGCACGGTATGTTAGTTAACCTTGATGTTACCAAAATCCGATTGTATTTTCCCTTGCTTTGCTGCATTGCATGGGCTGCACTCAGCACAATCGTGAAAACAATCCACCTTTACATTCTCTTGGCTCTCTCTGAAACTCTTGCAGGCCATCACCTTCCCAGGGGGCATGGAGCAGGCGGACATGTTCAAGCACCGCCTCAAGAAGGCCTTCCCCCACCCCGGCCCCGACCCCTTCTGCGCTCTGGCGTCTCCCGACAATGCCTCTGTGGGAGATGCGTCTGCTGGGAGCAGTTCAGCTGATGGTGCCACTGTTCGCCTGCTGTACATCACTCGCAATGCATCGCTCACACGCGGCCGCCGTGTCATGAGTGAGGAAAGCTCGAAAGCTTTGCTCAACCTGTTTCACCAGCTGAACTTCCAGGTGTGTGCCCTATCTACCATGATGTGGCTCTGTCACTTCTCTGGCCGTCCTGCTGCTTTATTAGTGCCCAGTGGTACCTTTTCCCTTCTCCCTCCCACTTCCTCCCATACTGCTTCCTCTCATACTTCTGTCCCCCAGTTTCTCCCATTCCCCATTATGCTATTCCCCTATTTTTCGATGGGGCCCGCTTCCCCTATCTCCAATTACCGCCAACATATCGGTCTTCCCCATATCCCGATCCTCGCCCGTTTCCCTTCCACGCCCTCCAAATCCCACAACCCTCTCTTCTTGCTCCCCTGTGTGCTGGCCCACCAGGTAGTCCAAGTGGAGTTCACGCCGCTCACCTTTGTCCACCAGCTGGCTCTAGTGCAGGCAGCAGACATCATCGTCTCCCTGCACGGCGCGGGCCTCACCAACCCCGCATCATGTGCTCGCCCCTCGCCCCTCCTATCCCGGTCCACCAGGTAGCCCAAGTGGAGTTCACCCCCCTCACCTTCGCCCACCAGTTAGCATTGGTGCAGGCAGCAGACATCATCGTCTCCCTGCACGGCGCATGCCTCACCAACCCAGCCTCCTTTGCTCGCTCCGACTCCGTTCTCCTGGAGATTTCTCCCTATGGAGTCTTCTACAATCTGTACTATTTCATGGCGGTGAATGCTGGGGTGACCTACATGCTGCACCAGTGCACAGCCGGACCTGCCCCCATGCCTGCTAAAGATGCAGAATTTCAAGGTGTAGGTCCGTTTCCGTGTGACCATGACCCGGCATGCAAGCAGTACCGGACTCACGACCGGGCGGTGAATCTGGGAAAGAAAGACATTGAGGAGTTGGGGTATCTGCTGGCAGTGGCTCGGAGATTGATAACGGATATGAGGAAGAAGGGGAGACGTGAAGGAGGAAGGAGGCTACGGCGTACATATGGGAAACTGTGCGCGTCCAGGAAGAGGAATAAGGATTGTAGGATGAATTTGCTGAGGTCTCCAATTGCAGATTCAACGTATGAATGTGTTGTTTCAATGGAATGTCCCTATGTTTCCTATTGACGTGCATTGTCAGGTGAAGAATAACTGAAATCCGATTCTTGTATCTTGAAAAAAAGGTTCACCTTAGCGACGGGTCACAGGGATAATCGTAAAAATTGACTGGACCCTGACTGGACCCATTATAGCAAGAGGCAATACAAAGGATGAAAACATAGGATGCTATGCACAAAGGAATACAAACGCAAATTGCAATACCTTAAGTGTCTTGAAAGGAACCTGCAACCTGCAACCCGCACCCACACAAACAAGACAGGATTTAGAGCCTGTTCGCACGTTCGCGTTTGGCAAGTAGGCGAGCAATATAGACCACAGCTGGGGAGGGATCAGTTACTGGCTTGGTGGCTCGTAAGAGCCGAGTAAGCAAAGTGGAATCAGCTTCGATCATAGGGGAAAATGTCCTCATTTCCCTCCACCAACATGCTCGTCAGACGAATGACATTATCAAACAAAGAGGGCCCGAAAGACGAGGACGCGGAGGGTAAGGAAATAGAAGAGGCGGACAAGTCTCATCGGATAAATCCCTTGATGGTCCACATACGCAGGCTGTAAGCCTAGCATTCGGACTCTTCCTATCATACAAGAATTTCGTCATCTGAGGCACTAATCCGACACAAGAAACTATCAATAAAACGTGAACAGAAGCATAATCGCTGCATCAGGGCTAAAAAGCTCTTTGAGTCAACAGTATATTTCTGCGTTGGATGTATTCTGATGCATCATGTGCAGGAACGAGAATGCAGGAGAATCACCTCTATCAGAACGAACTGTCAGTGCAAAATTGAGGAAGGAGCCAGTGAAGTAACCGACTCTTCCTGTCTTAGACACTAATCCGACTCAAGAAAAGTAGGTAAAACTTAAACAGAAGCAGTGTCGCTGCATCAGGGTTAAAAAGCTCTTGAGTTATATCAACAGTATAGTTCTGCGTTGGATTTTACTTTCATCATGTGCAGCAACGAATACGAAATAAAATGAAATGGTGAGTGCGACGTCAAGAACGGGGAAGGAACGGGATCAGGTACTGGCTTGGTGGCCCATTGATGGGCCAAAGTAGCACAGTTGAATCAGCTTCGATCATGGGGGAAAATGTCATCAATTCCCGTTCCCAACAATCACCTCAAATCCTACTCACGAAAAAAAATACGCCTTCGACAGGCATGCGTAAGATCATTGATGACTTACATTCAAAACCGAAGAGGCTCACTCCACTCCACGCGCTACGGGAAGTGCGTCACATAGCTGCCGATGACAGTCTAGTTTGGAAGCCCCATCACGATGCGCCTAGACTACACACAACCCCATATGAAAGAAACGTGGGATGTTGGAGAAGAGCTGTCTGTGACTCGCGTTGGCCTTTATACCTAAGGATTGGGTTGGGATGGTAGGAGACAGCCATTCTCCAAGCTAGTTTATTGGAGCGAGAATTGGATTGCTTCTTGGAGGCAGTTTTGGGCTTTGCAAAGAGCCCTACCAGTTCTGCAACGACTCTTTGATTTGCTGAAAAATAAGATACTGAATACGTTTCGGGTTGCAAAAAGACTCCTTTTGACGGGGATTGATCAGGGAGCTTCCTGGGAGGTTCAACTGGCATAGCAACCAGCTGGTTACCCGACAATTTACAAGCGAAGTCGTGTTCGCCAAAACAAAATGTTGTGAAAATCCTTGCGAGTGTACAGTACTGGTTTCCAGCCCCTGGGAGCCTCGGTGCTTCGATATAAGTAGGAACGCCACTCACTAGTTCCCTCCCCATTGTCTGCCGTTTACTTGTGTCCACCAGCTTTTTCACGCTCCCTAATCGATCAATCCACATGCAGTCCAAGGACGAACCGCAGCTGTCGGATCTCCTCCTCCCGTCATCGCTACCGTTCAAGCGCGTGCAGCTGGAGGAGAAGTACCCGCGCGGGTCGCAGGTGCGCGGCGGGCGGCACTGGAAGCACCTGAAGCAGATCCTGCAGCCGCACAACCTGCACGACCTGCCGCCCGACGAAGCCAATTGTGCGTCGCTCTTCGCCTCTACCTCGGGATTGCCGCGCTGCGCTTCTGCTAGTTGCTGCCCTAATCAACGCCGGCTTGGATTCTTCATGAAATATCCCATTCTCACGCCACCTCTCCGTGAGCCGTGGCCCCTCCGCGCAGCTGTTCCCCCGGTTCCCTGGCCTCTCGCGCTTTGAATTAAGGCCTTTCCACTTTAGATCATCAGGTCCTACCATAAGATGATTCACAACCCCCCCCCCCCCCCCTCCCTTCTCCCCTCCCCATTCGCTCAAACCTTCCCTCCTCTTCCCTCTTTCCCTTCCCCTTCCCACTCCCCCATCTCCTCCTCTCCCCGTTTCCCCCTTCCCTCCGCGCGCGCGCGCAGACGTGACGATCGAGGCGCCGCCGTCCATGTACCCCGCTAAGAAGTACTGCGATATAACGGGGCTCGAGGCGCCCTACACGGACCCGCACAGCAAGCTGCGCTACGCCAACCCTGCCGCCTTCGCCATCGCGCGCTCCCTCCCCCACCCGCACGCGCAGGCCTTCCTCGCGCTCAGAGGCGCGCAGACCATCGTCAAGTGACTGTCGGGGGCTCGTTTTAGCGTTTCCTCAGCCGGCCGTCAGCTTATGCTGGTATTTTAAGCCGCTCACAGTCACTTACAGTCGCTCACAGTCGCTCGCAGTCGCTCCATCGCTCAATCGCTCACATTCTCTCAAAGTCGATCACAATCGCTCGCGGTCACCCTCTGTCATTGAAACAGCTGCCAGCAACAGTCTCAACTTGCCATGGCGATGTGTCTGCACCACCAACCTCTCTTGCCATCGCCAGCACCATCGCCACTGGCAGCGACAGCAACGCCGTTACTAGCCACGGCATGGCGGTCCAGACAAGCACACGCACTGTCGCAACCTTCTAGGCGGCCCATGCTCGCACTTCCGCCAGCCTGCTCAAGAAGGTCGCGAAGCAGGCTCGATTCAGCACTGCACTTGCCTCTCAAGCTTCCTTTCCAGGCCTCTTGCCGGAGCGCGCTCTTTGGTCTCTCTCCGTTGGTCCCAGACAGGCCGACTGAGCGATTCTCTGGGTCTCTCGGGCACTCTCCCTGCCACAGCCTCGCATCTCTCTGCTGCCGCTACACTGCTGCGCGCTGTGCCAGGGCTAGGCGTGGCCTTGCTTCTCGAGCGGGTGGTGTTGCTACAAGCGGAGGAGGGGACAGCGTAGGCGGTGTGACTCTAACGGATGTGATAGAGTCGGGTGTGGGTGGGATGGAGGGAGAGCGGAGGAGGGACGGGGTGGGGTCTGGTGAGGACAGGGTTGGGAGAGGAGGGGTGGGGTCGGGGTCTGGTGAGAACAGGTTTGGGAACGGAAGCAGGGTGGGAATGGAATCTGTCATTCCCAAGGTTGTGTGGGAGCTCGAGCAGGAGACAAAAGACCTGCTGGAGTGGCCAATCGTGTGCCGCCAGGTGGCACGATTCGCAGACACAGTGATGGGGTACAGAGAGGCGGAGGAGGGGCGGCTGGCAGTGGGGCGCACGTGGGAGGAGAGCCAGGCGCTGCTGCTGCAGACGGAGGCAGCGCTGCTGCTGCCGCGGCGGCTGGATTTCAACGGTGCTGTGGACGTGGGTGGGTTGCTCTCTCGGCTCCACCGCAGTGCTGCTGCTGTCGCGGCTGATAATGCTGCTGCTGCTGCTGATGTAGGTGATGGTATCCCCGAGGCCGCTTCCTCTGGCAGTGATAGTGATGGTGATGGCAGTGACAGCGATGCCACTGCTGCTGCCACAGCTGCACCCGCCCCGGCCATGACCATAACCCCCTCGGAGCTCCTGTCAGTGGCATCTCTCCTGCAGTCAGGAATTGATCTAGGTGCATGCATCGGGTTGATCCCAGATGAAACTGGGATTTTGTGCCCCTCCTCTTCCTCTTCCTTCTCCTCCCCCACCCCCTCGCCTCTCGCTCCTCTCACGGCCCTCCTCTCCTCTGCTGCCACGTGTCCCCATCTCCTCCTCCGCATCGGCACCGCCATCAACCCGCGCCTCAAGTCCCTCGCTGACTCAGCAAGCGCTGAGCTGGCAGCCATCCGCGCCGCCAGGCGGGACAACCGGCGCCAGCTGGACGAATCATTGCAAAGAGCAGCGCGACGTGTGGTGGAGGGAGGGGGAATGGATGAAGCACAGGTGAGTAGGAGGAGAGGGAGGGGGTGCGTGGCGGTGAGAGCAGGGAAAAAGAGTGCTGTTACACCTGGGGGTGTTACTTTAGATGTTAGTAACACCGGAGCTACACTCTTTGTGGAGCCAGTAGAGGTTATCGAGTTGAACAATAACGAAGCAGAGCTGAGTGGGCAGGAGGCGGAGGAGGAGAGGCGGGTGCTGAGGGAAATGGCTGAGCAGGTGGCGGATTGTGCGCCGTTGATTCGGGATCTAACGGACAGGATCGTTGCACTGGACCTGGCATGTGCCCGTGCAAGGCATGCCCTATGGATGGGTGCCTCTCGTCCTGTCCTCCTTCCACCCACTCACCCTCTCTCCCATTGCCATGGGGATAACTTTTCAGGGGTAAATACGCCTGGGGACAGTGATACAGGGAGAAATACCCTTGCAGGGAGAGAATCCTACAAAATCGAATCTTACATGGTTGAGATTCGGGGGATACAGCACCCAGTGCTGCTGGAGATGTATCTTGACGCCCTCAGTGCTGCTCAGAGCAGGACGGGTAAAAGCACAGGTGCAGCAGACACCAGTGCAGTAGCAGCAACAGGAGGAGGACGAGGAGGAGCAGAAGCAGCAGCAGCAGCAGCAGCATCGCCCCTGCTGTCTCCCCCAGTGCCCATAGACCTGCTGGTGCCGGCCGGCGTGACAGTGGTGGTCATCTCCGGCCCCAATGCGGGCGGCAAGACCGCCGCCCTCAAGACCCTCGGGATTGCCGCGCTCATGGCCAAGGCAGGGCTCTTCCTGCCCCTGGCGGGGGACGTGGAGGGACAGGGAGGAGGAGAAGAGCAGGCAGGGGTGGCGGAGAGTGGGGGAGAGAGGGGAGGAGAGACAGAGGCCGAAGGAACAGGAGAGAGCACAGGGAGTGGGGCGAGGGGGCGGGTGGCGGTGGTGGCGTGGTATGACCGCGTGGTGGCGGACATTGGAGACGAGCAGTCCTTGGAGCAGAGCCTCTCCACCTTTAGTGCCCACATGCGCCAAGTCTCCCGCATCCTCCTCGCCTCCTCTCCCTCGTCCCCTTCCTCTCCCTCCTCGGCCTCCTCCCCTTCCTCTTCCGCGTTATCTTTCTCTTCCCCCTCCTCTTCCCCCTCCTCTTCCCCCTCCTCTTCCCCCTCCTCTTCCCCCTCCTCTTCCTCCGCCTCCTCCTCCCCTTCCTCCTCGTCTCTCATACTCCTGGACGAGGCGGGCAGTGGCACGGACCCATCAGAGGGAGCGGCGCTCGCAGCGGCCATTCTGAAGCACCTCGCAGGCTGCAATGGGCTCACACTCGCCACCACTCACTACGCTGACCTCAAGAAACTCAAGGTAGGGTGGGAAGACAAGGTGCGTCTGTCAGGGTTTGAGACGTCTCAAAGTGGGATCTGTCTTTGAAACAGGCTGCAATGGGCTCACACTCGCCACCTCTCACTACGCTGACCTCAAGAAACTCAAGGTAGGGTGGGAAGACAAGGTGCGTCTGTCAGGGTTTGAGACGTCTCAAAGTGTGAGACGTCTTGAGATAGGGTGCAATGGGCTCACACTCACCACTCACTACGCTGACCACAAGAAGCTCAAGGTAGGGAGGGAGGGAGAGTGGAAGGAAGGGAGAATGGGAGGGAAATAGAAATGTTGAAGTGCATGTCTAGTTTTGAGAGCTGTCACTACTGGCAGGGTGCCATGGGCTCACTCTCGCCACCACTCACTACGCTGACCTCAAAAAACTCAAGGCATGCAACGGCCTTCCATGGTACCTCCCATGCGCTCTTCTCTGTCTGACCAGTCTTTTAACAACCCCCTCTTCCGTTCACCTTCCTGACTCCGTCCCCTCCTTCCTTCAGGCGGCTGATTCTCGGTTTGAGAACGCCAGTGTGGCGTTCGACCCGGTCTCCCTGCGGCCCTCCTTCCACATCCTCTGGGGTCTCCCCGGCACCTCCCACGCCCTCTCCCTCGCTGCCTCCCGCGGCCTGCCCCCCTCCCTCGTTGCCAGAGCCGCCAGGCTTGCCCGTGCTGCGAGTCTGGAGGCAGGTGCGGATGAGGAGAGGGAGGAGGAGGGGAGGGAGGAAGAGGAGGGGAGGGAGGAAGAGGAGGGGAGGGGAATAGGGGAGAGAAGGCAAGGGGGAGAGAGTGAGACGGACGAGTATGCTACCCTGGGAGGTGGGAAGGGAGAGGGTGAGGAGGTGGGAATACTAGCATCACTCAAGCAGCAGTGGCAGCGGAACGTGGAGTACGCGAGAGAAGCAGCAGAGGCAAGGCAACAAGCAGAGAGGCTGCTGAAAGACCTGCAGGCGCACTATACCAGCAGGAGCACCACACAGCAGGGCCAGCAGGAGCAGCCTCTGCCTGTGAGGGAGGTGCTGTGGAAGAGAAGGTATCAGAGGGACGTTCAGGAGGAGGTCTTGGCAGCAAGGGAGGAGATTTCCCGTGTTGTTGCCGCTTTTCAGGAAGCCTCCCTTGCTGGTGTTCCGGAGCGGGCGGCGTCGGACCAGGCCTGTGCTGACGTGGCAGCGGTGGCGGCTTTGACGGGCCTCTCTCCCGAGGCTAACCCTGCTATAGGTTCGGATGCTTCGGTTGGTGGCTCGGCGGGAGACCCAGGAGGGGCGTACTGGGTTCCTGCTCTGGGAGAGCCTGTGTATGTGAGGAGGTTCGGCACCAGCATGCGTGGTACGGTGGTGGCAGTGGGCGGTGGTTCGGGAGAAGCCTCGGCAGAAACAGCAGGTGCTCGGTCTGTGATGGTTCAACTGGGAAATCTGCGATTGCAAGTGCAGAGAGCAGACCTCCTTCCCGCCGCCGATGGCAGTGGTGATGGTGGACAGAGCAGGACAGATGGAGAGGCAGGAAGGAGGGGGGGAGCAGGAGGACTGTTTGGCAGCCAATGGGAGCAAGATGACGACAGCAACAACAACACCAACTCAAATAAGACTCGTGTCTCGAAGCGTGGCGGTCAGTTCCCCTCCCCGTCCTCCTCCTCTTCCTCCTCTCTGCCAGCAGTCAGAGAGGCAGCGGTACAGACAGCGCGAAACACAGTGGATGTGAGGGGGCGGAGTGCAGAGGATGCATTAGCAGCGGTGGATCTAGCAGTGCAGTCCAGCCCGCCTGGTGCTGTGCTCTTCATTGTGCATGGGCTTGGGACCGGGGTGCTTCGGGCAGCTGTCCTGAAATATCTCTCGGGCAGCCCGCTGGTTTCGCGGCACGAGGCGGAGAGTAGGTTGAATATTGGGTGTACTATAGCATATATTGGGTAAGTAGGATTTGCAGTACAGTTGGCAGTGCTATGGGTGGACATGTGCCCTCCCTTGGTCTCCACAGACCATGTCAGCATTGCCTGATAGTATTCCACATTGTGTCAAGCTGACTTGTGCCCACAGGCACGCCCCATGGTTACGCATTCTTGAGCTCAGCAGAGAACGGTTGGTGGGTGGGTGCAATACGGTAAGAAGCAACGTCAGAGCCTGGTGTGCAGAGCAGCCCTGATAACCGGAAGTAGACATGAGCACAAGGGCGAACCGAACATGTTTGTTTTTTTTGCTTAAATTGTTCGCCGAACAGTGTTCGATGTTCGCCCTGTTAGGCTGAAAAAACCCTTTAGGATCTTTGCAGGGGTGAACTCTGGGTAGGGTTGGTGTAGTAGCGGAAGCGTTAATTAAAGAGTTGTGAACCGCCTTGCACTAGTATGTGAGGGCAAAGTAAGTTGATGATAATAAAAGAGATACAAGCTTTTATAAGAATACAAAGGAATATGAAGAGATACAGTTAACTGTTTTACTGTTGCTGTTGCGGTTCGATACAGTGTCGACTCGGGCAACTGCTCAGTATCGAGACAGTTGGTTGTCCTTGCTGTCGCGCTGCATTTGTCAGGTCAAAGGTCGCTGACCTTTGACTTTCGCGTAACCTCCAACAGTTATTCAACCTCCGAGGGTTGACTCACCGATATTTCGATACGAGCTATTTCGCTTCTGTCTTGGTGTTTCGACACGACAGAGGCGCCTAAATCAGTTGTTTCCAACACTCCCCTTCGCTTCTGGAGTGTCGCTGACGTGGCTCTGTCCAGTCAGCAACATGCAGTATTCGAACTTCTGCTTTCCGAGCTTCTTGGTCAGGTAGTCAGCTGCCATCTCAGACGTGGGACAGTATGACAGCTCGAGCCTTCCCTTCTCGATCTCATCCTTCACGAAGAAATATCGCAGGGCGATGTGTTTCGTCCTGTTTGCGAAGCCGTTCTTGTTGGCGATGCGAATTGCTGACTGGTTGTCGCAGAACAGGGTAAAGTTGGGTAACTCGGCTAACTTCGCTTCTTCCAGCAGCTCGCGAAGATAGAGTCCTTCCTTGGTGGCTGAGCAGAGTGCAATATATTCTGCTTCAGCTGACGAGAGGGCAATTAATTCCTGCTTGCTCGACTGCCAAGAGATAGGTCCGATAGGTTCGAGGCGGTAGATGTAGCCGGTGCGGGAGCGCCTATTGTCGGATTCGCCAGCGTGATCAGCGTCGACGTAGCCGATTAACTTAGTCGGTGTGGTTGCGTTCTTGTAGTAAGTTAGGCCAATCGTTGGGGTGCTGACGAAGTAGTGAAGAGTGCGGTCGAGCTCCGCCAGATGTTCTGCTTCAGGCTTCTTGAGGTAGGTGGCGAGCTGGCTTGCGGAGTATGAGAGGTCGGGGCGACAGGTGACGGCTGCGAAGAGAAGACATCCCAGCTTCTTCTGGTAGTCTCGTATGCCGGCGGGCTTGAGTAGAGCGGAGCTTCCTTTGTCGTTCCCTGCCGTGTAGCGGTATGGCGTGGAGATGGCTGTTGGTGTGAGCGTAAAGCGTTTGGCGATGGTGTCGGCATATTTCTCGGCGCTGAGGTAGATCGCGTCCTCCTCTTCCCGGATGTTGAGGCCGAGGTACTGAGTGACGGTAGATGAAACTGTGAGCGTGAGATCTCGCTGCAGCTCCCCTTCGAACCAGGTAGTGATGCCGTCATTCGAGCCGATGTAAAGGAGATCGTCCACGTAGACGATTAGTAGGATGTAGTCGTCGTTTTTTGTGAGCCGGTACATGCCTTGATCGTGCGGTAGTTGCTTGAAGCCGATGCGGATGAGGCGAGTGTGCAGGTACTGTTGCCACAGTCGCGGAGCCTGCTTGATGCCGTAGAGTGACTTGAGTAGCTGGCAGACTTGGTTGGGTTCTCTGTGGGAGCCGTGCGGTAGCTCGACGAAAATTTCTGCATCAACAGGTGCGTAGAGAAACGCGTTCGCGACGTCAATTTGTCGCAGCTTCTTCTTCTTCATGGCGGCGATTGCGAGGAGAATGCGTAGTGAGGTGTGGCGGCTAACCGGAGCGAAAGTTTCGGTGAAGTCGCGTCCGTGTTCTTGGTCGAAGCCGCGTACAACCCAGCGAGCCTTAAATTTGTCAATGGTGCCGTCAGCCTTTGTCTTCACACGGAAGACCCACTTCCCGGTGAGCACTGTCTTGTTCCGTGCCACGCCGATAGGAACCACTTTCCACGTGTTGCGTTCCTCCAGTGCCTTCAGCTCCTTGTCCATGGCTTCGCGCCATTTTTCCTTATGCTCCCCCCCCAGAGCCTGTTGAACCGTCGCAGGCTCTTTAGGAATGGCGGTGCCGTGGACTGCGGTGACGAGTCCGAGAATTTGCAGTCCACTCTGTGAGTAGCGGGGAAGATTTGCGTCCTCGGGATAAGCTGCTTCATCTCCCGCTTCTGGATCAGGTATGAAGTTGGGTCCTACTCGTTCTGCTTCGTTGGTGTTGAATGTCGCAGGTGTTACGTAACCGTTGTCGGCGAAATAGTAGAAGGTTTCGGCGTTGACACTTTCGCGAGGGTTATCTTCGTCCATGGGAACGTCCACGGAGCAGAACGGAAGAGGTCCGGCTTCTTCTGATGCGTTGTCCACATTCTGCTCGTCCCAGTCAGCTTCGTCCGTTGCTGAGGCGAAGGCTCGGTCACCGCGAAAACCACCTGTGGGATCCTGGTCTTCGTGCAGGTTGGCAAGGTATGTCTGGAGCGTGAGTCGTTCGTAGAAAATTACATCACGTGCTGCTACTGTTTCCTTGGAATGGACGTCGAAGATTTTCCACGCGTTGTAGTTCTTTTCGATTCCCAGGTGTAGTCCCCACTGTGCTCGTTGAGAAAATCGGCCCGCTCGTGCTGCTGGGGGTCGGTACTGTACCATGCATCCGAATACTCGTAACATTTTTGTGCTGCCCTGTTTCCCTGTCCATAGCAGATGCGGTGATGCGTTGTTTGGAAGCGATGATGACGAGAGCAAGTTGTGCAGCATGACGGCGTGGTCCATTGCCGCAGGCCACTGGTGGTTGGGTAGCCGCATGCCACGTAACAGTTTGCGCATGCTGTTCTGCAAGGTCCTGTTCATTCTTTCTGCTACACCTTGCTGCTGATGGGCGTAGGGAAGGGAGATGAGCCGCTTGATTCCCCTTTCCGCCAGGTACTGCTTGAATCGCTGAGAGGTGTATTCTCCTCCTCCGTCTGACTGGAAGCTTTTCAGTTTCACGCCCGATTCTCTCTCTGCTACTGGTAGCCAGGCAACGAAGGCTGCGAATGCCATGTCGCGGCTAGGGAGGTTTAGGTGCCAGACGTAACGGGTGGCGGCGTCGATGAAGGTGATTGTATAGTTGTATATTACTTGTCCTGGTTCCTGATTGTACAGGATGTCGCTATACACCTTCTCGAGTGGTGCGTACGCGGGTGCGCTCGGGTTGTGATGAGACGCAAACAGTCGATGTGGTAAGTCACCTTCAGGGCAGGTGAAGCACGTTCCGCGTACTCGTTGAAGTTCTCGTCCGTCGGTCAGTAGGAGTGAGTCCTTGTCGAGTACTCCTGCTCTTATCGTATTGTTTAATACTGTGTTGCTTGGGTGTCCCATCCTTGCGTGCCAGGTGCTTTCGTCGGCGCGATGTCCGGGTGATCGTCGGTACATATCGGAGTTGGAGTAGAAGTTGGCGGTGAAGTTGGCGCTACGATGAACTTCTTGTGGTGCTGGGTGTAGTTGTTGCGCGGGTGTCGGTGGTGTGTCGTCGATGAGGAGCGGTGTCGTTGAAGGACCAGCAATTGGTGTTGACGTTCCTGCTGTTGCCGTTAATGGTTCTGCTACTGCCGATGTTGTCTATGCTGCTGCCGATGTTGTCTCTGCTGCTGCCGATGTTGTCTCTGCTGCTGCCGATGTTGTCTCTGCTGCTGTTGATGTTGTCTGAATTGTTGCTAACGCCCTTGTTCTTTCTGCTTCAGGGATGGTGTGTGAGTACCAGAAGTCTTCTGGACTGAAGTCTGGATCAAGGTCTGGAGGGTGTGTCCAGTTGGTGAAGTTAACGATGGCGTCGCTGTCGGCGGTGCCAAGATCAGGAACGAAATCAAGAACGAAGACGTTGTTCTTGAGGACCGCCTTGCCGATGTAAAGTCCTCTTCTCCCATGATACAGCTTGAATTCTTGGGTGGTGCTGTCTGCTTCGAGGTGAATCCCTTTCGCCATTAGCTGACTGACGCTCAGTAAGTTGTAGCCGAGTCCCTCTGCGATTAGTACTTTTGACATCTGCAGTATAACGTTTGTTTCCCTTGACTTGAGTTGAACTACGCCTTGTCGTCGTGTTCGCAGGTTCTGATTGTTGGCGACTGTAATGACAACTTCGCGTTGAAGTTGGTGTTCTCGTTGAACGAAGCGTCCCGAGGAGCACATGTGCTGTCCGCAGCAACTGTCCAAGAACCATGTGTCTTTTCCGGATGGTTCGCTTTGGGCGATGGCGGCGTATGTCGGGTTTGGCTGAAGTGACTCGCGGCGGGGTGTGGTTTCGTCGAGTTGTTCTTCCGGTGAGTAGTGTGGTGGTGACTCGGTGATACAGGAGTCACTCAGCTTTGCCATGCAGCTGACGATGTTTCTTGCTCCTTGTGCAGGTTGTCCCGTTGAAGTCGTTGAGGCTTGAATCTGGGTCGTGGGATTTGCTTGCGTTGAGGCGATTTGGCTGCTTGAAGGTCGAAGTTGCCGCTGTGGAGTTGTTGACTGTTGACGATTTGGGCAGTGCGTACGCGGGTGTCCTGAAGTTTTGCAGATGTGGCAGAACGGAGGTACTAGCTTCGGTTGTTGCTGCCGGTTGTTGTTGTTGTTGTAGCGTCGCTGAGTGTGGAACGCGAATTCCGGTGCTGATGTCTCCTTTTTGTGTCGTTCTTCTTGCAGGTCTATGTCTTGCTGCTCGGCGTAGATTTCGGCGCAGAGCGCTGCTTCGGAGATTCTTCCGTGAGCTCGGAGAATGGCCTTTGTGGCACGCCATTGAGGACCGAGGCCGCCGATGATGACTGTCACGAAGGCGTCTTCAGAGATCGACCCTCCGCATCGAAGAAGCTTGTCGCGCAACTCGCGACATCGACTGATATACGCCATTCCTTTCTCCCCTGGTTTCATTTCAACCGTTGTCAGTTGCGCCATTAACCGACTTTGGCTTACGCTGTCTGTTGCTTGATACAGGCTCTTCAGGTGATTGTACGCGAGCTCCGCGGAGTTGCCGTAACCTCGGTAAGACCTTATGTTCTGCTGTTGAGTCGGGGTGATATTCCTCAGTAGGATCGTGTACGCCATCATTGACTGATAGGTATACTGCTGCTTCTCGTACTGTGTGCCGTTTGTTGGGTATGGCAAAGACCCGTCGAAGAACCCGAGTATCTGCGCGCCTTCCATCATCAGCTCGAACTCGAATGACCAGGTGAAGAAGTCCTTTCCATCGAAAGGTCTTGACGTCTGCATCTTCAGAACGTGTGCGAACTGCGACTGAACTTGTAATGCGTCCAGTGATTTTTCTTGTCCAGGTGAAGGCTGTGGGTGTGGCATAAAGCTGATGGACCCGCGCTCGTACGGAGCAAAGGTAGGCTGCTGTTGTTGATTTCCTCGTGCATATGATGAGCCGTCGAGACTCATGGGTGTTGCTCCGTTGTTGTTGCTGTTGTGTGACTGCGCAGGTGCCGATTGTTGGTGTTGCTCGTAGAAGGACATGAAGGAAAAAACTTCTCCATCATGATCTGATCGAAGTCTGCAGGTTGATTCGCGGGAGTCTCAGTAGATGTTGCTCTGGGTCTTGTTGCTGTGCCCTCCTCTGTCTGTAGGCCAGAGGCAGGAGGTGGAGTAGGAGTAGTGCCCTGGGAGCCGTTGGAGTTGCTCCTTTCCTTTTGTGTAGCCATGCTTGTTGATGTTGTCGGTATAGAAGTTGAATTCCCCCTGATAGCTCTCATACCATGTTAGGCTGAAAAAACCCTTTAGGATCTTTGCATGGGTGAACTCTGGGTAGGGTTGGTGTAGTAGCGGAAGCGTTAATTAAAGAGTTGTGAACCACCTTGCACTAGTATGTGAGGGCAAAGTAAGTTGATGATAATAAAAGAGATACAAGCTTTTATAAGAATACAAAGGAATATGAAGAGATACAGTTAACTGTTTTACTGTTGCTGTTGCGGTTCGATACAGTGTCGACTCGGGCAACTGCTCAGTATCGAGACAGTTGGTTGTCCTTGCTGTCGCGCTGCATTTGTCAGGTCAAAGGTCGCTGACCTTTGACTTTCGCGTAACCTCCAACAGTTATTCAACCTCCGAGGGTTGACTCACCGATATTTCGATACGAGCTACTTCGCTTCTGTCTTGGTGTTTCGACACGACAGAGGCGCCTAAATCAGTTGTTTCCAACACGCCCGAACACGTTCGTGTTCGGGCCGCTGCTGCAATTTGCCCCGCGACGAACACGAACGTGTTCGATGTTCGCCCGAACATGCCTTCACAGGCGAACGGCGAACACGTGTTTTTGCTTAAAGTGTTCGCCGAACCGAACACTGTTCGGTTCGGCAAACGGATGTGTTCGTCTAGGGGCGAACTTGAACATGTTCGTGTTCGCCCCTTGCTCATCCCGGTCCGGAAGGAAGCTCATTGCCAGTCACACGTTGCTACGTTGTGCCAGATTGTTGTGACTGATCAGAGGATGATGGGGTGTCCCTTTTTCCATGCATGGTCACGTGTTCGTCCTTGATGTGCATATGCGAACTTTGAGTATTGTGTATTTGTTCCTGTCAATAGTGAACTTGTCATGCACTACACTCCTCCTGGTTACATAGCGTAATAGGACCTTCACGGGCATCCCCACCCACACCACTTGTCATACGAGCACATCCACACCACTTCAGGGAAAGTAGCCGGAGTAAGCAAGCAAGGACACTCGGCAACTTGCAACATGAGGAGGAGCACAGCACGTTTTATTCAGAACTAACTCATGGTCGTGGAACTTGGTCGGTGCCAAGCGTCAAGGGGCCAGGAGAGTCGCTTCGCTGAAGAGAAGAGGGTCCCCTCCCCACTCAAACCATGTCGGGGTTGCCCCGTGCCACACTTCCACTTGTGTCAAGCTGCCTCTTCTCACAAAAAGCACCCCTCAGGGATTCGCCCCTTTCTTACTCATCCCTTAGGATAGCTCAGCAGTGAACTGTTGGCGCAACAAGAAGAATATTAGCAAGGGGCGAAAAAATCAGGTTGGAGGCTGATTTGCATCCCTTACCAGACAATGACACCATACAAAATGTCCAGAAGCCAAACACAAGCTTACCTGCCCCTGGTCCTTCTGGAAAGCTATCGCGCTCACTCCAGTTTCGAGTTCCGAATTATCTGAGAACAAAAGTAAACCAAGTCAGCTCCCATCATCCAAAACATTCTCTACACACCGTGGTTGAAGGACAAACACACTTACAATATCCACCAAGTTTCCCATTAAAAGCCATCCACTTGTTTTTCCCCGTGAATAGCTTCGCCATGTCTGCGTTCGACGTGGAGCCGGACATCTCGCTCTTCACGTGAACAAACTCAAACGACTGCGGGTTGTCCTTGGGCGTCCATACGACTCCTCCGTTGGCCGTGAAATCGAAACAAGCGATCCCAAAAACATAGCAATTGTGGTCACCTGCGAGTGAAAGAGAAAAACAGAGCAGCAACAGCGTTCAGCCTTTGCTTAGATGACTGCAGGACAAGATACAGAGTGTTACTCGAGGTACTACTCACCAGCTCCAGGGTAATGCTCGTGATTTCCTTCCGAGACATACACAATGGGATGTGTTCCCATCACCGTAGCAAACTCCGATGGCTTGGGGTCGTCCCAGTCAGCCCCTTGGTCCCACGCCCACACGGGGCCGTCGTCGTGCTGCGCGTACCAAATGCGCTGCGGCTGGCCGGTCTTTGAGAAGCGGATTGCAATCGCCACCAGATCCGTAACGTGGTTGTCATCCCCAGCAAGGGGGTGGACATAGTTCTGCAAACGAGAATGGTTGAATAGTTGAAACAGGTTGACACCATTTTACAAAAGGGGTGTGGGAGTGCGAGAGGGGAGGAGACAAAAGGAAGTACATGAAACCAGGGTACTGCTTGGAATACTCACGTATGGGTAGAAGAGCCAATATTGAATCTCCACAAACGAGTCTTTGTCATCGGGTTTCGGGTTGTAAATGACGGTGTACAGCTTCGTGCCTCCGTTTTCCGGGTTGCGCGCCGAGTCCGTCACCCAGGGGGTTTCCTGGTGAAACTCCTCCGAACTGAACAGGACAGTACTCCCATGCTCGCTCTTCAGATTCGGATTCTCCAGCAATGTATCGAGGTTGTCGGGAGTGATCGGGCCCGTCTGGTATTCAACCTCATACTCTGTACCATCCTCCTCGGTAAAAATGCCTTTGGAGGCAGTCACGTGTGTGAGGTACTCGTCGATTGTGATTGGCCAGATGGTCTCATCGGGGTGGAACTTGTACTGCGGCGAGTACTCGACGGCCAAGTTCTCCCAGAACGGATCGCAAGCAGGGTTTGTCTGCGGGTCGAACATGCACGGGTCCACCGTTCCACTGGCCATGGGCGGGTTGGCGTTGCGAACCAGCATGGCGAATTGTTCCTGAAACCACTGGCCAGCTCGCGGCGCGTCTGCTAGGGCGTCCAGGCCAAGCGGGTCCAGGGGGTCGCATTCGCGATCCACGGGAATCGGCTCCGAAATCTCCTTTCTGAATTGAATACATCGTGGAAAGGGAAGAAGAGATATGAGCCAAGGGGAAGGGAGAAACTGTCTGAGGATGCATGCATCATACGAACCACACGAAAATTGTAAATGCAGGCCGCGGAGCTAGGACACTTACGCGTGACCATCGCTCTCCCCAGGCGGCTTGATCCAGACCACAGCGTCAACTGTGGGCAGGCAAGCAAGGTAGGGAGTCACAAGGGGGGAACGATGTAAAATCAGAAATCGTATTATAGAGAATAAAACGGATAAAGGCAATCTGGAACAGCACGAAGAGGAAGAAGCAGGATGCTATAGATGGATCCCAAGTGCTCACCTTGCGGAGCATTAGCGGGATCTGCCTCGGGGCGTTCTCCGACCCCCGCGTTCTTCACGTTGCACCACGACCCCCAGCGCGTTCGAATGCCAGCGACGCCGGACCGGCTGGTGTCCACAATCCACCTGGTGGGCAGTCCCGCGGCCCCCAGGAACGCATTGAGGCGCGCGGTGAAGCGGTTCTCGTCGATGCACGGGTTCCAGTCGTAGCACATTTCGCCCGTGCTCGGGTTCTGTGCGAGCGGGCATTTCTCCGACGCCGGGCAGCCGTCGTCGGACGCGAAGAGCGGGCTGTAGTTGGCCACGTTGGACGCGAAGCCGCGGATCTTGGCGCTCTCCCGGATCTGCCGCGCGCGCGCGAGGACTTTCATGTACACCGCCATGTCGCGCTTCATCACTTCCGGCCACCCTGCTCTCGCATTAGACGGGGAGCGGATTAGGGTTGCGGGGAAGGGTGAGGGGAAGAGTGCGAAGCGAAGCGACGGAAGCAGGGGTCCAGCTGAAAAGGGATGCTGCGCAACAGAAGTGGTGCTCAGGGGACGCTGCGCAAATCGTGGCGGATCTGGGCCGATCAGGGCCGTCAGATCAGCCAGATGGGGGATCACATCCCTTCGAGATGCCAGCCGGTGTTGACGAGGGTTTGGAGCGGGAAGGGGGCGCAGGGGCAAAGGCAGCCGCGCACGCACTCACCGAGCCAGCCGCCGAAGCCGGAGTCGAGATAGAGCGTGGTGTCGGGGATCTGCGAGAGCTCCGCGATGGCATACGCGACGCCCTCCATGTATTCCTGCTCCGTCGCCGCGTCGCACCGATTCGTGCCCATGTTGGTCGCGATGTTGGGCAGCGAGTCGGGCTCGATCACGAGCGACAGACGCACGTTCGCCGCCTTGTTTATAAGGCGCGCCACAGCAACATCAATGTAGTTGGCCTTGTACGTGTCGAGGCCGCCCTTGGGAATCTCCCCATTGGACGACCACGCCTTGCAATCGCGGCCCGGGAGGTCGTAGATCACGAATTGCACGAGGATCGGATTTCCCCCCGCCTGAGCCGCTGCGGCGTCCAGGTGGCCTTGGATGGTGTCGAGCTTCGCCATCGTGTCGAGCCACACGGCCGTCGGATGGTCCGCCACGCTCGCAAAAAACGGCGCATCCTCGCGAGTCGCGGCGCGCATCGCGGCTTCCACGCTCGCCTTGTACTCGGGGTTGAGGTACTGCTGGACTCCCGTGTACGGGTTGCCGGTCGCGCTGTCGGTAACGCGGTAACCGCACGACGTGCCTTTGGCGGCGACCAATTCTGTCGCGTTGATTGCCCCTTTGAGCCAGCACGAGCCGCCATTTTCGGCCGTCCACGTCCAATGCGTGCAATCCGCGCGGTCGAGGCACTGCTTTCCGCACGTGTCGCCCATGCCGGCGGCTCGGTCAATGTCGTTGCCCTTCCAGTCGCAGTCGAATGACCACATCACCCCCCCTTGCTCGGAGCTTGAGAAGCTGAATGCTGACGTGGCTCTCACTGAGAGATTGAGAGCCACCAGCACTACTACTAGTCCTACCAGTGCCAATGCGTTTCGGAAACACCCAGCCACCATCGTTTTGGTTGGTTGTTTGGAAGGAATAATAGAGTTTCGAATGATTGAGTATCGACGTACTCAAGGGACCATCGTTTTTTATAGCAGAAGACCAGAACTGCGGCTCGGATCGCAACAGGGGGAATCTTACAATACCTCTCGTTTTCCACACTACTTTCCGACCTACGGTCTGAGACGTGTGTTCTGGTGACGCCATGGCTTGTGAGACAAGTTCCCGTGTAGGTGTTAGCATGGCACAGGTTTCTGTTATGTGTAGATGCCGTGGCGTGTGGTGGTGAGGAAATATGGAATCTGCTTGCAGATCTCTAAGGGGCTGTTGGAGGGGAAGCAATACTCAGATTGTCGTTCAGAATGATTGTAAAGGTTTTGACGCGGTACGACACGGTACTGTATTGACCAGTTTGAAACGAAACACACCAAACAAAACGGTGGTCAGCGACCTATGGAGCCCGGTGACACTCCATAACAGAACTGTGATGCATGTAGCATGATTAGCGATCGGAAAGATGACCCGAAACCGCAACCGCGAGCTTCGTCGACCAGCCACAGCTCCTCGTCTGCATTTCGCCTTGCGCCTCGCCCACAGAGGCGATGTTGGCGACGACTCGTCATGTTCGCCAAGTGAATGTGATGTTGCTTTGCAAGCAGACCTGATCGGGCCTGGACTATTCCAACCAACGGCCTCCACCAATGGAGTGCCTAGTTTATCAGGACAATCAATGGCGGCCCTCAACCCGAAACCCTCAGCAACTCTTTTCCTTCCCCCTCCCTAGATTGCTCTATCACTCGTGTCTAGTTCTCGTGCTCTTAGTGTCTGCTCTTTGATCTAATATAAGTACAATGTTTTCCCATGTCAGGCCCATGCGCTAACGATCCTGTTCGAGGAGTGCCTCACATCAACCACTTACTCGTAACCCTCCTGGTACGATTATGGAACAATCTTTTTGTCTCCTCGACCGACAGTAACGCGTAGGCTCGAACCCCGATTCGTTGCGCGCCGTGCTCGCGGGATGGCTGCAGGGTCGGATCGTGCAGGCGGAGTCGCAACTCCGGAGCGGGCTGTCCGGCGCGCCATGGCATTCGCATGACAAGGCGCGGAGTGCCACGGCGCGGGGAACAAAAGACCTACCAGCGCTACCAGCAAAACCAGCAGCGGTACTACGAACGGTGGCGGTAGCGGGAGTCACGGCAGCACAGGCAATGTGGAGGGTTGGCGCGAGCAGGCAGGCTGCGCCAGCGCCATAGGCTGCGCCAGCTGTACCTCCCCCCATCCCCGCTGCCAGCGCCATAGGCTGCGCCAGCTGTACCTCCCTTCGCTGCGTCACTCTGTGCCTCTCCGCCTTTTTTCACCCCTGCTCCCCGCTCCACCCATCCCCACGCGCGCCATCTGCTGTGCCAGGTGCACGTGCGGGTGGGTCGGGGTTGAGCGAGGAGCAGCGGCGGGCGACGTGGGAGGAGCAGCGAGAGTGGGAGCAGCATGAGTGGTAGCAGCACGAGCGGGAGCAGCACGAGCGGGAGCAGCACGAGCGGGATCAGCACGAGTGGGAGCGACGCGATTGGGAGCAGCACGAGCGGGAGCAGCACGAGCGGGAGCAGCACGAGCGGGAGCAGCACGAGCGGGAGCAGCACGAGCGGGAGCAGCATGAGTGGGAGCAGCACTCTGTGTGCCACACGCACAAAGGCACGTGACCTTGATGGCCACAGTGTGCTCCCACACGCACGGCTGCTTCCTTTCTCAACGTAGCGCCACAGCAGGAAATCTTCCCCTCAAGGTGGATTGCAGCAGCCAGGCTCAAGGGGCCGCCGCTGCAGGGCTGCTTGCTCTCAGGGTAGGGTTGCAGCAGCCATGCGTCAGCAAGGCAGGCGTGAGTCAAGTCAGCTGCTGTGCAAGCCCACGCACATGCAGGGTTTCTTCCTCACAGTGTGCCGCAATTCGCCCTAGCTGCGTGTGCACGATGTGCATCATCGCCAGCATCACATGCTGCCATGCCATGCCGTTCCCCATCCACCATGCCTTTCCATTTCCTCCCCATACACCATGCCATGCTGTGCCCGCTCTCCTATCCACTATCTTTCCTCCCACCTTTCCAACTCCTCCCCAGCCGCCACTTACCTCCCATGCGCTCCGCTCCTAGCCTGGCTACATGTGTCCCCTCCTCATTGGCCACAATGTTGGCGTTTCCTCTTCGCATATCCCCGGTTCTGCTGCTTTCACTCCTCTCTTTCCCCACCACCCTCCCCATCCCTCCCCAACCCGCCCCTTTCCCCCTCTCCCCTAAGACAGGCCACTTTCCAGCCATGATGAGTATGTTTTATATTTCTCTTGCCTCCAGCTTTCCTTTATTTGTCATTCCTTTTGTCACCCCATGGCTGCCATTTCATCTCCTCTCTTCCCTCCTCCTCCGTCTCTCCTCTTCACCTTCCTCGTTTCCCCTTTCAGCCAGCCCACTTCCCACCCAAGCCAGACATGTCTCCCCATGTCTCCCACCCCAGCCAGGCCACTCAGCCTAAATGGCCTCTCTTCTCCCATCTCTCATCCCACCTCTCTTCCTGCAACCCCAACCCTCTTGCCACCCCTTTTCTCCCACTCGCCGTCATCCGCTCCCGCCCAGACAAGGTAGCTCCGAGCCAAGCAAGACATGTCTCCCCCAACGTGGGAACGCCGCCCCACCCCCCTCTCGATAGTCGCACCGCTGAGGCTGAGCTGGCACTCGCTGACGTGACAAGTGCTGACATGGCATTTTTGCGACTGGAAGGCGTGTTTGCAGCGTTCGGAGAGGAGCGAGTTTGGTCTGCACCCATTGCCCAGGTCAGCAGCGGAGGATGAGGGGAGAGTGATGAAGGGGAGACTGAAGGTGAAGGATGAGAGGGGCGGATGAGAAGGAATGGGGTTCAATAACGCGCCAATGGGAAGGAATGGGAATGTGGAGCATGGTGGCAGTGGAAGGGGACGCGGGGAGACGCTTTGTGCATCTCATGGAGAGTGGAGTGGGGTGGGGTGGGTCCCAGTGGACGTGTGACTTGAGTGCTGCCGTCAAACCAGCTTCCTCCCTCGCTTCCTCTTCCCCTGCGTTCCCTCCTTCCCTCGCCCCTTGCTCACCCGCTCCTTCTCCTTCTGACGTCTCCCCCTCTGCTTCATTGCCACTCCCTGTACCACCTTGCATTGTTCTGACGCAATCCCATCACGTCTCCCCTGACCCCCCTGTTCCCCGCTCTCAACTCCCTTCCTCTACCGTCCGCTCTTTCCATATACCCCTGCGCCTTCTCCCACCCTCCTGCGATCTCAGTGGCCCGCCGCCTCCTCCCGCTACTGCTACCGCTCCTTCCTGCTGGGTGGGGAGAAGCGGGAGGGCGTGGTGGGATGCGGATAGTAGGGGTGTTGATAAGGAGGAGTGAGGGAGAGGAGAGGTGAGGGGTCAGCACGGCAGCCGACCCTCTCCCTTTGTGGCAGCTGGCACGCTGGTTTCACCACTGCTGCAACCCTCTATTCGGCTCCTTGCTGGGGGGTGGGTTTGGGAAGAGGAGGAAGCAGTGAGGCAATGCGTGGATTGATGGGGCTGGAGTGGGCTAGAGACTGGGATGGGAGTGGAGAGGAAGCGAGACCAGAAATAGAGCAGCAGAGAATTATCCCTGGCACAAAGTGGGAGCAGCAGAGACGCCTTGTGCGTAGTGTGAGCTGAGCCTGGACATAGCCCCATCGCGATCTGAATAACCATGGGCCGGGTGGTAGAGGGGAGCATGGGGCGATTGAGAGAGAGTGAGTTGCAGGAGAGGGGAGGTCAGGTTGACAGGTCGGACATGATGTGCAGAGGGTAGAATGGTGGTGCTGATGGTATGGTGGTGGTGGTGGTATGGTGGTGCAGAGGGTACGGTGGTGCAGAGGGTACGGTGGTGCTGACGTGGTTCTCATTGTGTCGCAGATGCTGGCTGTAATGGAAGACAACACAGCCATGAATGTGGTGAGTCCTCACCTCGTAAGGCACTGGCCTCAGAAGAAACGACTCCATCACCCGTGCAGCTTCCTCCCTCGCTTGATCTTCCCCTGTGTTCCCCCCTTCCCTCGCTCCTTACTCACCCGCTGCTTCTCCGTCTGACATATTCCCCGTCGCTTCATTGCCACTCGCTGCACCAACACCAGCACAACCTTTTGCATCGCTCTCACTCAATCCCATCACACCTCCCCTGCCTTCATCTTCTCCGTCCCCATCACCCCTCCTCCACTGTCCATGCTCTCCATGTACCCCTGCGCCTGCTCCCACCCTCCTTCTATCTCAATGCCACGCCGCCTCCTCCCACTGCTGCCACCCTCTGCACCGCTCCTTCCTGCTGGGTGGGGAGAAGGGGGGGGGCATCGTGGGATGCGGACAGTAGGGGTGTTGATACGGAGAAATGAGGGAGAGGAGACGTAGGTATGGTGTTGCTGAGGGTACGGTGGTATTGAGGGTACGGTGGTATTGAGGGTACGGTGGTATTGAGGGTACGGTGGTATTGAGGGTACGGTGGTATTGAGGGTACGGTGGTATTGAGGGTACGGTGGTATTGAGGGTACGGTGGTATTGAGGGTACGGTGGTATTGAGGGTACGGTGGTATTGAGGGTACGGTGGTATTGAGGGTACGGTGGTATTGAGGGTACGGTGGTATTGAGGGTACGGTGGTATTGAGGGTACGGTGGTATTGAGGGTACGGTGGTATTGAGGGTACGGTGGTATTGAGGGTACGGTGGTATTGAGGGTACGGTGGTATTGAGGGTACGGTGGTATTGAGGGTACGGTGGTATTGAGGGTACGGTGGTATTGAGGGTACGATGTTACGTGCTCTCTGTGTGTTTGCGCTTGCGCACATGAGCACTTGCACATATTCGTGTCTGTGTGCATGGATGTATGTGTGCATGGATGTATGTGTGCATGGATGTATGTGTGCGAGTATGAACAAGCATGCATGTGCGTGTGTGCATGCACGCATGGGCATGTGGTGCAGGGCAACAGGTGGCTACAACAGACCGTTCTTGTATTGAATGGTTGATCATCGCTACTAGGGTGCATGCAGTGAAGAAACTCCCACTCAGTTCCATCACCTCGCTGTCTATGCTCTTCCTCTTCGTGCTCTTTCTTCTTTGCACCCCTCTAGTTCCTCCTCAAACCTCTCACAACCGTGATTTTCTTCCAAAGTATTCTCGATCCGCTCTTCTTATTGGCAAAACGGCTCGTGGCAGTCAGTTCCCCTCCCAGTCCCCCGCCTCTTCCATGCCGTTGCAAGCAGTGAGAGAGGTAGCAGTACAGACAGCACGGAACACAGTGGATGTGAGGGGGCGGAGTGCAGAGGATGCATTAGCAGCGGTGGACCTAGCAGTGCAGTCCAGCCCGACTGGTGCTGTGCTCTTCATTGTGCATGGGCTTGGGACAGGGGTGCTTCGGGCAGCTGTCCTGAAATATCTCTCGGGCAGCCCGCTGGTTTCACGGCACGAGGCGGAGAGTGTAGGTCAAATATTGGGTGTGCTAGGGCATATACCTTGGGTGAGCAGGATTTGTGGTGCAGTTGCAGTGCTATGTGTGGAAATGTTGTGTACGCATAATGGCCTGGCCATTAAGTTGAGCTATTTCCTGGGTAATATTCATACGGTACTATCACATCACTCCATTGAAGTATGGTAACGGAAGTGGCTGGAGAAATCATGGACGCGGTTTATTACCCAAACCAACACATCATAGGTGGAGTAAGCAAGGACATTATTTATTACCTAGCAAACTCAGGGTCCTGGCTGGTTTCAAGCTCCGAGGGGCAAGAAGAGTTGGTAGGAAAGGTCCCACAGGAGCTATAACCGTATTGGCAAGCACCCTCAGGGTCCTTCTGGCTGGTGTGAAGCTCCGAGGGGCTGGACCTGAAGAGTTGCTAGGGGAGGACCCACACGTGACACAAGCTGCCGGTATAGCCGTATTTCCAGCTGCCTTGTTTGAGAGCAAGCACCCTCATGATATACGCTCCCTGTGCTTACGCCGCCTTTAGCTCTTCTGTGAACTGCAGGTGCAAGAAGAGGCATTATTAGAACCTGATTTGCTTGACATGCGACAGATGAAAAAAAATCAGAATGGCCAGTAGCGAGTCTCAAGGTCACCTTTCCCTGGTTCTTCTGGAAAGATATTGCACTCACTCCAGTCATGAGCTCCACCTGCGTCGAAACCCTTATCTGATGACTCCATACTGCAAACAAATGCAAACTTGGTCAGCATCCGTCATTTGAAGGTTACGATTACCCACCATGGTGCCAAGGGCAAGCCAAGCCCACTTACTGTATCCACCAATTTTTCCGTTGTAAGCCATCCACTTGTTTCTCCCTGTGAATAGCTTCCCGCGGTCCGCATTTGGCATGGAATCGGACATCACGCTTTTCACGTGAACATACTCAAAGGCAGAGTTTGGGTTGTCAAAGGGCGCCCATGCAACTCCTTCGTTGGCAGTGTTGTCGCAAACACCGAAGTGGCAATTGAAATCACCTGAAATGAGAAGTTAGAGCAGCAACGAGGTTCAGCCTCTGCGTAAAAGAAGCGCTGGAAAGATACCAGGTGTTACTCAAGCTACTACTCACCGGCGCTCGGGTAATGCTCATGATTCCCCTTCGCGACATACACAATGGGATGCGTTCCCAGCACTGTAGCGAAGTTCTTTGACTTTTTGTCATTCCAGTCAGCCCCAGTGTCCCACGCCCACACGGGGCCGTCGCCGTGCTGCGCGTACCAAATGCGCTGCGGCTGGCCGGTCTTTGAGAAGCGGATCGCAATCGCCACCAGATCCGTGATGTGGTTGTACTCGCGGAGGATGGAGGCGTAGTTCAGTGAATATAGAAGCAGGGATAGATCAGCGATAAAACGTCACAAAAGAGGCAGGAGCTTATTGAAAGAGTTGGGGTGGAGGGGGGGATGGGGGGAAGTGTGGGAGGGAAGGAAACAAGTGGAATGGGGGAGGGGGGGAAGTGTGGGAGGGAAGGAAACAAGTGGAATGGGGGAGGGGGGGGAGTGTGTGAGGGAAGGAAACAAGTGGAGTGAATCCAGACCAGCAGACTACTTGGAATACTCACATAGGGGTAGAGCATCCAATACTGAATCTCCACAAACGAGTCAGCGTCATCCGGCTTCGGATTATAGATGATCGTGTACACCTTCGTGCCTCCTTTTGATGGGTTGTGCGCCGAGTCCTTCACCCAGTCCGTATCCTTGGTAATCTCTTCGCGCGAACTGAGCAGGACAGTTCGGCCACGGTCGGTCTTCAACACCCCATCCCCCAGCAAGGTATCGAGGTTGTCGGGAGTGATCGGGCCCGCCTGGTACTGAATCTCTTTCGTCTTGTAGTTCTCAGTGTACTGACCGATGGACTCTATCACGTGTGTGAGGTACTCTGTCGATTGTGATTGGCCAGATGGTTTCGTCGGGGTGGAACTTATACTGCGGCGAGTACTTGACGGCCATGTCCTCCCAGAAGGGATCGCACGCGGGGCTCGTTTTCGGATCAAACATGCACGGGTCCACCTTTTCAGCAGGCATGGGCGGGTTGGCGTTGCGAACGAGCATGGCGAATTGCGACTGGAACCATTGGCCAGCTCGCGGCGCGTCTGCCAGGGCGTCCAGGCCCAGGGGATCCAGAGGGTCGCATTCGCGATCCACGGCAATCACGCCCAGAATCTTCCTTCTGAATCAAATGCCTCGTGGGAAGGGAGGAAGAGATACGAGTGACGATGTCAATAAAGCATAGTGAAGGTGTCTGAGAAGATAGATAACCCAAACGGGAAGGAGGGGGAAGTGAGATGCCTCGTGGGGAGGGAGGAAGAGAGATGAGTGACGATGTAAATCAGAGCATAGCCAAGGTACCTGGAAAGATAGATAACCCGAAGGAGCACCCCGGGCGGTAGTAGGACACTTACGCGTGGCCATCGCTTTCCCCAGGCGGCTTGATCCAGACCAGAGCGTCAACTGCAAGCAGGGCAAGCAAGGTGTGCGCCAAAGGAACGGAGCCTCGTGAGTCAAACAGAATCGCTGGGATAGAACAGAAAAATGAACCAAACACGCAGAATGCTGGTAGTGATACCAAGTGCTCACCTTGCGGAGCACTTCCGGGATTCGCCTCGGGGCGCTGTCCGATCCCCGCGCCCTTCACGTTGCACCACGACCCCCAGCGGTTGCGAATGCCAGCGCGGCCGGACCGGCTGGTATCCACGATCCACCTGGTCGGCAATCCCAAGGCTCCCAGGTACGCATTCATTCGTGCGGTAAATCGGTTCTCGTCGATGCAAGGGTTCCAGTCGTAGTTAGTCTCGCCCGTGCTCGGGTTCTTCACCAGCGGGCATTTCTCCAAGGCGGGACAGACGGAGGGTAAGAGCGGGAAGCTCCTCGCGAAGAGCGGGCTGTAGTTGGCCACGTTGGACGCGAAGCCGCGGATCTTGGCGTTCGCGCGGATCTGCCGCGCGCGCGCGAGGACCTTCATGTACACCGCCACCACGCGCTTCATTCCCTCCGGCCACCCTGCTCACGCGACGGGGGAAGGTGGAGTGGGGGGGAAGCGTGAAGTCAAGCAACGGAATAGATTGCAGCATTGGACTGAATCACACGAGCGTACGCGCGGCAGACACACTCACCGAGCCAGCCGCCAAAGCCGGAGTCGAGATAGAGCGTGGTGTCGGGGATCTGCGAGAGCTCCGCGATGGCATACGCGACGCCCTCCGTGTACTCCTTATCCGTCGTCGCGTCGCACCGATTCATCCCCATGTTCGTCGCGATGTTGGGCAGCGAGTCGGGCTCGATCACGAGCGACAGACGCACGTTCGCCGCCTTGTTTTTAAGGCGCGCCACGGCAACATCGATGTACTTGGCCTTGTACGTGTCGAGGCCGCCCTTGGGAATCTCCCCATTGGACGACCACGCCTTGCAGTCGCGGCCCGGGAGGTCGTAGATCACGAATTGCACGAGAATCGCCTTCGCACCCCCTTGAATCGCTGCCTCTTCCAGGTGGCCCGGGATGGAATCTAGGGACGCCATATTGTCGAGCCACACAGCCGTCGGATTCTCCGCCACGCTCGCGAAAAACGGCGCGTCCTCGCGAGACGCGGCGAGCATTGCGGATTTCACGCTCGCCGCGTACCCGCGGTTGAGATACTGCTGGACTCCCGTGTACGGGTTGCCGGTCGCGCTGTTGCCGACGCGGTAACCGCACGACGTGCCAGTGGCGGGGACCAGTTCAGTCGCGTTGATCGCCCCCTTGAGCCAGCACGTGCCGCCGTTGAAGGCACTCCACGTGAAATGCGTGCAATCCGCGCGGCTGAGGCACTGCGGTCCGCAGGTCTCGCCCATGCCGGCGGTTCGGCCAATGTCGTTGCCCTTCCAGTCGCAGTTGAGCGACCACTGCACTTTTCCGGCCTCGGAGCTTGAGAAGTCAAATGCTGACGTGGCTATCACTGAGAGATTGAGAGTCACCAGCACTACCACTAGTACTACGGGTGCCAATGTAGTCGAAAGGAAACTCGCGGCCACCATCGTTTCGGCTGGTTGACAGGAAGGAATGAGAGAGTTACGGGAAACTCACGGCGGGCCCGTCCCTTTTGAACGCTTGGGCCAAGTCGGACTGCGGCTCGGATCTCATCGGCGGCAAGGACGGATCGAGTCGCCTCCATCTTTTCTACTTTGGCGACGTACGGCCCGAGGCATGTATTCTGACGATTATTGGTGTCTCCACGGCGTATTGTTGTGACACCAATGATTGGTGCTCTGGGTTCCCGTGAAAGCATGTGCCGCAATGCACTCTCTCACAGTAAGTGCCCCGCAAGTCACGCAATGCACCCTCCCATGGCACAATAAGTGACCCCCATGGCGTAAGGAACCTTTTTGCAGAGCTCTGGTCCCAGGCACTAATCCGCGCCACTGAGAGGAGTAGGGACCCGTAATCGCCTCTGTGTAAGAGCACGGGGTCGGGATGTCTGGTGCATCCGGGTCTCCCTCAGGGGCAAGCAGCATGGCCACGAGATGAGGTACAGTAGCTGCAAGGCACTCCAAGTCCCCCTGCTTGTCCTCAAGAACTTACGTGCCAAGAGCACACTCACCCCCGACGGACGGAGGACAGTCAGACTCAGACTCAGCAACAAGACTAGTAGCGTAGTCGAGACGACAGGCAGCAGCAAAGTCAACAAGCTCAGCTACTAGGGCAGACGCAGCAGTGGACTCAAAAGAAGGGTTAGTGACAACAGTGGCGAGGAGACGAGAGACAGTGGGACTGGTAGCACGAGCTAGGTCAAACTCAGGGCCAGGAACGGCAGGAAGAGAGGACTCTGGAGCAGGCAGCAGAGGAACTCGCATTGGAACAGAGGAAGGACGAAGTGCCATAACGTGGGTGCCGGGGACAGGAGGAGGATGCGGACGAGGAACCCAACGACCAGTGCAAACAGCGCGAACAGGCGAGGCAGGACGAGAGTCAGGCTCACGACGCTCTGTAAAAGAGTCTGTCTGCTCAGCGTAAGGAGAAGGAGCAGGCAGTGGGGAGTCTGGCTGTAACTGTGGTAGCGACTGGCGAGGCGGTGTACTCAGTAAGCTAGGAGGAAGACCAGTAGAAGACGGGAGACTAAGAACCTGGCGAAGGACCGAATCAGGTGGCGGCAAAGACGACGGCTGCGGCAGAACACAAAACGGGCGCCGTTGCACAGTGCCTCCAGCTCCAGTACCGCCAGACACAACACCCCCAGGGCCAGCACCTCCAGCTCCAGGGTCAACAGCTCCAGTGTCTCCAGCTCCAACTCCTCCAGCTCCAGGGCCGCCAGCGCCACTGCCTCCAGCTCCAGGGTCTCCAGCTCCAGCTCCTCCAGCTCCAGCGCCCCCAACATCACCAGTCCCGGCAGCTCCAAGACCCCTAGTACGAGCACCTCCAGGACTAGCAGCTCCAGCAGGAACTCCAGCACCTCCAAGACTAGTAGCTCCAACACCTCCAGCTCCAGTGCCTCCAGCGGTAGAGCCTCCAGCTCTGGCAGCTCCACTCCGAAGGCGTGTGCGCTGAGCAAACCACTCGCGCAACTGCTGCGGGGAGAGAGGCTCCGGCCGAGGAGACAATCTTGGCGAGGCACCCACAAGACCTCCCGAAGAAGCAGTACCCCTAGGCGCAGCACCCGCAGACTCCACATCCTCAGACTCAGCACCCCCAGGCTCCGCACCCTCAGGCTCAGCACCCCCAGGCTCCGCACTAGAAGGCTCAGCACCCCCAGGCCCCGCACCCCCAGGCTCAGCACCCCCAGACCCCGCACCCTCAGGCTCAGCACCCCCAGGCTCCGCACACGCAAGCTCAGCACCCCCAGACGCAGCACCCCCAGACGCAGCACCTTCAGACGCAACACCTCGAGTAGCACCTGAATCTATAGCGACCTCCACAGGCACAACCCCAGGGAGTGGGTCTACCTGAGACACACCTGAGGGAGCAGGACCCTGAGGGGGGAGGGGGTCTACCGGAGGGGAACCTGGAGCGAGGAAGAGCGGCGGGGGGGTGGGGGAGAGGGGCAGAGAGGTAGGGGAAGAGACGGTAAAAGGGAACCGACTCGTCAAACGTGACGTCCTGAGAGCAAGGAATAGCGCGGGCGGAGAGCCAAACAAACAAACAAAGGCACGAGAGCCCCAGACCCGGAACACCGACGCATAGCCAACCTCCCCCGTCCGACGCAGTGTAGGCAAGGTCTTCGGCAAGGAGGCACGGGGCCAGAGGTTGAGCTCATGCGCAGCGTACCGGACCGCAAACGGCCACAGAAAATGGGGAGCAGCCGCATGGATCATGGAGGTGCGAGCGACCTCCATGACTAAGCCAATGCGACACTCAGCTATCCCATTTTGCTAAGGAGAGGCCGGAAGCGTGAACGGCTGGAGAATAACCTTCCCACGACAAAAGTCCCGCACGAGATCGGAGGAGAACTCACCACCTCTGTCAGAGTGCAGACGTAGGACAGGAAGGTCCTGGTGGAACCGCTCGCGGAGGTGGAGACGGACTACGCGGATCCAAGGGATCAAGACATCAGGGACCTCACCCTTGCTGCGCAACCAACAGAAAGTAGCGTGTAGTCATCAACAACCAGCAGAAAGTAGCGCTTGCGACCCTGTCCACTGATGCGGGCCTGCCCCACACGTCCATGCGGAGAGTCTGCAGGGGAGCATTCGTCGGGGGAAACGAGGAGGAGTGAGGAGCGGCGCGCTGCCGCCCCTCGATGCAAGGGAGGCAGGGCGGGGCAGGCGAGGGCGGGAGGGGAGGCAGAGACCTGGGAAGACCAGAGACAAGGAGGCGGAAGTGCATGCCACGAAGGCGTGGCAGGGAGGGGTGGCCAAGTCGGTGGTGCCACAGGAGAGTCTTGTGCGACAGGAGGCGACACGAGCAGGGGGGTGCTACCGGACCTGACACGGACTCTTGGGCAGACGCAGCTACTTGAGGAGGCTTGGTAGCTAGGGTGTACAGACTCAACCCAGGCCAACGGGTGAACGTGGCCAGGTGACGGCCCGTTCGTGTACACGTGCAGATCGACACACGCTGACCCCTAGGAGTGGTGGTAGTGACCATCGCATCCTGGAGGGCAGCGGTACTCACCAAGTTCGTAGAGAACGAGGGGAGGTGAAGACCTGACAGTGAGCCAAACGGAACCACCGGATACGAGAGAACAGTGGAGGAACAGGCAAGAACTAGGCCCCCTCAAGGGTCAGCCAGTCTGACCAGTACAGGTGCAGAGAGAGGAGTGAGGGTGGTGCTGTCGCGAAAGAAACAGCGGGAAGCACCTGAGTCAAGCGTAAAGGTGTGCAAGGCCTCAGCAGGTGCAGTACCAGGGAGAGCAGACTCACAAGCACCTAGAGCAGCAGCCTCTATACCTGGGTCAGGCGACACACACAGGTAATAGTCACCCTCAGCACTAACAGACAAGGCATACATAGCAGCAAGGAGAGCATCATAGTCAAGATCAAAGATAGCAACTCCAGACCTAAGCAGCTCTGCCCAGCGGGGGCGCTTGGCCTCGTCACCAAACTTTGCGCGCCAAGCGTCGTCCAGGCGGGAGAAGCAGCGGTGCTGAGTGTGAGGCTTCCCGCATGTCTGACCAGCACGGTCACCCGTGCGAATGACATATTGGCAGCTAACACTACCCCCAGATGCCCCACGTTGAGAAAACCACTCACGAAGCTGCTGAGGCGAAGGGGTCTCGCTCCGACGCTGATGCTGCTGGCCACCGCCAGAATCTCCCCTCTGAACAGCTCCACCCCGACGGCCACCACTCCCACTGCCGCCACTACCGCCACTCCCACCGCTGCCACCACCGCCGCCACCAAAGCCTCCACTCCCGCCACCACTCCCACCGCTGCCACCACCTCCACTACCTCCACCACCTCCACTGCCGCCCCCACTACCACCCCCGCTGCCACCTCCACCACTCCTCCCACCCTTGCCCTTGCTGCTGTGGCGCTTCCCACTAGTAGAAGCAGCCTCGACATCCTCAGCACCAAGGATGTCAACAGCAGCAGCAGAGGCGTAGGAGGGGGCAAGGGGGGAGGGGGAACACCCCTCAAAGAAGGGCGTGCGAGGAGTGCCACGAGCGGCACCTATAGCAACTACACTATTCTCAGCTGCAAGGGGGTGCTGCTTGAGCAGGTCAACAGTGAGTTCTGTGGGGTCAAGTGCGAGAAAGTGGTCCCTGACTGCGCGAAGAGAGTCAGGGAGGCGGGCGACTATGAAGTAGAGAGTGATGTACATCGGGGGGGAGGGGGGGGGATTCCTGTCAAGGAACTCTGCTGGGAGGGCAGTGCGGTAGCGAGCGTCGCTAGTGCGAAGGTGGGTAATGAGGTCCTCTACTGTGGCAAAGGCGGACAGCTCGGGAAACAGGTAGGGCAGTATAAGACGGCCTAGAGCAGTAGTGGCTGGGGAGGAGTAGCGGGCGACTACAGCCTCGTACTGTGCTTTAGCAATCTTGTGCTGTCCGAAGTGAGTGCATTTGGCTAACGGCAGGTGGTTGCGAATGGCTAAGCGAGCAGCAGCGTCACGGGTAAGCCACTGTGAGCGAGTCGCACTGTCAGCTGTGGCGAGAGGGGCGAGAGAGGCTCCAGACGTGTGGTCAAACAACGAAACGCTGTCTCTAGAGTCGCTCAGTAGGTACAGCTGTAAGTCGTCGAGCCACGTGTCGAACTGGATCGGACGACCCTCATGATCGAACGTAGGACACGGAGAGAAGCCATCGCGGGCAGAGCAGGGTGGCGCGCTACCAGCAGAGCAGCACGCAGGCAGGGCAGGGCGGCGCACGGCTAGGGTGGCCAGCAGCAGGGCGGGCAGGAGCCGGGCGGTGCAAGCAGCAGGGGGGGCATACAAAGGGGCGGCGAGCGGGCTGCTAGAGGGCTATGCGCAGGCTGCAAGGGGCGGCGAGCGGGCCGCAAGGGGCGGCGAGCGGGCTGCAAGGGGCGGCGCGCGGGCTGCAAGAGGCGGCTAGTAGGCTACAAGGGGCAGCGCGCGGGCCGCAAGAGGGCAGCGAGCGGGCTGCAGGGGCTGCGAGCGGGCCGTAAGTGGGCGGCGGGTGGGCCGCAGGGGCGGCAAGTGGGCCGCAAGCGGGCGACGAGTAGGTTGCAAGGGCGGCGAGCAGGCCGCAGGCAGGCAGCAAGGGGGCTGCAGGGGCGGCGAGCGGGCCGCAGGCAAGCGGCGAGCGGGCGGCAGGGGCGGCGAGCGGGCCGTGAGCAAGCGGCGAGCGGGCGGCAGGGGCGGCGTAGCGGGCCGCAAGCTAGCGGCAAACGGGCTGCAGGGGCGGCTAGCGGGCCGCGAGCAAGCGGCGAGCGGGCCGCACGGGTGGCGAGCGGGCCGCAAGGGCGGCGAGCGGGCCGCAAGCGGGCGACGCGCGGGCTGCAGAGGCGGCGCGCGGGCCGTGAGCAGGTGGCGAGCGGGCTGCAGGGGCAGCGCGCTAGCTGCAGGGGCGGCTCGTGGGCTGCTAAGGGCGGCGCGACGAGCTGCTAGGGACGGTACCGCGGCCAGAAGGGCGGGGCGTCAGTAGGGTATGGCGGCAGGGCAGCTAGTGGGGCAGCTCTGTGGTGGGCCCTAAAAAATTCGGTCCTATCAAAGGACATGCTTTGATACCATGTCAAACTAACGAACGAGAATGGATGAACTATGAAAGAGTTGGGTACAAGTACTAACCCTAATTGGGTACAAGTACTAACCATAATTAGGTTGTACCTCTTATGGGCTACCCCACTATAGCATACACAAAGTAAGTAGTGTAACATTTTGACAGGAAGCAGTTGAAGCCTTGTCGCTCGTAGATAAGCCAGATCCACTGGCAACCGAAAGTGGTGCCTTGCCATTGTCATTGACTGCAGGAGCTGAAGTACCTGTGGAGCCAGCCACGCTTCCCGAGAGCAAGTTAGCCGTTGAAGAAAGAACAACATCCGTGTTAACAGGCGGGTCGAGAGCAGGTCGGGAACGCTGACCCTTAGGAAGGACTGGGACATCACCTGGGTGCGACATTGTGCGATGATGAAAGTAGTCAGGCACTGAGAGAGTGTGCCGAGCACACTTGATGACCGAGGAGAATGATGCCTGAAGACTGGGCATAGAACCATTATATAGCATTCTGGCCTTGTCAGAATCCAGTAGCTCATGAAACTGGTGATGTATTCCCGAAGTTGGGACCTCGAAAGCATCGTACTTAGTAAATGTAGACTTGCTTGTGTAGATCGTAGAAAAATATGAGTCTGATAATCCATGACGCGAAAAATGACCGGTTAGGAATCCTGGGAATGCCTGACAGAAACCGAGGCTTTGCGCCTTAGAACTGGAGTAACCAATGTCAGCAGAAATGACTGGTTGTCCACTGTTAAAGTTAAAGGCGAAGTTTGTTAAAGCAACGGAAGTTAAACCTAGGCATGGTAACGAGGATGTGACCCGTGACACGCTCGGAGAAATCTATAGCTGCCCTATGGCGGAGAAGGTGCGGGGCGTTGTTCAACCTCTCCGTGAGTCGCTCAGCGAGAGCCTCCTCCTAACTTCTGATTTATTAAAGTTCACAACTCCTAATATCATATTTATCGAGTGAAGTTCACAACTACTGCGGAATTGCAGATAGTTTGGAGTCTCATTCCTCTAATGTAAAAATGTAACAATGTGGGAAAGTTTGCCCGAAATTGACTTCGGCGGTTTTCGTAAAGCTTTTTACAGCTGCTCGTTCCCATTTCGCCGTGCGCCCCTGACCCGCTCCGCATACACACGTGTATTTGAACAGGGGTGACAGACATACAGTCTCGCCAGCTTTCGCGAACCAAGTGTGATGTTTCCAAGTGACAAACAAACCCTTTCAGACTTCATAAGCAACACCAAATTGACTGTCCGATACACTAGGAAATCATCCATGGCGGCCCTTCCCTTCCCATGCGTCGACGTGTCCTTTGGAAATGATGGTATACGTCCATTATCTCGCCATTTCAGACCCAAGCGCTAGCGCTTCGGCTCGAGAATTGCCATCAATTACTAAACAATTACTCGTCAACTCTCAAGCAGCTTCGTTATTGTATCGTCATCTGTACGGCAGTCACGAGATGCGTATAACGAGCCGTGCAAATCATGCATCCGCGGCAGGTCTTAAAGCGATATAAAAGTTGGTCGAACATACAGCGAGCGACAATTTTCACTCGGAAACAACCGCGTGACCTGCGGCGTGACCTGCTTGGATAATAAGGCCATCCCTTCAACAATGTGCCTTCCATTGTCAATCAATCGTAGTTCCTCTATGTCCGCACACACGCGCGCTTTCGTCTAATTTCCTCTCTCCCCCCGCTCCCCATCCCCGTACTTGCGCCATCAGCTGTGCCAGCCAAATCTCCCCCTGTTCCTCCCCCGCCCCCCATCTCCGTGCGCGCACGTGCAGGAGGGCAGGCTGAGCGAGGTGCAGCAGCGGGCGGCATGGGAGGAGCAGCGTCAGCGGGGGGCGGAGATTCTGCCCTCCCTGCGCCCACATGCAGGGCTTCTTCCTAAAGGTACGGCCGCTGCAGGGTTTGTTTTCTCAAGGTACCGCCACTGCATGTCTCGTACTCACCTCTGCGCCCACATCCAGGGCTCCTTCCTCAAGGTACCGCCGCTGCAGGGTTTGTTTCCTCTCAAAGTTCCGCCGCAGCAGCCATGCTCACGCACGTGAATCTCGTTTTTTAGTTCGCCTGTGCACTGCCAATAGACACATGGCTGAAGTGACTCACGGCGTGCGACTTCAGCCAGTAGAGCAGCCTCAGGCTGATGACTCTTCTTCAACGTACTGCGGCAGCAGCCATGCTCACGCACGCGATTCTAGATTTCTAGTTGCCTGTGCACCGATAGACAAGTGGCTGAAGTGGCTGAAGTAGCTGACGGCGTGCGATTGTAGCCACTCGAGCAGCCTTATGCTGGTGGCTCTACTTCACTTGTGCACCCACTTCCAGGGGTTCTTTCTCATGGTACCGCTGCAGCAGGTTTTTTATTCCTCTCACGGTGGGGCCGCAGCAGCCATGCTCAGCCTCGGAAGCTCAGGCACGTGGCTTTGCTCATATGTGCGAGTAGTCACTCGCACTGTTCTTTTGAGGCGCCTTATAATTCGTCGTTCTACCCGCAAATTTTAAGCCGCAGCAGCCATGCTCAGCCTCGGGAGCTCATGCACGTGACTCTATTAGTTTGCCTGTGCACGCACATGGAGGCCTTTTTCCCTCTTCCCCCTTCCCTCTTCCCCCTTCCCTCTTCCCCCTTCCCTCTTCCCCCTTCCCTCTTCCCCATTCCCTCCTCCCCCTTCACCTTCCCCTTCCCCCTTCCCCCTTTCCCCTTCCCCTTTCCCCCTTCCCCCTTCCCCCTTCCCTTTTCCCTCTTCCCTCTTCCCCTTTCCCTTCCCTCTTCCCTTGTCAATCTATCCTCTTCCCGCTTACCACTTCCCTCTTCCGCCATCACTCTTTTCCCTTTAACCCGATTATAGCATGGGTAGGACGGACAGGGTGGATGGATGAAGTGGGTGGGGCGGATATGTTTGAGAAAGTGGGTGAGGCGGATGTGTGAGAGGGGGCCCTGTTTTCCGACAACGTAATCAGCCTTATCCGAGAGGGGCGGATGTGTGAGTGGGGCGGATGTTTGAGAGAGGCGGATGTTTGAGAATGTGGGTGGGGCGGATATGTTGCACAAAGTCCCGGACAAGCCATCCCTGCCACACAGAGCAGAGGGCCCGGCAGTGGAGGGGCACCTGAAGTGCTACGTGCCGGCACCCCCCTTTTCTCCCCACCCCCCCGCACTTTCTGGTCTCTTCCCCTCTCCTCCCCCCTCCAGCTGTTGCAGAAAGTCCCCCAAAGTGCCCCCTCTCCATCCCTGCCACATGGGGCAGGGGGGCCGGCTCCATCCCTCTCCTCTCACATGCAGTGACAACCCCAGTTTGAAGCAGCACGTGCTTATATACAATCGTGTGGTCGGATTCTCTCCCCTCTACAACCACTCCCCGCACAGCAACCCCCCAGCTGTTGGACATAGGCACGGACGAGTCCTGCTTGCTGTATTGAGCGGAGGGATTGAGAGTGGACAGGCATCTGAACCAGCACGTGCTGACTTTTGAGTCGACTCAAGAGTGGACGGGCACCTGAAGCACCACGTGCTTGACAAGCTTTCGGTCCCCATCTCTCCTCCCCCCAACACCTTGTTTCACAACCCCCGCCACCCGTCACCCCCCCAGCTGTTGGACATAGGCACTGACGTGTGTGGAGTGGAGGGGCCAGCAGTGGGTGGGCGGGCATCTGAAGCAGCACGTGTGTGGCAAGCTGGATCAAGCTGGATCCCACAGCACACTTTCTGCCACTTCAAAGCAGCACGCGCTAGTGTTGAGAAGGTGCCATCAGGTGGTTCACGCAGTGTGCGCTGCTGTAGCAGCTGGGCCTTACATGTGCTCTGAAGAACATACTTCTGGGGAAGCAAACTTCATGTTCAACTGCTCCTGCAGCTGAACTGGTGTTTCTGCTCTGCTCTCTCAGAGAAGTGTTCCATTGTCTGGTTTGCTGTGTCATCACGTTGTCTGTTTTTCATTGTGCGCATCTTCGTGATTGTCTGTTTTTGTGTAGCTGGGTTGGAAGCATGTATCCCAAATAAATACAGCATGCAAACAAGGAATCGGCCAAATACTACGGTATCTGACCAGCTCAAAAACATGTACCACAATCACTCATGCCACACAATCCAGGCCCTTCCATGTCAAAATTCCATGCAACATGCCCTGCCATGCCATGTGCCACAAGGAGTAGCACTTACTCAGCCAGCGATTTCCCTGAACATCACAAGCAGCGCTCACCCCAGCCCCTTAGCATCAAAGGGCCTCAGTGCCTCACAACTCTCCTCTCAGCGGGAGATGGGCTGCACCACGAGGGGGGAACGCACGCTGTGGCCCTGGTCGTCGGCCCATACTAGATACCCATACTTGAATTCATTACTGGGTGTATCCACAGTAAACGTCACTGTGTAGCTTTTCTTCTCCCCGGGAGCCAGCGTGAGGCTTCTCGGCCCCACAGTCACCTTCACGCCCTGCGGGGGCTTCCCAGATACGCTGTATGTGGACCGGGACTGCCCCACGTTGGTGACGGTGCGTGTGACCTGAAGGGAGCCCTGCAGGCGAGGCAGAGTGATGGTGGGCAGGTTGAGGTTCCGAACAGCCAGAGGAGAGAGCGCCACCCCTGGGAACTCCTTTTTCGTGCGGTTGAGGTCCTGCCCGGCGAGGAAATTCTGGTAGTCGCGGTCGCGGGCATCGTAGGTAAGCCCGGGGTCGAGCATGGCGGGGGGGAACACGTGGCCTGCGCCCATCTCCCACGGGGTGGCCTCCCCGCCCGTCGCACTCTTGATCGGGCTCTTGCTCGTGTCCGTCACCCGCGCCGTCGTCATCAGCGCTGACATCACCTGCGCCGGGGTCCAGTTGGGGTGCTTCTGGATGATTAAAGCGGCTAGCCCGGCTAAATGCGGGGTGGCCATGGAAGTGCCCGACATGCGGGCGAGGCCGCCGGTTTCGCCGGGTTTCTTGCCGGGAGCGGCGGCTACGAGGTCGACTCCGGGGCCGATGATGTCGGGCTTCAGGATAGCGTTGCCTGGCTTGGGCGGCTGGGCCGTGGCGGATGGCTGCAGCAGGGGGCCGCGGGAAGAGAAGTCAGCCACCACCGGGGCGGAGGAGGAGGAGGAGGTGAAGGTGATCCCGCCATCAGCAGTCAGAACGGTGCCGTCCGTGCCGTTGCTGCTGGTGTTGGCACCAAGAGTGAGCGACTGAGCGCCGGCAGTGGAGGAGGCGAGGGAGGCGCCGCCTCGGGCGATGGTGCTGGCGCCAACGGTGAGATAGAAAGGTGCGAAGTTGTCAAGTGTGCGATAATTGTTACCACCGGTACTCCCAGGAGGCCCGTCGTTGCCGGCAGCATAGGCGACAAACACCCCGGCAGCATTGGCGCGCAAGTAAGCGAGATCGGTGAAATAGTCGTCGTAGGAATTCACGGCCCCAAGAGACAGCGACAACACATCCACACCGTCCGCCACGCCCTGATTGACGGCCGCGATGATATCTGACTCCGACCCGTATATGTCCCCGTTCCTGTCCGTCCAAAATATCTTGTACACTGCAATGCGCGCTGCCGGCGCCATGCCGCTCACCTGCCCGCCGCCCTTCACCTTCACGGGGTTCCCCGCGGCTGCCCCCGCGCACCACGTGCCATGGCCGTCCGCATCTCGCGGCGAGAGCCAGTCATTTGTCAACACAGGGCTGTCGATCTCCTGCTGGAAGCCGGCATAGAAGGCCTTGGCGCCAATCACCTTGTTGTTGCACCGGAACGAGCTCGACTGCTCGCACTTGCCCTTCCACCCCGCGGGCAGCTGCGAGGAGAGGCCCTTATCGCTGAAGGACGGGTGTTCGGGCCAGATACCCGTATCCACGATTCCCACCACCGTGCCCTCGCCCGCCTTGCTCTGCCCGCCCATTGCCGGCCACACCTTCCCGGGCAGCCCCAGGAACTGCGGCGAGTCGCTGGTCTGCCGGCGGAACACGCGGCTGGCGCGGACGGACGCAACGGCGGGGTGGCGCCGCAGCCGCCACACCTGGTACGGCGTGAGGCGCGCGGCGAAGCCGTTGGACGTGTGCTTGTAGCTGTAGAGCAGCCCGTCCTCGGGTACGCCCGCCTCAGATGCCACCTGCGCCTGCTGCCGCTGCAACAGCCCCGCGAACGCTGCCACCTGGGGGCGGTCCATGCTCAGACTCAGCCGGTGCCTCGGGCACCCGCCGCCGCCGTTACGACCGCCGTTATTGCTACCACCGCGACCGCCGCGAGCGCTGGGAGTGGCGGCGGCGTCAGATGAGGCGTTTGGGGGTGGCGTGGGCACAGTTCCGTTTGGAAAGAAGTGGTCGCCGTCCGTGTCGTCCAAATCGACGGATTCACCGCCAACGGAGGCGGCGGAATCGCCTTCGGAGAGAATCATCTGCGGAACGGCGTCGCTGTCCTCCTCGTCGCTGCCGTCGTCCCACGTGGCCGTCGCGGGGTAGCCCGCGATTCCGCCGCGGTATTCGGAAAGGGGAGGCGCGGAGCTCAAGCGAACGATGTAAACGGCGGAACCGTCGGATGCTGGCGTCGCGAATTTGCCGGAGTTTTCCCTGGAGGGAGCTGCGAGGTGCGAATTATCTCCGCCGTTGCGCCATGCGCGGTTCAGGTTGCGCCAAACTGATTCGCGGCTTGCACTGGATGGCTGCGCGGCCAGCAGAAATGCGGCCAGAAGCAGTAGCATCGCGATAGCAGGACCTTCCCTCATTGTAATACTCAGCTCTTGGCGGACAGGTAATTCTTACGTGCTGGGATGGTCAGAAACCAGTGGTGGTAGTAGAAGGAATGAATGTCGAATATGCTGCTGGAAGGATTGAAATTGTGATGCTGGCTCAAGTGGAGTTGTGCTTCATTTTGTATTCACCAGCTCCCATGCGGAGCGCACATTTGGGTGGGGAGGGGACTTCATCGCGCCGCGATGCGCCTGCTGGGATTGTCAGAGATCGCAGGAGGTCCGAAGCAGGGGCAGGTGAGAGAATTCTCGGACTCGTCTGTGGCATTGGTTGAACTGTGTTTCGCCAGTTGTCGCGAAACATGTCATGAGTTACAGCGAAGAACAATGTTACGGCGTTGGGGTCCGGGACTTGACCACGCTTTCGCGCACGTTTTCGCATGGCTCACGTATTCACAACTCCCTGCATATTCCTGACGGGCACTTGAAGCTTGGTCCCAGGCATTTTAGACTCGTGTAGCTAGGAATGCGGCGCGGGAAGTAGCTGGTCCGAGCGTGCACGAGACGGGAAGTGGTTACCAGCATTTGCATTCTCGCATTTGATGACGGGTCTTGGGGGGAAATTCGTGCCGAAGAAAGTACGAAATGCTGGTAACGTCGAAGCGGGTGTCAGAAGACAGTCACAAAAGTCAGCCGACAAGGAAGACTACAGGGAAAGCTGGGAGGGATACACAATATTTGTATCAATATTGAGTACAGAGTACAATTTGATCATTTATTGGCGATGGTCAGGTTATTCAACATGCACATCATTGGCTCACTAGTGTTAGTGATAGCTTGGGCCGATTGGGCTGTGGCTCGATGACCTCAATGTGCACAGTCACCGTGTCCAACACCTTGAATCGCCGCTTTCCGTCTTTCGACTCCACCGTCTGCGACTTCTCATCCACCACCCAGTCACTTGACGGTGCATTCCCATCCAGCTTGTTGGCAGCGGCAACAGCAGCAGCTTTCCCCTTGGGAGGTTCCTTGGGTACAAGGTAGACTGGCCCTTCTATGCCATACCTAAAATTGGGCAAAGAAAAGGAAAGCACATTACAAAGGTTGTTCAATAGGTGTGAGTTGTGCAAACACAAAACAGCACAAAATCGAGGCTTTTTTGTATACAACGTGAAATTGGGAAAGGAAATGAAGCAAACAAGGAAGAAAGAGCATTGCCTACTTGGGCACGAAGACAATGAGCCCATTGGAGCGAACCATCACAATCCGACCCTCCGCATCCGTTGGGCTGGCGGGGAAATGAAGAGAGGAGACAGACAGGTTTGAGAGAACGGCGGTGAGTATGTGAGAGAGTGACCGCAAAAGAGATAGACCACATGTGCAACACAAGCGCATGCTGTGGACGGGAAGAAGAAGCAGGTGTGTAGGAGAGGAATTAATGGTGAGAAGGACACGCTGACAGCTCACCGAGTGCGGAAGAAGATGAGCGTGTGAAGCTCCACCGATGCCCGCCCGGCCATCTGAGCATTGCGGTTGCGATAGTTGAGGTCTGGGTTGAAAAGGTGGGGGAATTTGAGGGGAGGACGGAGAAAGGGAGCGAACAGCAGGCAGAAAGAAAAGCGATGATAGATGGGTAGCTATGAGCTCGTGGCTTAACACATGTGCCACTTTGTTGTGACTTGTGATGGCAATCGCAACTAAGGCAGGTCGTGTCAAGCCTCACCAACATTAATTGCAATTAATGCTGGTGCAAGCAGATGCCAAACCAGGTGCTGCCTCCTGTTTCCATGGGCTCGCATGGCTATGCGTCGTATCTCCATTAGATAGACACATTCTGAACAGAGCCGTTCTGCTGCACATCCTGAACACGCATGGACATTCCAGAGAAACCTTGCAACGCGGTGGTGCTTACTATCGGTGAGGGCAGTGAGTGCACTCTTATCCTTGGTCTGATCCGGCAGAGGCGTCAACCCAATGGCTGCGGCTAGCAGGCGATGCACCACCACATCTGCATGGGCGCACACGTAGAATCACAGCCAGGGTTGTGGGGGAGACGGAGGGAGAGGAAGATTGATTTGGCAGTACAGCACACGATGAACAAGAGAAACAGACAGCAGGCGAGAGCAGGGGAGCGGAGGGGAGTCGAAGGTAGGGAGGTGCGCCACGAGTCTCACCAGCGTATCGGCGAATGGGTGAGGTGAAGTGGGTATAGATGGGGGCTGCGAGGCCGTAGTGGTGGTACTCTGCAGGGGCCAGCTGGCCGCTGGGGAAATACACCGCCTGGGGAGATGGTTGGGGGGGTGGGGTGAGGGGCAAAGAGACGGGCTGTGTGCGTCGAAGGGAGAGAAAGAGGGTACAAATGCGGGGCCTGTCAAAACGTGGTGGTGGTACTCTGCATAGCACAGCTGGCCGCTGGGGAAATACCCCGCCTGGGGAAGCATCGGGGGGGAGAGGAAAGGTAAATCGTTGGAGAGAGGAGAAGTAAATCAACTATCAAGGGAGGATTGGAAGGGCCTCGAACAACCTGCATGCACCTTAGCTAGCCCCATGCCTGAACCTATGCAATCAAGCATGACTGTTGCCCCGCACCTAGTCATGCACGAGCGTAGCACACACTGCATGCACTCTCATATCATGCATGTCTCTTCACCGCGTATCCCACCGAGCTCGCACCTGAGTCATGCAGCGAGTGGTGAGGATGCGGATAAGCTTGTTGAAGTAGGGATCAGGGCCCTGCAAGGGGAGAGGAACACAAGCAGCATCACGTCGGGGAAGTTAGCTTTCAGACGGTTCCACATAGGTGAGTGGTGAGGATGCGGATAAGCTTGTTGAAATAGGGGTCTGGGCCCTGCGAGGGGAGAGGGCGAGACGGGGCAGCGGGACAGAGGGGCATGCGGGATGGAGAAGGGAAGATGATGCGAATGAGCTAATTGATGTATGGGTCAGGGCCCTGGGGGGGGAGAGAGGACATGGGACAGAGGGGCACGAGGGAGCAGAGGGGCAGAGGACAGAGGGGCGGAGGGCATAGAGAAGGAGGCAGTATTGGAAGAGGGAAACTAGCTGTGGGATATGAGGAAGAACTCTAAATGGTCACGCATGTCAGGGAAGTCAACGAGAGTCAACGGGACCGCACCCTGGTCAAGCGAGTCAAGGATCTCACCACAGCGCGGTCAAGCGAGTCAGCGAGATTCTTTGAGGACGAGGTGTCAACAGCAATCCCCACCGCCTCTGCTGTTCGCAGCAGCGGCTCGAACATGTTGGGTGACGGGGTGGGGTGCCGCCTGTGCGAGAGAACAACAGGGTAGGGAGTGGAACGAGAGGGAGAAGAGCAGGTGAGCGACTTGCGAGTGATGCTCATAACAGCGATCCCCACCGCATCGGCAGTTCGCAGCAGCGGCTCAAACATGTTGGTCGACGGGGTGGGGTGCCGCCTGTCTGAGGGAACATGAGGGGGAGGGAAGTGGGGGGTAGGAAGAGGCGAGGGATATGAGGAGCAGGTGAGTATTTGGGGAAGATAGCATTGGGAGGTGGTAAAGCGAATGATATGCGAATAACAGGTGCCACTGTCCCGACACAAAAGAGAGCAGAGAGGCATGTGCTACAAGTGGCTGTCCATTGCATCTGGGATTTTACCTGAGAATCCACCTGACTAGTCAGTGGGGAATCACCTGAGCAGGGAGCAGGAGGCGAAGCGCTGGAGAATCTTCTCAGCTACGGACACATTGGCTGCCAGCATGAACTCCTCGATCATGTGATTGGCCTCCCGCACCAGGTACATGCCTGATGGGGAGGGGGGGATGGGGGATTGGGGGGGATGGGGGGAAAGGAATGGTAAATCATGGCAGCATAAACTCCTCTATCATGTGATTGGCCTTGCGCACCAGGTACATGCCTGGTGGAAGGAGGGAGGGAGAGATGGTAGAGAGGCAGAGAGGGCATTGGCTGCTAGCATGAACTCCTAGATCATGAAATCCATGTAGGCGCCTCAAAAAGAGGGCCAAGAACGATTTTTTAGGCGCCTCAAAAAGAGGGCCAAGAACGATTTTTGAGGCGCCTCAAAAAGAGGGCCAAGAACGATTTTTGAGGCGCCTCAAAAAGAGGGCCAAGAACGATTTTTGAGGGCCAAGAACGATTTTTGAGGGGCAGAGAGGCAGAGAGGCAGAGAGGCAGAGAGGCAGAGAGGCAGAGAGGCAGAGAGGCAGAGAGGCAGAGAGGCAGAGAGGCAGAGAGGCAGAGAGGCAGAGAGGCAGAGAGGCAGAGAGGCAGAGAGGCAGAGAGGCAGAGAGGCAGAGAGGAAGAGAGGCAGAGAGGCAGAGAGAGACAGAGAGAGACGTACCAACGTCAAGAGGGTCGTGTGTCTCGGTGTCGATCTCAAACTTCACTTCCGGTGATGCCAGGGTGAGCGCTCCCCTGTCTATGCGCCGCTGCCTCATCACCTGACATGTGGATGGGATGAATGATTGACCATCCATGGGGATGGGGTGTCGGAATGAGACGCGAGGAAACGAGAAAGGAGGGCAAGAGACATAGTGATGCGATAGGGGGCTGGCATGGAGGTAGGGAGAGGACGATGGTTGAAGCGACACTGTGAGGTGAGAGGGTGGGCGACCTGATGTTGGGGTAGGTGAAGTAAGGTGTGGGGCATGGCATGGCACAGCATGGCATGGCATGGCATGGTATGGTATGGCATGGCACGGCATGGAAGGACATGGCATGGCACGGCACGGCACGGCACGGCACGGCACAGCAGGACATGGCATGACATGGCATGGCATGGCATGGCATGGCAAAGCACCTTGGCAAGGCGGTTGAGGTTGCGAAGGTCCCTTGTGAGGTCATCATGCATGCGCCTGATGCCATGGTGACGTCAGCAGGGGGTAGGGGGCGAGTGGGAAGGGAAGAGCTAAGTTGGAAAAAACGTGTTTCGCGTTTAGTACGCTTTCGTATAAACACTAGCGTTTAAACGCAGTAGAGGGAGGAAGAAGAAGGCAGGATGCCTATTGCTCTGAGGGAATGAGAGTGAGCGGGGAGGTGGGGCGATACAAGGTAGAGTAGGAACATTGGCGCACAGGAGATGAAAGGGCAAATTGGCACACACCATTCATATGTTGCACGCACCTCTCCTCATCCGTCCATCACTTCCCCACGAAAAATGCTGCAGACACACATGCCTGCTTACCCCTTATCCATCCTTCACACTCACTCATCATCCATGCGCGCCTGTGCCTCCACATAGGACAGTGCAGCGGCAGATTTGATCACGCTCTTGGTGAAGCGCACCGATATGATCTCTGCCTCAGGGGTCATCTCCTGGTGGGATGCACGTGTTATCATGGATAAAAATGGGTTAGCAAAGAGGACGAGTGATGACGCTCTTGGTGAAGCGCACCGATATGATCTCTGCCTCAGGGGTCATCTCCTGGTGGGATGCACGTGTTATCATGGATAAAAATGGGTTAGCAAAGAGGACGAGTGATGACGCTCTTGGTGAAGCACACCGATACGATCTCTGCCTCAGGGGTCATCTCCTGGTGTGGTGTGGTGTGCAGGTCGTGGGACGTGGGGCGTCCATGCATGTGCACCATGGGTATGCATGCATGTGCACCATGGGTATGCATGCATGTGCACCATGGGTATGGATGCGTTAGGAAAGAAACCAGGTTACATGCATAGGGATGTATGCATTTAACCGGGTTGATATGATACACATGCATGCATCAACACATTCATATCTGTTGGTTAGGGATGTGTATCAAGAGGTATGAGTCTCAGCAGTAGAACCAGCCGAGCAAAGAGCACCACTAAAATCACCACTAGCAGCGGGATCAGCACTGACAGAAGCACCAGCAGCAGCACCCGGCAGGCAGCAGAACTGACAGCAGCAGCAGCAGCAGAGGCAGAGGCAGGGGCAGCAGCAACGGCAGCGGCAGCAGCAGCACTGACCCAGATACAGGAGAATGCGAGTCGCTCCACACCGCCTCGCAGAGAGCAGATGTCTGGCAAGGGGGGTGGGGCAAGGGGGTTGGGGCAAGGGGTGGGGGGTGAGGTGAGGAGAGGTGAGGCAGAGTGGGAGGCTGTGAGTGAAGAGACAGGTGCGGGAAGGATTGGCCGAAAGGCATGAGGAGGGTAAGAAACAGGTGACGTTGGTGAGGTGACACAGGTGAAACAGGCACGGTTGATGAGAGGAATGCTGTGTGCAGGAATGTGGCGAGACCAAGCAGCAGCCACTTCTCCTCCTCCTACCTTCAGTGAGCGGCTTGGGCAGCATGTCAATGTGGCGTTTCACCAGGTACACAGACGAGCCTCGCTGCGATGCCATGCACTTCCCAATGAACCTCCTCCTCACCTTTTGTGAGCGGCTTGGGCAGCATCTTGGCAAACGAACCACCCCACCCACCTACCTTCTGTCAAGGGCTTGGGCAGCATGTCAATGCGGCGCTCCACCAGGTACACAGACGAGCCGCGCTGCCACGTTATGCACTTCCGCGAACCTCCTTCTCACCCTTCCACCTATTGTGTGCCGCTTGGGCAGCTTGTGGCCTACCTTCAGTGAGCGGCTTGGGCAGCATGTCAATGCGTCGTTCCACGAGATACACGGATGTCCCTCGCTGCGATGCCTCCACGTCTAGTGGCGTGCCCGGTAGCACAAAGTTGGTCACATCCGCTATGTCTGTGAGAGTGAGGCAGGTCGGATAAGGGACAGATGGGGATGAAGTGAGACGGTGGTTTAAAGTTGCCTCAAGGACACGTGCCGACAGCACAAACATGAGTCTCGTCTGCTATGTCTGGTGGCGTGGGCCAAGCGGGCTGCATGCGAGAGGAAAAATTGGACACACATGGTTCTTGTCCTTCCACGCAAAGCAAGGCCAGCAGCACTTACGAACGCCAACTTCAAAGTTACCATTGGGTAGCGGCACGCAGTGCAGAGCATCGTCAATATCCCGACACCCGATGGGGACGACACTGAATTCGCACACAAGTGCATGCCCTCGACTCATATTCCCTTAGAGGATTCCAAAAAGGGATCCATCCAAACCCCTACCTTCCCACAACAAGACCAGCAGCACTTACGAACGCCAACTTCAAAGTTGCCATTGGGTAGCGGCACGCAGTGCAGAGCATCGTCAATATCCCGACACCCGATGGGGACGACACTGAATTCGCACACAAGTGCATGCCCTCGACTCATATTCCCTTAGAGGATTCCAAAAAGGGATCCATCCAAACCCCTACCTTCCCACAACAAGACCAGCAGCACTTACGAACGCCAACTTCAAAGTTGCCATTGGGTAGCGGCACGCAGTGCAGAGCATCGTCAATATCCCGACACCCGATGGGGACGACACTGAATTCGCACACAAGTGCATGCCCTCGACTCATATTCCCTTAGAGGATTCCAAAAAGGGATCCATCCAAACCCCTACCTTCCCACAACAAGACCAGCAGCACTTACGAACGCCAACGTCAAAGTTGCCATTGGGTAGCGGCACGCAGTGCAGAGCATCGTCGATATCCCGACACCCGATGGGGTCGACACTGAACACGCGCACGTGGCGCAGGTCCTCCCTCTTGGTGCGCGGGTCTGTGACGTCTAAAGGAGATACAGACCACGGCAGCGGCGGCAGGCACGCGAGCACTTGCTGTGAGAAGGGGCGTGCGTCAATGTCATTCTCCATGAGGAGAAGCTGGGGGGAGGAAGTGTTGCAGGAACAGGGAGGGGGAAGGGCACGCAGTGCAGAGCATGTCGTAAGAAACGATTCTAGACTTCCTTCCTTCCCATGGGGTCCACAATGAACACGCGCACGTGCCGCAGGTCCTCCCATTTGGTGCGCGGGTCTGTAACGTCCGCTGGTGACACGGACCACGGCAGTGGCGGCTGTGAGAAAGGACGCGCATCAACGTCATTCTCCATCAAAAGGAGCTGTGGGAGCTATGTGGGAGAAGAAGTGAAGGATAAGCAACAATCAGGAAGGGGATGTTGGAGTGCGGCTTGAGGTGAGGCAGACCTTGCTGGGAGAAGAAGGGTTGGGCAGCATCAGTGTTGACCTCAGCATTGATGATGTTGACATTGGTGAATCTGTCAACATCATCAATGCTGAGGTCATTCACTGCTGGCAAATATGAAGTGTGAGTGGGGGCCACACGAGTTGACTCACTGACATGCTTTCCTGCTCACCGCACATCGCTCAGAACAAACGGTGGGCAGGACAGCACTCATGTTCTCCTCCCCTTTACCCCCGCCTTCCTTCCCCATTTCATCCTGCTCATTTCAAGTAGCCCTGTCTCACCTCGCTCTCTGTCTCCCTGTCCCCAATACCCCCCAGCGTCTTCACATAGTGCCCTGAGGAGAACGCGCTGTCGGGCAGACCACCTGTTTATTGCTAAATCCTACTCATCCTCACTTCCCCCCTCCTCCCCCTTACTCATCCTACTCCGTCTCACCTCGCTCTCCGTCTCCCTGTCGCCGATATCACCCAGCGTCTTCACATAGTGCCCCGACGGGAACGCGCTGTCGGGCTGCCAGCTGTCAATCGCCACCAGGATTCGCTTGCCCATCAGCTGGGCGGCCTGCCTTGTCTCCACGCGGATGCGCGGCACCCTGCGGTCGGCAGCGACAAAGAGGGCACGGACCAGCGCCCCTCCTGACGCTGGGGGCGTGCGCATGGGGGCTAGCGACCCTGCATAGCTGGGGAAAACGCGAGGGTGGGTGTGGAAAGGGGGAGACGGATGAAAGAAGTTGGGAAGTTGAGACTCGACCTCGCGTCCGCAGCGAGATGAAGAGAGCAAGCAGGAGAGGAGGCGGGAGAAGGGAGCCTGCATAGCTGGGGTGAGGGGATGCGCGGCACGGCACCCTGCGGTCGGCAGCAACGAAGAGAGCGCGGACCAACGCCCCTGCTGACGCTGGTGGCGTGTGCATGGGGCTTAGGGACCCTGCGTAGCTGGAGGGGAAGAAAGGGGGGAAGGACGTAACAGGGGAGAGGGGGCAGAAAGGAGTGAGAGTAGGCACCCTGCGGTCGGCAGCAACGAAGAGGGCGCGGACCAACGCCCCTGCGGATGCTGGGGGCGTGCGGCGCGCGCATGGGGGGCAAGGACCCTGCATAGATGGGGATGAAGAAGCGGGCAGGAAAGGAAGTAGCAGGGGAGAGGATGCAGGGAGGAGAGAGAGTTAAGTCACGAGGCGACCTGCAGTCGCCAGCGACAAAGAAAGCTCGCACCAATGCCCCTGCTGATGCTGGTGGCGTGCGCATGGGGGCTAGCGAACCCGCACAGCTGGTGTATGAAGGGGGGGAAGAGGGAGGCGGAGGGAAAGTGGCAATGGAGAGGAGAGAGGGGAGGGGAGAGTGAAATTTAAGTCTCGAGGCAATCTGCGGTTGGCAGCAACGTAGAGGGTGCGCACCAGCGCCTGGGGGCGAGGGGACCTGCATAGCTGGTGGACAAGGTGGGAGAAGAAGAGGGGGGAAAGGAAAGGGCGGGGGCGAGGGGGTAGCAGGGGAGAGAGGACAAGGAGGAGTGAGAGCTGAGTCACGAGGCGCCCTGCGGCCGGCAGCGACGAAAGCGGCAACTTCAAGGATACACTACTCACGTGTGTGGGAAAGAGGCAACTTTCAAGGAAGAAAGCGCAGATCACATGCTCTTGTCTTCCTCCCCCCCCCTACCCCTCATTTTTTAGAACTCTCAAGTTACCTCTTTGTGAAAAGGCAGCTCCAGGGAGACAATTGCAAGGAAGAAAGAGCATCCAAGGTGCCTCTTTGCACGTGCAGCACCTCACATGCTCTCGTCTCTCCCCCCTCCCCCTCTCCGATACACACTCACGTGCGCCAGTTGCGTTTGATTACCCCCACCACCCGCCCCGTTGGCCTTGCCAGTTCTGACGGCCCCTTTCTCTCGTCTCCCCCTCCCCCCTCCTTCCCCCCTCCTCCGCCACCCCCCTCCCCCTTGCCGTCCCCCCCCTTGTCCAGGGAGAGCGCAGCAGCAGCAGAGGAGAGAGTGGAAGGCGCATCGTCTGCTGAAGCGGGGGGCAGACCTACCGATTCCTCCTCTCCCTGTTCCTCCGCTGTAAGGATACACGAGAGGAATGTGGGCAGTAGGAGTGGGTATTGGGGAGGGCGAATGGGGAGGGGGAGGGAAAAAGGGGAAGGGAGAGGGGTAGGGGGAGTGGAGAGAGGTACTGAGGAAAGTTAGCAGACATGGAAAGAGGGAGAGTGACAAGGGAGAAAAAGGAAGAGTGCAAGCCTTCTTTGCCTTCTTTGCCTTCTTTGCCTTCTTTGCCTTCTTTGCCTTCTTTGCCTTGTTTGCCTTCTTTGCCTTCTTTGCCTTGTTTGCCTTGTTTGCCTTGTTTGCCTTGTTTGCCTTGTTTGCCTTGTTTGCCTTCTTTGCCTTGTTTGCCTTGTTTGCCTTCTTTGCCTTGTTTGCCTTGTTTGCCTTGTTTGCCTTCTTTGCCTTGTTTGCCTTCTTTGCCTTGTTTGCCTTCTTTGCCTTCTTTACCTTCTTTGGTTCGACAACTTTTGAGGCGCCTCAAAACTTGTGCGGGTTAGAAAAGCTTACACACAGGTTCGACAGGTTCGACAGGTTCGACAGGTGAAGAAAAGGTGTCATCTAAAAACAATTCCACAAGCATCCCATCCACTCCTGCTCACCAGCAGCATCATCGTGATTGTCCTCCCTAGGTGACGTTTGAGTCGACTCAAAAGTCACCTTGATCGTCCTCCCTCTTCCTCAGCGCCCCACTAGTCGGCTCCTTCCACTGCTCCCACGGCAGCAACTCCACCGCCACCACATCCCCGTCCACCCAAAACAGACTCGGAAAGATTGCGGTGCAGGGCTCCAAAGCAGACTCGGAAAGAGTGCGGTGCAGGGCTCCAAAGCAGACTCGGAAAGAGTGCGGTGCAGGGCTCCAAAACTGCACAATCGAGACGCACGAGCCTATCCCATCCCATCCTCCCAACTCACCAGCAGCATCGTCATGGTCATCCTCCCTCTCCCTCAGCGCCCCACTGGTCGGCTCCTTCCACTGCTCCCGCGGCAGCAGCTCCACCGCCACCACATCCCCGTCCACTGCGCGGTTCATATCGCATCTGCCTATAACGAGGATCTCGTCCCCTAGTGACTCCGACCCCACAAACGCCTCGAAGCAGTTGTAGCGGCTCACTCGTAGCTTGCCCTGGTGGTACAGCCCGCGCTGCAGCCCCGCCGTTATGACTGACATGGGCTTGTGCTGGGTGATAGAGCAGTGGGCAGGAACATCAGGGTAGAAGACAGGGAAAAGGACGGCGTTGAGATGAGGAGTGGAGGCACTTGTAGCGACTCACACGCAGCTTGCCCTGATGGTACAACTCCCGCTGCAACCCGGCTGTTATGGCTGACATGGGCTTGTGCTGGTGAGATGGGATTTGAGAAACATCAGGAGAATGGAGTGGTTGGCGGCAGTACAGTTGCAGCACCTCAGCCTCTAGCTTGCCCTGGCGGTGGCACACCACACTATACCACATCACACACCGCACCACATCACACCACACCACACCACACCACACCGCACCACATCACACCACATCACATCACATCCATCCCGATTAGTCGACACCCACCCCAAAACTCACATCAGAGTAGATTCTCTTCCTCTTGCTGCGAGACAAATTTGTCCGAAGCCCTCGGTTCTCCTCCTCCCTTGCCGCCTTATCCCCCTCCCCTCCTGCTCCTCCCTCCCCTCCCTCGCCCTCCTCCCCATCCCCCGCGCTAACCACCAAATCCATAAGCTCCACACTCCCTAGCGATGCCACATACTCTCGCACTCTCATGGCCTTTGTGCCGCCTGCCACCGCCTTTGCCAGGTTGGCTTTATCGTCTGTTATGAGCACGACCGGCACTTTGCCGCCCAGGTGCTGCTGGTACCACTGCGCTGCCACCCGGATGGCTGCAAGGGGTGAGGTGAGAGAGAGGCGGGGGGTTGGGAAACCTCTGGGTCGACTTAAGAGTCGGCACTTTGCCGCCCAGATGCTGCTGGTCTCAAAAGGCTCTCACAAGAGTTGCGCTCTTGCAGCTGTGATGCTCTCCTTGTAAGAGCTGCATCGCATCTCACCTCTGTCGTTCCTGTCATTGGGACTTTCCCCCGGCTCTGCCTTGATGTACGTGTCCCTGATTGTGTACCGCATATGTGGTAGCCACGCACACCATGGGGAGGGGCATGGGGAACGGGGGAAGGGGGAAGGGGGAAGGGGGAGGGGGGAAGGGGGAAGGGGGCGGGAGAGAGAGGAACAAAAAGGAAACGAGGATATTGGCAGAGGAATGTGAAGGAAATGCAAGGAAGCAAACCATGACTAGAGGGGAGGATGGAAATAGCGGTGGTAAGTTACAAGCCAAACGAGCGGGAAAGAGGGCGGGGAGGTTGAGTGGAAAGAGAGGGTAGGCCCGATGGTGAGCTAAGTGGAGAGGGAGGGAAGAACAGCACACTTTCACTTTATTGTGGTGCCTCGCGCGGGCGCCGGAGACGGAAGCGCCGCCGCGTTGCGCTTCAAGGCGCGCGGGAAGCCGTTGCGGAATGGGGAGCGCTGCGGCAAAGGTTTGCGCGGGCGTCATGGTTGCTTGGAGCCTGGGGCGGCATGGATGCGCGGCCAGTGTAGCTGCACACGCGGATAACATGGCGGTACTGGCGGAGAGAGAATGAAGACGGTAAATGCTGCGGATGCGGTGCTGCTGTGACTGAAGGCAATGACGACGATGATGGCGATAACTAATGCGAAGTGGCGAAAGAAATGGCGTCAAGTTTTTGTAATGGGAAGGCTGCAAAGTAATCGAATCAGTCAGCTTCAGTCCCGACGACGGTTGCAAAGTCGCTGTGGAAAATCGTGGCGATAACTTGTCGCTGCGACGAATTTCGCTCTCCTGAAAACGACCAGGCAATATGGGATCAACGCAACAATCAGGAAGGAAGACTGGGATGATCCACTAGGACGATGGCTGGCTGTATACTGCTGTGAGCGGGAATCGGCGAAGTTTTATGCTGAAATAGGCGGCTGCTTTGGGGAATTAGGACATGGATATGGTGGTAATTGATGCTGTGCTGCTGGTTTCGGGAATTACGAGGTGCGGTACTGTAATTGAATGGTGAGGGCGGGCTCGCCCGGACAGATGGACGGATGACTCGAAAGCACAGGGGGGGAAGTAGTGCGAAGTGTGAGGAGTGCGACCAGCTGTCCGCTTGCGATAGGGTAAAGGGAACCTAGGTGAAGTGAACTTGGTCGGCATTGGAAGCCTCGAAAGATTGACAAATTTGCCGACGCCATGTCAGATCCATGTGCACCACGGAGGATCTCCAGAAGCATTCACCTACGCCAATCAGAGAAACATACAGGTCATGACGAGGTGGAGCTGACATCATCGTAGACCCGTTAAAGAAAAGCATCGCCGACAACGAGTACAGCGTTTCCCCCTAAACTGCACATCCACCCTTGTGTGAAATTCTTCTTCAATTAGCAAATACAATGTACCGTATGTACCACTAAAACCAAGGCAGCCCATAGAATTTACACTATCTGACATAATACGACCCCTGGATTGCATATCGATACCTGTTCTTGCAAAAAGGTATGTCAGAATCAGAAATTAGTGTTCAAAGAACAGGGGAGCGGCTGCTAGCGCAGCTGTAGAAAGCAGGTTGAGCAGGATGTGAAGTGTGGGTGCTAGCGTCTCCCGTAGAGTGCCGCCAACCCTGAAATACATCACAATTGTTGAACACAAAAACGAAGTCAATGAAGCCAAATAAACCATAGCAGTTGTGTGCACACGAAAAAAGGCGATAAGTCTTAAACAGGTAGGTACACCCATGTACTGCTTACGTGTCGCCAGTGATAGTGGCTTTGTGTGCTTCACTTCCCGGCCCTCCCAGGTGCCCTGCTTCCACCACGTCCCTTGCACCCCTCCACGCACTGCCAGCCCCGTTGAAGAGTGCCGCCAGCAGCAGCGTCACCAGCACCGCCACCAGCAGCAGCGCTGCCACCGCCCTTGCTCCCAAGAGGGGCTGCTGGGTGGCTTTTCCCACTGACCGCACTATGATGCCTGTGAGTGATAGGGGGTGGGAGGAGGGGAGAGGGGAGAGAAGGGAGAGGGAGAGGTAGGGAAGGTGAAGAGGGAGGGTGCAAGCAGCAGGGTTACCAGCACCACCCCCAGGTGTCCTGCTTCCACCACGTCTCTGGCGCCCCTCCACGCACTGCCAGCCCCGTTGAAGAGTGCTGCCAGCAGCAGTATCACCAGCACTGCCAGCAGCAGCAGCGCCGCCACCGCCCTTGCTCCCAACAAGGGCTGGAGGGTGGCCTTGCCTACTGACCGCACTATGATGCCTGTGAGGTGATGGGGGGGGGGGGGGGGAGGGGGAGGAGAAGAGAGAAGAGAAATGTGGTTGAGCAAGGGAAAGACCCAGCATGGATAAAAAAAAAACGAGGTTAAAAAGAAAGAGTCTGGTTTGTCCGTTTTTGTCCGTGCCATGCTATGCTACCTTACCACACTACCTGCGTTGCCCTACATCAATCATACCCATGGCGATTGGAGCAGCGACAGCGAGCAGCCCTGGCAGCAGCAGCTCCTTGAGGCTCACAGCCGCCACTGCACCCACGAAGCGAGACGGATCGTCCAGCACCATGGGCGCCCTCGGGTATGCCTGCTGGGAGAATGGGTTGGTGGGAAAGGGAGGGTACATACGAGGATTCAATATGTGAGTGGACTATTGAGGCTCACAGCACAGCCGCCACTGCACCCTCGAAGCAAGACAGATCGTCCAGCACCATGGGCGCCCTCGGGCATGCCTGCTGGGAGAATGGGTTGGGGGAGAAAGGAGAGGGAGTGGGGAGAAGAAGAGATTATTGGGTGGCTGAGAGAGAGAGAGAGAGAGAGAGAGAGAGAGAGAGAGAGAGAGAGAGAGAGAGAGAGAGAGAGAGAGAGAGAGAGGACGAGTGGATGCACGAAAGAATAAGGCAGCAGACAGAGAGACAGCACAAATAGAGGTGGATGCAGGTAGGTACTGCATGTCAAAGACATTCTAAAATTTATAATCATAAATATGCATATATGTTATTGCGTGTTTGGAATCTAGTTATTAATGCTTCAGTAAGAGAATCGACCTTGACCTTACCATCCGCATTCTCTCTCAGAAATATAACACCATGTTCATCGTGCTATAAAAGAGAAGAAAAAAAGGGAAAAGCCGAAGAAAAAGGCACGCTCTCTCCCCTCTCAGCTCACCTTCTCCTCTAACTCGGTGGTGCACGTGCATCCTTCCCTCCCTCACCACAATGGCCGTGCATTGAGTCACTCCACACATTCTTTATAAGAGCGCCGGCTATTCTCAACTTGCTTTTGAGTTGAGCCACCCCAGCATACCTTCTCCTCGGCTCGGTGGTGCAGGTGTCTCCGCCCCTCCCTCACAACGATGGCCGTGCACCGAGTCACTCCACCTCCTGCCATCGCCACGCCTCCCACCACCACTGCTGCCCCCACCATGCATGCTACCAGCAACTCTGGCCGCAACAGGTCAATCTGGTGGCAAGAATGCAGCAGAGGGACGGGAGTGGCATGAGTATCGTTTAAAAAGGAGTAACTCCGCCTGCCATCGCCACGCCTCCCACCACCACTGCTGCCCCCACCATGCACACTACTAGCAGCTCTGGCCGCAACAGGTCAATCTGGTACTGGGAGTGGGCTGGGAATGCAGGAGAGGGAGAGGAACACACTATCGTTTATTGGACGGAAAACAGGGCCGCTCTACATGCTGCTGATGCCACAGCTCTCTCACCACCACTGCCGCTCCCCCCCCACCATGCACGCCACTAGCAGCACTGGGCGCAACCAGTCAATCTGGTGGTAAATTGCAGGAGAGGAAGGGGGGTGGCATGAGCAAAATAGAAGAGAAAACGGAGCCATTACATCATGCAGTGCTGTGCCAGAGTTAGAGGAGACGAGCGCAAAAAAGGCGTGGAATAGCAGCAGAGGGCAGAGCAAGGAGGCTCCACACCCCAAGCAAGCCCTCTGTGGCGCATGTTCCTTGCGACGTCCCAGAACTCACATCGTGCAGTGCTGTTTCAGTCCGGAGTCAGATGATACGAGCAACACACAGACGTGCACAGGGTGTATGGCAGCTGAGGAATCAATCAACTCACATTGTACAGTGCTGTGTTGGAGTAAGAGGAGAGGAGACGAGAGCCACAAAGGCATGCATGAGCAGGAAAGAGCAGAGGGAGGATGCACCACACCCCATCCTCCCCTTGGGTCATGCTACTTTATACGTCTTTTCAGGTGCCTCAGAGGACGGACCACAACCCATGCTCCCTTCGGGCCATGCTTCTTGAGACGTCCCAGAACTCACATTCTGCAGCGCTGTGCTGGAGTAGGAAGAGACGAGAGCCACAAAGGCATGCACGAGCAGGAGAGAGCAGAGCGAGGAGGCACCGCACCCCATGCCGCGTGTAGCTGACGCTACAGCTGATGCTGCTGCCTCCAAAGGACTGACTGGCGTCCGTAACACTGGTGCTGCTGTTGCTGCCGCCGCTGCTGCTGGTGATGCTGCTGCTGATGACGTGGGAGCGTGGGGTGGAAGCGCGGAGGATTGTAGTGAGGACGACTGTAACGAGGATGAGGAGTCTTCTGCTGCCATCTCTCCTGTCCCTACCCCTCCCGTTGCTGCTGCTGCTGCTGCTGCTGCTGCTGCTACAGCGTCTGAGGACACTTGCTGTTGCAGCACATGTGGTGATCCTGCTGCTCCCATGTGGTCTGAAGCCATGCCGCCTCCGTCCTGCATGCCCATGCCATATGCGTCCATGCCATGTGCTGCCATGCCATGTGCGTCCTGCATCACATCATGTGCTGCCGGGCCGAGACTGAATTCCTGCATCTGTTGCATCTGGCCGTGCTGCTGCTGCTTCTGGTGCTGCACATAGGAGCCATGAAGGGGAATCAGGAGGGAGGTGAAGGGAGGGGACTTAGAGCAAAGGGAGTAGAGTTTTCAACTAGTGGTGGAGCAAATCGAATCTCGAGGGAAGAGGGGTTCTTTGAATTGAAACAAGGCAAGTAAGTCACAATGGATGGAACGAACGAGGTCTTGAGCAGTAAACCCCAAGGTCCATGCCATACATAATCGTGTTTTGAGTCGACACTCAAAACGTGAGCAGTAAGCCCCAAGGTCCAGTAGATCCGCCCCTCTTGTTCATCTGAGGTCCATGCTATAGATAATCTTGTTCTCAGGTGTCCATGTGTGCGCTAGTCGTCTAAAAAATCCATGTGTGCAGTAAGCTCCAAGTTCCAGTAACTCCTCCCCTTTGCACTGCATTTCACAGAGCATCCCCATCCCCATCCCCATTCCCATCCCCATCCCCATCCCCATCCCCATCCCCATCACAGCCATCCCCATCACCATCACAGCCAGCCCCAGCAGAGCAGAAAACATACCAGCTACCTCCTTTTTTCCCATCCATCATCCTCTTTTGACCTTCAAAGTCCCACCTACCTATGCCATCATTTTACAGAGCAGGTCGGCATGTGTAACAGCCAGCTGAAACAAATCAGTGGTCAGGGAGAAGCACCCGCTGCTAAGCATCCCCATCACCGCCAAAGCCAACCCCAGCACAACAGAAAACACACCAGCTACTCCCCCTTTTACTATCCGCTAATCCCCATAGACTAGACATTGAGTGACCCACCCACCTGTGCCATCATTTTACACAGTAACCCAGCATGTGACACAGCGAGCTGAAACAGATCCGTGGTGAGGGAGAAGCACCCGCTGCTGAGCATGCCCATCACCGCCACAGCCAGCCCCAGCAACCCCCCTGCCGGCTCCCCCTTCCCATCCACCAACCCCGAATTCCGCCCCAGCCACACCGCCGCCGCCACGGCCAATCCCACAATGACAGCTGGCGGCGCGGCGGAGGCAATCCCGAGGGCGAGTCCGGAGGAAATGTTGGAGGCGTGGCCGGAGGAGGAGGCGATTGCGAGGGAGCGGACGGGGGGGAGGTGCGGAGCGGAGAGGAGGGAGGAGGAGAGGAGGAGGAGGATGGAGGAGAGCATTCCGAGGAGAGCGCAGAAGAAGAAATGGAGCCAGGCGAGAGGGGCTTGCTCTGTGAATAGCAGCCACCTGGTCGCCTGGAGGGTCGGTTTGTGAATGGGCGCAAGGGGGAAAGGCAAAGGGGAAAGAGTGGGGGAGGAGGGGGGGATGCGTAGCGTCGTTTTCATCTGCATAGAGGCCACCTGGTCGCCTAAGGGTTGATTTAAATGGGTAGGGGACGGGAGAGGAACATTGGGAGGAGGAGGATGGAGGAGAGCATTCCGAGGAGGGCGCAGAAGAAGAAATGGAGCCAGGCTAGAGGGGCCTGCTCAGTGAATAGCAACCACCTGGTCGCCTGAATAGGGTTTTGGATATGGGCGCAAGGGCGGGTGGGGGGAACGGGGAAAGAGGGGGGAGGAAATGGGGAAAGCGTAATGGATATGTCGAAGGAAGAACGAAATTTGAGGAAACGCAAAGCTTCAAGTCGACACTCGCAGAAGCATCTAATGAATCTAATTCGCTTTTGAGAATTCTGAAAATCGAAACAAGTGCAAAGGACGAGGCGTTGAGCGCGAGCAAAAGTACGCAACAGTTGAGAAGAACACCCCACCACCTCCTCTGCTGCGGTGGGCAGCACTGACTCCCCCTCCCCCAGCATGGCCGAGCGGGGAGAGGAGCAGAAGAGCGGCGACTCTTAAGTTGACCCAAAAGTAGTGACTTTTGGGTAGATAGAGGAGACAGTACCTTATAGGGGAACCCACTTACCAGGGCGAAGGAGGAGACAGCGAGCACAAGAGAGAGCGCGTATCCGTTGAATATACACCCCACCACCTCCTCTGCTGCTGTTGGCAGCACTGATCCCCGCAGCATGGGCGAGCGGGGAGACGAGCGGAAGAGAGGCGAGTGCGAGGAGAAGGGGGAGGAGGAGGAGTAGGAGGAAGAGGAAGAGTCGACGGGGAGGGAGTGAGGGAGGCGGGAGGAGCCAGCTGCGGCAGAGACGGAGAGAATGGCAGCGGCTGATGTGAGGAGGTCTAGAGAGAGGACCACGAGGGGCAGGAGGATGAACCCTGTTGGGTCTGGAGTGCGATAGGGGAGGGGAGAGAGGGGAGGGAAGGGAGGGAGGGAAGGGGAGGGAGGGGCGGGGAGGAAGAGTAAATCAGACGCGGAATTGAAAGAGGATGCGACAGTGCAACCTAATGAGGGGGACGAGGACGAAAGGTCTGGAGTGGGAGAGAGCGGAGCGGGGAGGGAAATTGGAGGAGAGAAAAGAAAGAAAAGAACAGCAGGCACGGAAGGGAAGCAAAGCTACTGTCAATGGCGCAGTGCTGTGCCACGATTGCCCCCAGCACCATCTTTGAGACGTGCCAAAAGAATCTGTTCTTTGAGAATTCTCAAAAAACAGATGTGCCAAAAGAGAATCAGGGAAAGAAAGGAAGCAGACCACTGTCAGTTGTTTGAGACGTATTCAAAGCAAACCTACTGTCAATGGCGCAGTGCTGTGCCACATGCGCCCCCAAAACCATCGATGCCACCGCTTCTGCTGCTGCCAGGCAAAACGCCTCACATGCCCTCGCTGCCCCCCTCGCCATGCCCACGCCCACCTGCCCTCCACGGACGCACGGAGAATGATATGAGGGTGGGGGTGAGAGGGCGGAAGAGAGGAGAGATGTAGGCAAATTGATGCAGGGGGAAATAGAGAGGGAAGTGAGGAGGAGCGAGGAGCGAACTCTAACAACCCCTCACACAACGTATTCACCACGCCATCATGCCACCATGCCACGAGACGTCTCAAAACTTCACCACGCCATCATGCCACCCACCATGCCAATTGCCATATAACGACCAGAATCTCTGAAACACGGCCTCAGAACAGAACTTCGAGAAACAAACCCTTAGAAACGGGCCCTAAGAAAACAAAACCTCGAAAACAGACCCACCATGTCAGCAACAGCAACGACATTGGCGCCCCCTCCTGCTGCCTCTGACGCGCTTCTGTCCATCCTTGATATAAGCTTGTGGCCCAGCGCTAGAGAGCGGGAGAAGATGGACGGCGGGAGGTGGTAGAAGAGAGACACTACTGCCGCCCCGAAGCAGAAACAGACAAGCAATGCCGGCACTGCGGTGGGAGGGGTGAGTAGGGGGAGGATGGAGGAAGGTGAGGTACGGAGGAGAGGATAAGGGGAAGAATCAAGATGAGGGAAGAGAGTGAAGTTGCGTAATATTTTCGGCTTTTTGCTGCTTGCTTACAATCAGTGGGCTTAAGTGCTGCTGAAGCCAAAGCCGAACCCGCAGTAGCAGCAGAGGCAGCCGAGGCGGAGAGGCCTCTTCGTTTTTGTGCAGCAAGGGAGGCGGGGAGTGGGGCGAGGTGCATGTGGAAGAAGGCGAGCAGGGCGCTGTAGTTGATGCCCAGCCCCACCACCGGCACTGCTGCCACCACCAGCGCTGCTGCCCCCGCTGCTCGGATAGCAACCTGGGGATGGGGAGGGTTGTTGCGTTAACTTTGTGGTAGCCCTAACTCGGCTTCCAGTCATTCTCTCTCGTGCATACCTCCACAACCTCATTTTCTCCCCAACCCCTCACTCCCTTTCCTTGGAAAATTCCGAACGCACCATTTCTTGGCCTCTGCCTACAGTTGATTTTTTAGTGTGGTTGAGCTGCCGTCAAGACAGGGACACGAGTGTGTTCTGGTTTTCTCACCTGAAGGGCCTCCTGAGGGGATCGCCTGGCAGCAACAGCAATCCTGGCAGCAGCCGGCACGGACAACCACACAGCAGCGTGTGCAGCAAGAGTCATGCAGAACCCTCCCAGGAGGAAGGAGAGGAGAGAAGCGAAATGACAATGTCTTTGTTCTTTTACCTGAAGGGCCTCCTGAGGGGATCGCCTGACAGCAGTGGCAATCCTGACAGCAGCCGGAACAGACACCCACACAGCAGCATGCGCGGCAAGGGCCATGCAGGACCCTCCCAGGAGGAAAGGAGAGCAGCGAGACGACAACATGCGTTTTTTTACCTGAAGGGCCTCTTGGGGGGATCGCCTGGCAGCAGCAGCAATCCTGGCAGCAGCAGGCACGGACACCCACACTGCAGCGTGCGCAGCAAGAGCCATGCAGAACCCTCCCAGGAGGAAGGAGAGCAGCGAGACGAAGGCGAGCAGCGAGCGGTGCACGCCGGTGGCCTCTTGCTGAGGCGAGAGCTGGTGGGAGAGGTGGATGAGGGCGACCAGCATGGTGGCCACTAGCACTGCCTTGGCTGCTGCCGCTGTTACGGCTGCTCGCAGCGTGGCCGCTCCCCTTTGAACCGCTGCTGTCACCTGGTGTGGGCAGGGAGGAGCGCAAGAGGGGTGACGAGGACTGAGGAGGAAATGGGAGTTGCTAACGAAGGGAGGGAGGAGAGAGGGAGCAGCGCACGCCCATGACCTCCTGCTGAGGCGTGATGTCTAAAACAAAAACAAAAACATACTGAAAACGAAATTGCTAACAACGTGACGACAGTGTGAGTGACCACGTGTGTGAGGGAAAGGGGGTGAGGCAGACAAAGAGCACAACAAGCAGGTTGACAGGGAGTGAAGAGGTCTGGAGCTGCTCCTCACCTCACCCCCATCCCCCAACCCAACCCCCACAACCACCCCCACCCCCAACCCACCTTTGGTCATCACATTTGGTCCGCATCCAGGAGCCGAACAGCCAGGGGAGCACGGGGACAGGAAGTGCAAAGAGCATGGCACCAGCGGCGACGAGGAAGACGGGATGAGCACCAGGGAGGTGAGCGAGGCCAGCAGGAACGCCAACAGGAAGGGCGAGCGGGCAGACGAGCAGCGGGGCTAGCAGGAAGGCGAGAAGGTGGGCAGAGAACACATGGGCCTTCTTGCTATCCCTAAGAGCCAACCCACCTGTCTGAGGGTGTTCCCGCCGTCATCCCTGGACCGCACCCAGGAGGCTAGTAGCGAGGCAAAGAGCACGGCAGCAGCGGCGAGGAGGAAGACCGGGATGAGCACCGGGGAGGTGAGCGAGGCCAGTAGGAACGCCAGCAGGAATGGCGCTGCTACTAGCAGTCTCGCCACCTTTATTCCACGGAAAAGATCAGGACTCTGGGGAAGGGGGTGGGGAGGGGACGGGGAAAAGGTGAGAGAAGGTCAGGGTTCTTGGGGGACTGGGGAGGAAGAGTGGGGGGAGGGCGGGAGGGGAAGGGCAAGGGGGAAAAAAACAGCTAGCCGAACAGCATGAGTGAAGCGGAGCGAGCTAAGGAGCTTGGCGGATCTTACGGGCAATCGAGAACGAAAACAATGGGCACTCAGAAAAGGAAAAACTTTTTGTAAAATGGATCAGAATTCCAAACAATAAAAAGTAAGGGCAGGGAGAGCACTGACGAGGTCGGGAACCACCACCACATGCTGCGCTAGACTGTCCTCGAACGGCGTCCGCGCCATGGGCTGACTCGTTTATAGGCGCCGATAGAGCAGAATTAGGGTGAGCTACCGTCAAGTGCGGACCAATCAGCGGCTGCTCTGAAGGGGTTTGCGGTGCTGGGAGAATGTGGGTTTGGGGGAGGAAGGGAAGGGGATGGGAGAGGAGGAAGGGGGGAGATGGAGAGGAGGAAGGGGGGAGATGGAGAGGAGGAAGGGGGGAGATGGAGAGGGGGGGACAAGGGAGTGAAGAGCAGGGTAAGGTTTGGGGAGGTTGCAGTCAGAACTCCACCAGGTCAACAGTCAGGTTATGAGGCCATGGCAGATGCTAACGTTTGCGAGAGTAACGGCTCTTGGATAGGAGCTGGAGAGGAGAAGTGTATGGTTGACTCAGCGAGACCTGGTGTGTTTTGAGTCAAAACACACCGTTTGAGTCGACTCAAAACGTAACTGCTCTTAGTTAAGAGCTGGAGAGAAGAGGTGTAGGGTTGACTCAACGAGACTGGACGTACGAGTTGCAACCTGATGGCCTACATCCGCATTGTTAGTTTCGTTCACGGATAAGGCAAGGACGTTCACGCCTCGCAGCCGCATTCTCGCAATCGCATTCTCGTATTCGCAATCGCATTCTCGTATTCGCAATCGCATTCTCGTATTCGCAATCGCATTCTCGCATTCACAATCCATTCTCGTAATCGTATTCGAATATTCTCGCAGTCGAATATTCGCACTAAGCCAATCCCGCACTCCGGCTGGGGAGTCAATGTCACCATTGTCGATCTCACCTGCAAATACGGAGGTGAGCGGCACGGTAAGCTTCAGATGTATCTAATCTGGAATCGCAGCATTCGGATTCGACACTGCGCAGCCATGGTAGGTGAAGCGCTCTGTTGAAGCCCCTGTGAGTGGGTGCCACTCATTCAAGTCTCAATTTTGTTTTGCTGCTCGGGAAGTGAAGTGAAGCCCCTTATAGCCGTTAGCAACAAAATCGAGGTAATTGTTCGGTAGAGACGAACGGCTTAAGTATTTGAAAGCGTTTCGAGTTTAGGAAAACCAGCATGCTACATGAAAGTTTTAACAATGATTGCTATTTCAACATGAAGTTTACAAACAAGCAATCCCTGTCATTTCCTCAGCAAACAATGCACACAAGCATCTCCAGAAAGCATCTCCTGATTGTTGCCCTCCCACATTAATCAGCAGAAGAAGCCCTGAAACCACATGAAACTCGAGCACTTGCGGTTTTCCTGCCCTTGCAACCCAGGTAAATACTTTCCTTGTCACCAGCAGTCTGCCTCACATGGCCAAACCCACTGTACCACCACAGTGATGCGAAATAGTAAAATTCCTTACCCTTTGTCCAGTACTAGGCATCAACACCTCTTCCCGCCCCACCCTTTCTGAAAGCCATTCATACCTCACAGTTCCACATAGATTCATCTGCATTGTCCACCTCACTCCACACTCCAGTTCTCTTCCACACACCTCTCAACTTTCTCAACTTACATCGTCCTCTTGCTGTCCAAAGCCCCTTCCACCCTGCAGTGAATGCACACAGAAGAACCTGCTACTGCATGCACTGTACACATACGTGAGAGGCCAACCGCACCCAAGCCCCTGAATGCCCACTTGCGCCCTCCACTCTCATGCCTCTCTTCCCTCTCCTCTCCCTCTCTCCCCTCTCCTCCCTCTCCTCCCTCTCCTGTCCCTCTCCTCCCTCTCCTCCCTCTCCTGTCCCTCTCTCCCCTCTCCTCCCTATCCTGCCTCTCTGTTCCCTCCTTCCCCTGTCACTGTTTCTCCTTCCTCCTCCACCATTCCCCAGTCACCGCGGGTTCTTCACCTTGGCACCGCAGTGTCGGCAGCAGAACCGGGTGTGGCGCACATACATGTGGAAATGGTCCAGGCTGCCACACGCGTGATGGGAAAACCCTCCCTCTACCTCCCCGCCACTGCCTCCTCCTTTCACTCCCACCTCTCCCCACTCGCGCAATCCCAAAACCTCCCCCCCCCCCCGAACTCCCATCACCTCCCTCTCTGCTCTTCTCTGTCTCTCTTCCCTCTCCTGCCCCTGCCTTTCCTCCCCCCAGTCACCGCGGGTTCTTCACCGCGGCACCGCAGTGCCGGCAGCAGAACCGGGTGTGGCGCACATACATGTGGAAATGGTCCAGGCTGCCACACGCGTGATGGGAAAACCCCTCCCGAGCCGGCGCCTGCTTGTCCCTAAACCCCACGCCGTGCCGCCCGCAGAATCCAATCGCCTTCACCTCGGGCAGCTGCAGCAGGCCGGGCGGCAGATAGTCCAAACCGCAGCCGTCCACCACGAGAATGTGCAGACAGGGGAGTGCGCCGCCCAGCACCCTGCCTGTGCTTCTAGTAGTAGCAGTAGTGGTAGTGGCAGCAGCAGTGGCAGCAGCAGTGGCAGTGGTGGTGGTGGCAGTGGCGGGGAGAGAGGAAATGGGGTTGCTGGGATTCACATTGAAGGCAGCAGGGTTGCTGGTAGGTCTGGTTTCTGTGAATGGATTCATGCTCAACTCTGCAGGAGCATTACTGCTGGGAGCATTGCTGCTGGGAACACTGCTGAGGTGAGTGGCTGAACTGCTGCTACTTGGATTGCTACTGGGATAGCTGACAGCACTGCTCCTGCCTTCATCCTTCGCTCCTCCTCCACCTGCGGCTGTGCTACTGCCACCTGCTGCTGAGCTAGCGGCAGCACCACCAGTCCCGAACCTGCTTCCACCCAGGCCAAAGGCAGCGCCAAACGAAAAGAAACTGCTGATGGGGTAAACGCTGCTAGTAGCTGCTGCAATCGGAGCCCTTGCTGCTGGTGGCGGTGGTGGTGGCGGTGGTGGAGGTGGCGCAGTGGTAGGCGCTGCTGATGATGTGGCTGCTGCTGACGTGGCTGCTGGAGGAGTGACTGCTAGCGAGACAACAGCAGGCAGGGGACTCCCAGCAGCAAGCGAATCAGATGCACGCGGTGGTGGGGGGAGGACTGATGATGGCAACAGGTTGCAAGCAGGAGAAGGGTTGGACGAAGCTGAAGGGTTGAAGGAGAGAGGGGATGGTCCAGGGGCGGAATTGAGGCGCAGGGAGGAGTAGAGGCCGTGGGGGAAGGAGTTTTCAAAGTAGGCGAGCAGAGGCGGGCTGCCAGACAGCCAGCCCTCGAGGTAGTGCAGGTGGGAGAGGCGCGAGAGCACCCTCTCATAGTGGTGCAAATGCCGTGCCGGCCGGAACGATGCTGCTGATGATGGTGATGAAGATGATGGGATGTGTGGGGATCGGAATGTCGACGACCCAGTTGCTGTGGATGTGGTAGGGAAGGGGAAGTGCACGGGAGAGTCATCGTCCCACGTCTCCTCTTCGTTCTCCACCTCATCCCCATAATCACCCTCACTCTCCTCTTCTTCCTCGTCACTCACGTAACTCTCATCGTCCTCCTCATCTGAAGAATCCTCCTCGAATTCATCATCGTCATCATCTATCGCTGCTTTCCCCACCCTCCTCCTCCCCATCCCACTCCCCTCCCCTCGCCCCGCTCCCTCCATCCCTCCCCCTCTCACTCTCCTCCATCCCGCACCAGCCCACCTCCGCCTCTTCCTCCCCCCCTCCCTCTCCCCCTCTGCTCCCTCCAGCCCAAACCCAAGGTCGTCTAGAGCAGGGCAATCCGCTACAATCAGCTCCGTTAGGGTTTCCCACTGCTTCAGGGCGTTGGGGGGAAGAGAGGCCAATCGCCAACAGTCATGGATCACCAGGCACTGTAGCACGGGCAGGTTCGCCATTGAAACGGGCAGCTCTTCCAGGCGCGGGCAGAGTGACAGGCCAAAAACTTTCAGCGCGGGGAGCTGCCCAAGAGAGTCGGGCAGGCGTTCGAGGGACGGGAGCTTGAGCAGGAGCAGCGTGTCAAGGGCAGGAAGCTGCCCGAGGTCTTCGGGCAGGGAAGTGAGCGAAGCACAGTCGGAAATCTCCAGGAAACGGAGAGCGGAAAGGGTGGAGGAGAGGTGTGGTGGGTTGGTGAGAGGGAGGGGTGGGCCATGGAAAGAATAAGGCCCTGGAGCAGCAGCAGCAGCAGCATAAGAAGGTGACCTGGTTGTGTTGCTGAGTGTATTGGTGGTGGGGAATGCGGGTGCGGGCGCATTAAGGCCAAACAGCGTGCTGACAGCCGATGCATGAGCAGCATCAGCATGAGCATCAGCAGCAGCAGCTGCAGAAGTCGAAGCATCTTCAAGAGACAACTCATCCAGTGACCTATGCCGCTCACGGCGCTCCAACAGACCGAATCCACCCAACCCGCCAGCGTTCCCACCGCCAAGACCCAACGCAGAGGAAGCAACGCGGAAGGGCGGCAGGGTCGCCAAATGCCTGGCGCCATTCACGCAGAGCCGCTCCAGCCCCGACAGATGCGCCCAGGACTCAGGCACCTCCCGCAACGCATCGCACCCCTCTACCTCCAACACTCGCAGCCCCCCCAGGTGCCCTATCGACTCTGGTAACCCTACCAGACTCGGCAGCTGCTTTAACTCCATACTCTCTAACCTCACCAGACACCCTATATCTTCGGGCAGACTCGCTAGCCTCTCGCATCGGACAACTTCTAGGGTTACTAGGGCTGTCAGCTGCGCTGTGCCGGCCGGAAGAAGCTGTAGCGCGCTACAGTCGCTCAGGCGGAGGCGGGAGAGGCGGGAAAGCTCGGCGAGCGAATCCGGGAGGGCGGTCAGCGCAGCGCACTGGGACAGATGAAGTTCCTCGAGATTGGATAGCCCGCCTAGGGAATCCGGGAGGCATGTGAGGCGCTCCGATTCCAGTTTGAGCACTCGGAGGGTTCCCACGCGGCCTAGGGTTTCGGGAAGCATCAAGAGGTCGAACGCGTTGATCTCGAGGTGCTCCAGCGCGGGCAGATCGCCGATGGACGGCGGGAGATGGTGGAAGCAACGGCTGGAGATGCGGATGGTGCGGAGGGAGGAGAGGAGGGAGAGGTTGCAGTGAGTGGAGGTGAAGCGAGAGAGGGTGCTTACTGATGGTTGACCTAGGTGCTCGCTCTGGCCGAGTTCTAGTGCTTCGAGTTGTGTTAGGAGGTTGACTGTGGGCGGGAGCGCGGAGACGCGGCGGTAGGAGAGGAGACGGATGACCTGGAGCCGCGGGCAGCCGCGAAATAAATTGGACAGACCGGCTTCGCTGAAGCGCGTGCGTTGCTGGTAGCCTACGTGGAGGAGATTGAGATTTGGACACGTCACGCCTAATCCGCAAAGCAGCAGGTCATCCGCGTCATAGACGGTTCGGTCGGCGACTATAAGGTGGGTAAGAAGCGGGAATCGCGCGAGCGACTTAAGGAGCTTCTGCGTGGAAATCTCGTGTGTCACGTGGACGTAGGTGCGGCCTAGGCAGGATAGCTGGTACCAGCGCTTGCAAACTAGGCGTGGTCGAAGGAGCGGCGCGTGACGTAGTGTAGAACGCGAGCTAAGACATCGTCAGGTAGATCGTTAAGAGGGAACGGCTGAGTGCAGGCGAAAAGCCGCAGCGAGGTGGAAGGGAAAAAAGAGCTCCACATGTTGGATTGGACGTGGCTCCTAATTAGGGTTTGAATAGGCAGCCTACAAAGGTAGGAGTCGGGACAAGTGATTGTGCTAATGCTTGGAACATAAGTCAGGAGCTTAAACTGGACGCAACTAACGATCCGCACGGCAAGAAACCGATGCTTCGACGAAAAGCACGTGCCATAGTGAGGAGGTAAGGTGCGAGCTTCGCGCAAACCAAGCTGCACTTGTGGGTAGTGGGTCTACTATTTGGAAATTCCGCCTCGAGGCATACAGGCTAGGGGGTGAGGGAAGCGGTGTGACTGTAGGTGCCCTAGACTCCATAACTGTTTTGGTCGGTTCAACCATAGATAGAGTGACCTAAACGAATTCACGAATGTTCAGCTTTGTCTGCGAAACTACTAGAGCATTCGGTAGCAACGTTTTCGTCTATGGACGTGAGAGAAGTGAATGGGGCAGTTTGCAAGGTCGTATCGCGTGGGGCCTGGTCCTCGGGGTCAACCGTGGACGACCTGACCGAAACCAGAAAAACAGTGCCGTTCATCGTCACCGTCGCAACGTTTTGTTGAAGAGTAATCCGACGGCTTTCATTTTGTGGGAGATTCATGAATCGTGGGAAAAGGACATCCTTGGCAGGAAAACACGCGGAAACATCAAATGCCGTGTGGCTTGGGGCAAGCTGGCTTGGCGTGTGGTGTGCCTTGCAATTGCAATTGTCCATAGCGCGCCATCAATCTTGATGCGGTGCAGAATGATTCGCTAGCCTTAAAGCGTGGTAGACCTCTCTGTTATTTGCTACGTGTTATCTCATAGACAGGACAACTAATAAGAACTTATGCAACCATCCTGCATTCTGGCTTTCTTTTTTCACTACACACGTGTAATATCTCTCAATCTTCATCAACCATGTCATTAACTTGCTCTAGGAAGTTGCGCACTTGTGCTGCTGAAAGGAGCATCACTAGGCGAAGGTGTTGAAAGCCCTTCAGCTGTCAAAGCAACCATGAAATGGGTAGGGGAGGGGAGAGGGGGGGGGGGGGGGGGGGGGGGGGGGAGGGGTGGGGGAGGGTTATAATTACGGTAGCGAGAGCGAGCCGATTGGGGGGAACGAAAAAGGGAAAGGGGGAGGAGAAGAAGAGGGATTGGAGGGAGTACGGGGGTTGAGGAGGAAATGTAAGGGGTACAAAGAGGGGGGCATACAACTCTCTATACATCACAACTCACGTGCACCTGTACCAGAAACATGACTACCAGAATGAGCAACTGAGGACAGCCAGAGCATGATAAAAGCTGACAAGCAGATAGTAAATGCCAGTTGTTTGGGTGGTTCGATGTTCGGCAAAACCTTCCTAACAAGGTTGCAAACTCTCGATGGTGTTTGGATGACAAGCGCAAAGAGGGAGAATTAGGAAGGGACACCCTAGCTGACCTGTCTGGAGGCCATGACGTCAGCATGGACCGGGAAGGAATAAGATGATGTGGCAAGCTGCATGGCAACAGATGGGTGGGAAAGGGTGAGAAGAGGCAAGCAGCGAACATGAGACACATGGTGGACTTGTGAGGCGCCTCAAAAGAATGTACTAACATGGAGCCATGAGGCATGTGGCATGACATGTGGTATGCGGCTGGATGGTGAAAGATACAGATGCATGGTGCCATGTGGCTGCCGCATAGTATGGCTCACCTTCTTGAGCAGCTCGTCCTCTGGCTTGGGAAAGAACAGCTCTGAGCCACTGCTCCCCGCTCCCTTGGCCTGCTTCCTTGCCGCCTGCACAAGGCCACAGGACATTGGATGGCGCCGTATGGTCACATCAGCCGACTTGGATCACTCCTGCCATGGTGACGAGATAAGGCCATCGGATTGCATCGATGAGAGTTGCTCCAGACTTTTGCATCAGCCGACTAGCACATAGCAGCAGGAGCTTTACTGTTGGGTGAGACGAGAGACGTGTACAGTAGAACTATAGTAAGATGATGATACCACATCATCACCCCCATCCTTGCCACATCATTGCAACATTGTAACCACACCACATCCTTGGACTTTACAATTGGGTGCCGTGCAGCTGTCATCTGAGCTTAAGTGAGTGAGAATAATGCTGTCTCGTCACCTGTCAGAGTTCCTGTGCATGAATGAGGAGAATACTTGCGACAGCCGCAGCCATTACCTTGCCGCCCGTCTGGCGGTACATGCGTGTGAGGATGAGCCGTAACCCGAGCGAGCATGCGTTGGCAGCTCTTGCATATAAATGAGGGCATTTGACACAGCCACAGCCATTACCTTGCCACCCGTCTGGCGGTACATGCGCGTTAGAATCAGGAACTTCTCCACTGGTGCTCCCTTCTCCAGCTGCCACGTGGACCAATGGGGGGGCGGAGGGATGAATGTAAGGTAAGAAGACGGGTGAGAAGAAGGAGGGGGGTAGGATGGGAGGGGGAAAGAGGCAAATCAGGATGGTGATCAGGGATAAGTGGCTTGGCACAATGAGGCGCACCATCTGTGCATGAGGGGAACTATGGATTGTTCAACAGTACAGAGTACTGACCACTTTCCGGAGTAGGTTCAGGGCACACAGGTTACAGGTTTTGGCTTCGAGGTTTAGGGTTTCGGAATCAGGGCTTTAAGAAAAAAAATGGATTTCAAATTTAAAGATTAGGGTTTTTGTTTTTCGGGCCCGTGACCCATCATGGGCTGCAGAGTGCTTCTGAAGAGGTGTGGCACGAGTTGGAAGGGCAGGTTGGCCACACGCTCGCACACCACCACTCCCACGCGCCCCCTCTGCATCACCTTCCACAGCTCGTCCCACTGCGCCCTGTTGTCACACCCCTAGTGCAGGAACCGGACAAAATCCGCCGTCCACCCCTTGGACTGCAGGGAGGGGTTGGTGGGATTGTGGGCGGGGTGAGGATGAGGACGCGACCACGAGTTAGAATAAGTGGGTGGTGATCAAAGGGCAGGTGGATTATACTTGAAACTAGATGCACAAAGCGAGCTGGTGCTAAGCTGGTCCACTGCCATGCCTTTGGATTCTCGAAAAACAGCATTTATCAAGTCACAAGACATGGCATGATGCACCCGGTGTTTTTTATGAATGCCATCCATGCCTCACCTTGCAGATCAACGGCAGGCATGGAGTGAGCCCCAGAATGCTTTTTGAGTCGACTCAAAAGCCAACTCACAAGGCATGGCCTGATGTCCCAGAATGCTTTTGATGAATGCCATGCCCCCAGAATGACATGCAGAATGCTTTTTGAGCCCCAGAAAGCTTTTCTATGAATGCCATGCCTCACCTTGCAGAGCAACGGTAGGCACGCAGTGAGCCCCAGAATATTCCCCTCATCCCCTGCTTTCACCACCGTTGCCACACTCCCACTCCCACCCCCACCACTACCGTTAGCACCACCGCCAGCAGCATCCCCTTCCCTGGCTGCCCCTCCTCCTGGAGTTCCCGAGGTGACTGCGTCCACAAAGGCCGGCAGGTCCCACCGCTTGCCGTCCAGGAAGGTTCGCAGAAGCGCCTTCACGCCGTGGTAATCCGACGGCTGGGCGTCAAAGAAGTCGAAATCGACCATCAGGATCTGGTGGGGAGGGATGGGATGACGTGGGATGGGGAGGGATGACGAGGGATGGGGAGGAAAGGGATCATTGAAGGGAACTAACGCGGCATGGAAGGCAATATGAAAACAGACACAGCCAGCAAACACTCTGCCTTCGTACCACAGCTAAAGAACTAGAAGCTGCGGGAATCCTCATTTCTCAATCTCACAGCAAAATAGCTCTCAACCCTCCAGTAGAGCGTCTAGAAGAAATCCTGAAGCATATCGTCAGTAGATTAAGCTCTGGCTATGTGACCCGAAAGCACTCGACCCTCCAACAGCTGTTTGTACCTCCTCGTCGCCTTTCTCCGCGTCTTCGCCTTCGCTCTTTTCATACTCCTCCTCATCCTCTTCTTCCTCCTTTTCTCCCCCGTCCTCCTCATACTCCTCAGTATCATCCCCCCTTACGTCGCCATCCTCCTCCTCCTCCTGCTCCTCTACGTTCTCATTGGCCGCAAACCCGTTTTCCCCTCGCTTGCGAAAACGTTTCTGCAGCGATTTCTTGTCTAGAGCGGGTGAATCACCCTTGGCGCCGTCTCTCCCTCCGTTCTCCCCATCGGCATTCCCAATGGGTCTCAGACCCAGAAGTTCCAATTGCTGGTCTTCTGACAATCGATCTAGTAGCTTCCGGAGTCGTCGCCGCGAATCGCGACGTGATTTCACTACAGAGAAGGGGTTGTTGAACGGCGGCAAGCCGAAAAAGCTCGAATTGGTGAGGCTGCGAACCATGGCGGAAAGCAATGACAAAATGACAGGCCAAATGTGCAGAGCCAAAGCTAAACAAATTTCACATGATACAAACGACGAAACCTAAATAACATGGGGGTGTAGCTCACATGGTAGAGCGATCGCTTCGCATGCGATAGGTAAGGGGATCGATACCCCACTCCTCCACCACCTTCTTGTTGCATGTTTCTATCTCACACCGAATTGTGTTTTCTGATCAAGAAAAGCAGTGTCTGTTTCGTTTTAGCCCCATTCACTTGCTCGTAATGTACTACTGTACTTGCTCGTAATGTACTACTGTACTTGCTCGTAATGTACTACTGTACTTGCTCGTAATGTACTACTGTACTTGCTCGTAATGTACTACTGTACTTGCTCGTAATGTACTACTGTACTTGCTCGTAATGTACTACTGTACTTGCTCGTAATGTACTACTGTACTTGCTCGTAATGTACTACTGTACTTGCTCGTAATGTACTACTGTACTTGCTCGTAATGTACTACTGTACTTGCTCGTAATGTACTACTGTACTTGCTCGTAATGTACTACTGTACTTGCTCGTAATGTACTACTGTACTTGCTCGTAATGTACTACTGTACTTGCTCGTAATGTACTACTGTACTTGCTCGTAATGTACTACTGTACTTGCTCGTAATGTACTACTGTACTTGCTCGTAATGTACTACTGTACTTGCTCGTAATGTACTACTGTACTTGCTCGTAATGTACTACTGTACTTGCTCGTAGTCTACTACTGTACTTGCTCGTAATCTACTACTGTACTTGCTCGTAATCTACTACTGTACTTGCTCGTAATCTACTACTGTACTTGCTCGTAATCTACTACTGTACTTGCTCGTAATGTACTACTGTACTTGCTCGTAATGTACTACTGTACTTGCTCGTAATCTACTACTGTACTTGCTCGTAATGTACTACTGTACTTGCTCGTAATGTACTACTGTACTTGCTCGTAATCTACTACTGTACTTGCTCGTAATGTACTACTGTACTTGCTCGTAATGTACTACTGTACTTGCTCGTAATGTACTACTGTACTTGCTCGTAATGTACTACTGTACTTGCTCGTAATGTACTACTGTACTTGCTCGTAATGTACTACTGTACTTGCTCGTAATGTACTACTGTACTTGCTCGTAATGTACTACTGTACTTGCTCGTAGTCTACTACTGTACTTGCTCGTAATGTACTACTGTACTTGCTCGTAATCTACTACTGTACTTGCTCGTAATCTACTACTGTACTTGCTCGTAATGTACTACTGTACTTGCTCGTAATGTACTACTGTACTTGCTCGTAATGTACTACTGTACTTGCTCGTAATCTACTACTGTACTTGCTCGTAATGTACTACTGTACTTGCTCGTAATGTACTACTGTACTTGCTCGTAATCTACTACTGTACTTGCTCGTAATGTACTACTGTACTTGCTCGTAATGTACTACTGTACTTGCTCGTAATGTACTACTGTACTTGCTCGTAATGTACTACTGCGTTTGCGCTACTGTATTCACTCGCTGTCTTTGCCTCTCAGCATCCCTTAGCACCCGCAGGGCCATGGGGCGCCATTGCTTGGCGGTGGACACTGACAGACCCATGCCGGTTGCGAGGCCCTTGAGCAGCATCATGGTGCGCACTATGAAGAAGATGTCTGCTGGGAACGCCTGCGGTAGGGCAGGGAATATGAGCAAGGAGTTACAGTATGATTGGTTAGCAGCAACATGGTGTGCACTATAAAGAGAATATCGGCAGGGAAAGCCTTCTAGCATAAAATGGAGCATGAGCAGAGAAATGCAGATGTTGAGTAGTCACAACCAATGGGTCGCCGAGCATGTGACAGCACAGAAGAAACAACAAATGCCACACAGAAAGAGAGTGGTTCTAAAAAGATATCAGTCCCAAGAAACCAAAGGGACTGGTTAAGAAACCAAAGAGCTGCCCCTGATCTATGCGCAACCACTCACCTTCATAGCATTGCTCTTAAGTGAGCTCTCCGCCCCAAACGGGTTGGCGCTGGTAACCCCGTTACCAGTGCCGGTATCAAACATGATCATGGCCATGCGGCGGAAGCTGTTGGGGTGCACCCCTGCTGTCTTGGCCGTCTCTATCCCCATCGCCCTGAAGCAGGAGCCCACAACCAGCATGTCTTCATCGGCTATCGCCACCACCAAGCGAGCCAGATTCAGCCTCAACGCTTCAGGCAACTGCTTGGTCTGCCCATAGTCCAACAGAGCCACCCTGCCCCCCGCACACACGAGAATGTTGCCCGGATGGGGGTCCGCCTGAAAGTGCCCGTGCTGCAGCAGCATGCGGCCGTACGCTGTTGATAGCGCTGCGAATATGCGACTGGGATTTGAGGCGCGTGGGCGGCACCCAGGGGATTGGTAGGGTAGGGAGGCGAGCAGGGAAGAATGTGAGGTTCGAAGGGCAGGGAGGAGAGGGCCTGAAACTGGGCATGGCACAGCAGCATGCTGCTTTGAGACGTCTCAAAACACTTCTTCAATCACGTGGCTATTGTTTTGAAACGTCTCAAAGCAGCATGCTGCTGCATGGGGAGGGAAGCGCATGGGGAGACAGGAAGAAAAGAGTGAAATTTTGCATGCGGAGGCCGCGTGGATGCGGCCCCGTCCAGCAGCAGCATGCGGCCGTCAGCTGTAGATAATGCAGACGTGTAGCAGAGAAGATAGCTGCTTTGAGACGTCTCAAAAACAACCTCGCTACCCGTAAGCTGTAGATAACGCAGAGAAGATACGACTGAGGAGGGAGGGGCGTTGGGGGAGTGAGGAGGGGGAATGGTGGAGTAGGGAGGCAGGCGGGAGAAGATTGTGAGGATGAAAGGGTCGGGAAGAGGGGTTCTAGAAGTGGGCGTGGCAAACACGGGCAGAGAGAATGGTCATGGCATATCATGTGATCTTACACAGACTCTGCAAGGGTATGCTAACACGAGTATCCCACCCAACCCTACCCCACCCCACTCCACCCCACCGCACCTCTTGGTCTGCCTTGCGAGAGCACCACTGGGGCTGATGCCTCGCCTGCGCATCTCCTCTGGTAGCCTCAGGATGGGTGTGCCATCTATAAAGTCCATCACCAGTAGCCCCCTGGTAGAGCCACGAAAAAGGCAGGTGGAGGAAAGTGCGGCAAGCAAGAATGCCTCAGTTTAAGAATGGTCTCTGAATGGGCGTGCCATCGATAGAGTCCATCACCAATAGGCCCCTGGGATCGACATAGTGGGTCATAAGAGGGCAAGACAGGAAACTGAGTACTAGGATAGAAGCACGATGTGATTGAAGTGAGGGGGACTGATAGAAGAAAGGGGGGAGCAGCGGAGGAAGAAAGGCAGAAAGACACTGGAATGTCTAGCAGGCAGCATAAACAGCACAGCATCTCTATCTACCAGCAGGTGAGGGTCATGTGGGGAGGATGTATGGCAGAATGGGGCCACAGCAGCAGTAGCAGTTCCTGACAACGGCAGCAGTAGCAGCACCTGGTGACAGCAGCACCTGGTGACAGCAGCAGCAGCACCCATACCTGGTGACGAGGCCTGGTATGGCTGCTGGCACAATGACAGGTGACGACCATGTATCCACCTCCGCACTCCTCCCACCACCTTCAGCCCGTTGCCGATCCCCAGGTCTTGCCTTCTTCCCCGCATGATCCTCCCTCCCCACCCTCCCCACCCTATCTGTGCTCTCCGCCCTGCTACTCCCGCCACGACCCACACCATGTACTTGCTCGTAATGTACTACTGTACTTGCTCGTAATGTACTACTGTACTTGCTCGTAATCTACTACTGTACTTGCTCGTAATGTACTACTGTACTTGCTCGTAATGTACTACTGTACTTGCTCGTAATGTACTACTGCGTTTGCGCTACTGTATTCACTCGCTGTCTTTGCCTCTCAGCATCCCTTAGCACCCGCAGGGCCATGGGGCGCCATTGCTTGGCGGTGGACACTGACAGACCCATGCCGGTTGCGAGGCCCTTGAGCAGCATCATGGTGCGCACTATGAAGAAGATGTCTGCTGGGAACGCCTGCGGTAGGGCAGGGAATATGAGCAAGGAGTTACAGTATGATTGGTTAGCAGCAACATGGTGTGCACTATAAAGAGAATATCGGCAGGGAAAGCCTTCTAGCATAAAATGGAGCATGAGCAGAGAAATGCAGATGTTGAGTAGTCACAACCAATGGGTCGCCGAGCATGTGACAGCACAGAAGAAACAACAAATGCCACACAGAAAGAGAGTGGTTCTAAAAAGATATCAGTCCCAAGAAACCAAAGGGACTGGTTAAGAAACCAAAGAGCTGCCCCTGATCTATGCGCAACCACTCACCTTCATAGCATTGCTCTTAAGTGAGCTCTCCGCCCCAAACGGGTTGGCGCTGGTAACCCCGTTACCAGTGCCGGTATCAAACATGATCATGGCCATGCGGCGGAAGCTGTTGGGGTGCACCCCTGCTGTCTTGGCCGTCTCTATCCCCATCGCCCTGAAGCAGGAGCCCACAACCAGCATGTCTTCATCGGCTATCGCCACCACCAAGCGAGCCAGATTCAGCCTCAACGCTTCAGGCAACTGCTTGGTCTGCCCGTAGTCCAACAGAGCCACCCTGCCCCCCGCACACACGAGAATGTTGCCCGGATGGGGGTCCGCCTGAAAGTGCCCGTGCTGCAGCAGCATGCGGCCGTACGCTGTTGATAGCGCTGCGAATATGCGACTGGGATTTGAGGCGCGTGGGCGGCACCCAGGGGATTGGTAGGGTAGGGAGGCGAGCAGGGAAGAATGTGAGGTTCGAAGGGCAGGGAGGAGAGGGCCTGAAACTGGGCATGGCACAGCAGCATGCTGCTTTGAGACGTCTCAAAACACTTCTTCAATCACGTGGCTATTGTTTTGAAACGTCTCAAAGCAGCATGCTGCTGCATGGGGAGGGAAGCGCATGGGGAGACAGGAAGAAAAGAGTGAAATTTTGCATGCGGAGGCCGCGTGGATGCGGCCCCGTCCAGCAGCAGCATGCGGCCGTCAGCTGTAGATAATGCAGACGTGTAGCAGAGAAGATAGCTGCTTTGAGACGTCTCAAAAACAACCTCGCTACCCGTAAGCTGTAGATAACGCAGAGAAGATACGACTGAGGAGGGAGGGGCGTTGGGGGAGTGAGGAGGGGGAATGGTGGAGTAGGGAGGCAGGCGGGAGAAGATTGTGAGGATGAAAGGGTCGGGAAGAGGGGTTCTAGAAGTGGGCGTGGCAAACACGGGCAGAGAGAATGGTCATGGCATATCATGTGATCTTACACAGACTCTGCAAGGGTATGCTAACACGAGTATCCCACCCAACCCTACCCCACCCCACTCCACCCCACCGCACCTCTTGGTCTGCCTTGCGAGAGCACCACTGGGGCTGATGCCTCGCCTGCGCATCTCCTCTGGTAGCCTCAGGATGGGTGTGCCATCTATAAAGTCCATCACCAGTAGCCCCCTGGTAGAGCCACGAAAAAGGCAGGTGGAGGAAAGTGCGGCAAGCAAGAATGCCTCAGTTTAAGAATGGTCTCTGAATGGGCGTGCCATCGATAGAGTCCATCACCAATAGGCCCCTGGGATCGACATAGTGGGTCATAAGAGGGCAAGACAGGAAACTGAGTACTAGGATAGAAGCACGATGTGATTGAAGTGAGGGGGACTGATAGAAGAAAGGGGGGAGCAGCGGAGGAAGAAAGGCAGAAAGACACTGGAATGTCTAGCAGGCAGCATAAACAGCACAGCATCTCTATCTACCAGCAGGTGAGGGTCATGTGGGGAGGATGTATGGCAGAATGGGGCCACAGCAGCAGTAGCAGTTCCTGACAACGGCAGCAGTAGCAGCACCTGGTGACAGCAGCACCTGGTGACAGCAGCAGCAGCACCCATACCTGGTGACGAGGCCTGGTATGGCTGCTGGCACAATGACAGGTGACGACCATGTATCCACCTCCGCACTCCTCCCACCACCTTCAGCCCGTTGCCGATCCCCAGGTCTTGCCTTCTTCCCCGCATGATCCTCCCTCCCCACCCTCCCCACCCTATCTGTGCTCTCCGCCCTGCTACTCCCGCCACGACCCACACCATGTCTGCCTGTGCGCCTGCTGCTCCGCATCCCCCCATGTGCAAGCGGCGCGAGGGAGGAGGGACGAGGGAAGAAGGAAAAGGGCAGCACATATCTTAAGGTCTGTCTGTCATGCCTGCTCCTCCGCCTCCTCCCACCCACTGTCTCGCCCCCTTCCAGCTATGAAGAGGCTCGTCATATTCACTCCATGCTGCTGCCTCGTCCTCAAAGTCAAACTCGTGCCAAATCTGATGCATAGGGGCGTGGGAAGAGGGAAGAGGGCTTTGTGTCAGTTGGGATGATCGATGGGATCATTGAAGGGATGATTGATGGGTGCTAGACGATTCGGCTGCTGTTGAAGCATTGGAAGCCTGAATGTGGAATATCTGCTGGGGGTTGCACAAAACTGCTGCTCCAGTCTTTGAGGCCCTTTGAGGCGTCTAAAACAAACTCAGCCCTGCACGGAACACGCACCTGCTGCTCGAGGTCAGAGATGGGGCCCAGCAGGTCCACTTTGAGCTCGGCGCGCTGCTAGAAGGCCCCAAAGGGAGCAGCACATGTGTTAAGCGCAGGACAATGGATAAACAGTGCACATACCTGCTGCTCCAGCTCAGAGATGGGGCCCAGCAGGTCCACTCTGACTTCCATGCGCTGTTGAGAATTCTCAAAAGTGACTTCCATGCGCTGCAGGAAGGCCCCAAAGCGACGCAGATAGCCAGATTTGACAGGTGGGAGGAGCACAGCGGGAGCAACATGCACACACCTGCTGCTCCAGCTCAGAGATGGGACCCAGCAGGTCCACCTTGAGCTCGGCACGATGCAGGAAGCACTGTAGTACTGGGGGTGCACCATGTGCAATTAACAGTGCACCCTGCATCTTGCACCCTGCACGCTGCATTGAGCATCATGCACACACCTGCTGCTCCAGCTCAGAAATGGGTCCAAGCAGGTCAACTTTGAGCTCGGCGCGCTGCAGAAAAGCGCCAAAGAGGCGCAGATTCGCCAGGTCCATGAGCATGAGGCGCTCTGCCCCCGCACGCTGCACCTGTGGGGTGAGGTGAGAATGAAGGGGGGGGTGAAAGGATGAGGTGGGACGAGAGGAGCAACAAGGTGCAGTCAATGGCATAAGTGATGCGAGGCGTCGAGGCTCTCATCTCGTGAGTGCCATCAGCATCAGCTGCTCTGCCCCCGCACGCTGCACCTGTGGTGCGAGAATGAAGGGGAACGCGGAGGGCGAGGAGAGATGAGGGAACTCAGAGGCAGTTAGGTGTGTGAGCGATTAGAGGACTGGGCGTAGCAGAGAGCTTGTGCTCGCGCGTCCATCAGCATCAGGCGATCTGCCCCCGCACGCTGCACCTGTGGTCTCTTTTGAGACGTCTCAAAAGTCACCTGTGGTGTGAGGATAAGAGGGTGGAGAAAGAGAGTGAGGAAGCAAGCATGCCTATCCTATCACACAACGCCATACCACCCCATCATGCATATGCCCTGCGTGCCTGCCCTACAAGCACACTCATGGGCACGGTGCCCTGCACATGTGCTGCTTGCTTCGCTCGATAGCCGCACAGCACCCATCATTCAGCCTGCCTTGCACCTGTTTTTGGTCGACTCAAAAATAAGCGCACCCATCATGTGCCCTGCCCTGCCCTGCCATGCCGTGCCATGCCCTGCCATGCCGTGCCTGCCCTACAAGCACAATCGTGCGCTGCTTGCTTACCTTATGGACGCCCAAGGACAACCCGCAGTCTTTTGAGTTTGTTCACGTGCAAGGCGAGATGTCCGGCTCCACATCGAATGCAGACATGGCGAAGCTATTCACGGGGAGAAACAAGTGGATGGCTTTTAATGGGAAACTTGGTGGATATTGTAAGTGTGTTTGTCCTTCAACCACGGTGTGTAGAGAATGTTTTGGATGATGGGAGCTGACTTGGTTTGCTTTTGTTCTCAGATAATTCGGAACTCGAAACTGGAGTGAGCGCGATAGCTTTCCAGAAGGACCAGGGGCAGGTAAGCTTGTGTTTGGCTTCTGGACATTTTGTATGTTGTCAATCTCTGGTAAGGGATGCAAATCAGCCTCCAACCTGATTTCTTCGCCCCTTGCTAATATTCTTCTTGTTGCGCCAACAGTTCACTGAGCTATCCTAAGGGATGAGTAAGCAAGGGGCGAATCCCTGAGGGGTGCTTGCTTTGAAAAGAGGCAGCTTGGCACAAAGTGGAAGTGTGGCACAGGGCAACCCCAACATGGGTTGAGTGGGGAGGGGACCCTCTTCTCTTCAGTGGGGCGACTCTCCTGGCCCCTTGACGCTTCACACCGACCCAGTTCCACCACCATTGAGTTAGCTCTGAATAAAACGCGTCGTGCTCCTCCTCACGTTGCACGTTGCCGAGTGTCGTTGCTTACTCCGGCTACCGCTACTTTCCCTGAAGTGGTGTCTGGTGTGGGTGGAGATGCCCATGAATGACCAATGTATTATGTAACCAGTATGAGTGTACTGCTTGACAAGTTCAACACGAACAAGTTCAGAATGAACAAACACAACAACTCAAAGCTCACATGCGGTATGCACATTATCAAGGGGTTACTCAACTCTATATCGTTACTACCGTGGTACGAACACGCGACCATGGAGAAAGGAGCGCCCCATCATCCTGTGAACAGTCGCAACAATCTGGCACAAGGTGGCAACGAGTTGACGCGGTGCGACTGGCTAGAACTGCCGAGGACGCGGCAAGCCGGTTATCAGGGCTGCACACCAGGCTCTGACGCTGCTCCTTATTGCACCCACAACAGTTCACTGCTGAGCTCAAGAATGCGTAACAGGGTGGCGTGCCCACCACGGGCGTGCCTGCAGGCATCTTGACACAACGTGGAATACTATCAGGAAAGGCGCAATGCTGATATGGTTTGTGGAGAGGGAGAGGGACTCTTCTGGCCGCTACAAAGCTGTGACACCTGGCAAGAACCATCATGAGTTGACAATCAAGCGTAAGCAATGAATGTGTCGGGCTCCTCTTGTTGCAAGTAGCCAAGTGCCTTCCATTTCCCTAGTGGAGTGACTTGTAATGTGTTGCTGCAGTTTCCGCAGTGGAGTGACGGGTTGTTGCCTTGTTTCCCAAGGGAAGCACTGACTGAATACATTCTATTCACCCGTGCCAGCAACAGTCCCACCCACACCACTGCAACCACAACACAAACCCTCTCCTCACCCAATGTAAACAATAGTACACCCAATATTCAACCTACTCTCCGCCTCGTGCCGCGAAACCAGCGGGCTACCCGAGAGATATTTCAGCACAGCTGCCCGAAGCACCCCAGTGCCCAGCCCATGCACAATGAAGAGCACAGCACCAGGCGGGCTGGACTGCACTGCTACGTCCACCGCTGCTAATGCATCCTCTGCACTCCGCCCCCTCACATCCACTGTGTTTTGCGCTGTCTGCACTGCTGCCTCTCTCACTACTGGCAGAGGAGTGGAGGAGGAGGAGGACGGGGAGGGGAACTGACAACCACGCTTCAATCCCCTGGTACTATTCGTGCTGCTGCTATCGTTACTGTCATCATCATGTTCCCATTGGCTGCCAAACAGCCCTCCTGTGGGCCCCCTCCTTCCTGCCTCTCCATCAGTCCTACCACCACCACTGCCATCGGCGGCGGGAAGGAGGTCTGCTCTCTGCACTTGCAATCGCAGATTTCCCAGTTGAACCGTCACAGACCGAGCACCTGCTGTTTCTGCCGAGCCCTCTCCCGAACCACCGCCCACTGCCACCACCGTACCACGCATACTGGTGCCGAACCTCCTCACATACACGGGCTCCCCCAGAACAGGAACCCAGTCAGCCCCTCCCGAATACCCCCCCGAGGAGCCAACTGAAGAATCTGAAACCAAAGCAGAATCAGCTTCGGGAGAGAGGCCCGCCAAAGCCGCCACTGCTGCCACATCAGCACAGGCCTGTTCCGTCGCCGCCCGCTCCGGAACACCAGCAAGGGAGGCTTCCTGAAAAGCGGCAACAACACAGGAGATCTCCTCCCTCGCTGCCAAGACCTCCTCCTGAACGTCCCTCTGATACCTTCTCTTCCACAGCACCTCCCTCACACGCAGAGGCTGCTCCTGCTGGCCCTGCTGCGAGGTGCTCCTGCTGGTGTAGTGAGCCTGAAGGTCTTTCAGCAGCCTCTCTGCTTGCTGCCTTGCCTCGGCTGCCTCTCTCGCATCTTCCTCGTTTCGCTGCCACTGCTGCTTGAGAGATGCTAGTATTCCCACTTCTTCACCCTCTCTCCTTCCTGCTCCCAGGGTACCATACTCGTCCACCTCACTCTTCCCCCCTTGCCTTCTCTCCCCTCATGCCCTGCCCTCCTCTCCCTCCCTCCTCTCCTCCTCATCCCGCTCCTCCTCCTCCTCATCCTCCCCTGCCTCCAGACTCGCAGCATGGGCGAGCCTGGCGGCTCTGGCGGCGAGGGAGGGGGGCAGGCCGCGGCAGGCAGCGAGAGAGAGGGCGTGGGAGGTGCCGGGGAGACCCCAGAGGATGTGGAAGGAGGGGCGCAGGGAGACTGGGTCGAACGCGACGCTGGCATTCTCAAACCGGGTACCGGCCGGACTGCACTGCTAGGTCCACCGCTGCTAATGCACCTCTGCACTGCGCCCTCTCACATCCACTGTGTTGCGTGCTGTCTGCACTGCTGCCGCTCTCACTGCTGGCAACAGCACGGAAGAGGAGGAGGTCTGCCACGAGCCATTTTGCCAATAAGAAGAGGGGATCGAGAATAGTTTGGCAAAAAATCACGGTTGTGAGAGGTTTGAGGAGGAACTAGAGGGGTGCAAAGAGGAAAGAGTGCGAAGAGGAAGAGCAGAGATAGCGAGGTGATGGAATTGAGGTGATAGCACAACCACCATACCCTCACAACCACCATTCCCTCACAACCACCATACCCCTCACAACCACCATACCCTCACAACCACCATACCCTCACAACCACCATACCATCAGCACCAACATACCATCAGCACCACCAAACTACCCTCAGCACATCATGTCCGACCTGTCAACCTGACCTCCCCTCTCCCGCAACTCACTCTCTCTCAATCGCCCCATGCTGCCCTCTACCACCCGGCCCATGGTTATTCAGATCGCGGTGGGGCTATGTCCAGGCTCAGCTCACACTACGCACAAGGCGTCTCTGCTGCTCCCACTTTGTGCCAAGGGATAATTCTCTGCTGCTCTCTTTCTGGTCTCGCTTCCTATCCACTCCCATCCCAGTCTCTAGCCCACTCCAGCCCCATCAATCCACGCATTGCCTCACTGCTTCCTCCTCTTCCCAAACCCACCCCCCAGCAAGGAGCGGAATAGAGGGTTGCAGCAGTGGTGAAGCCAGCGTGCCAGCTGCCAAAATTGAGAAGGCCACCTGGAGTGCTGCTCCCCTACGTCTCCTCTCCCTCACTCCTCCTTTTCAACACCCTTACTGTCCGCTCCTGAAAGCAGCGTTCTAGCTGCCAAAAGGAAGGAGCGGTGAAGACGGGTGGCAGCAGCGGGTGAAAGCAGCGTGCTAGCTGCCAAAAGGGAGAGGGTCGGCTGCCGTGCTGACCCCTCACCTCTCCTCTCCCTCACTCCTCCTTATCAACACCCTTACTATCTGCACCCCACCACGCCCTCCCGCTTCTTCCCCCCACCCAGCAGCCCGGAGCTGTGCCGAGGGTGGCACCAGTGGTAGCAGGCGGCATGGCATTGAGACCGCAGGAGAATGGGAGCAGGCGCAGGGGTACAATGAAAGAAAGGACAGTGGAGGAGGGGAGTTGGGGGCGGGGAAAGGGGAGGCAGGGGAGTTGTGATGGGATTGAGTGAGAGCGATGCAAGGGGTTGTGCTGGTGTTGGTACAGCGAGTGGCAATGAAGCAGAGGGGAAGATGTCAGAAGGAGAAGGAGCGGGTGAGCAAGGGACGAGGGAAGGGGGGAACGCAGGGGAAGAGCAGGCGAGGGAGGATGCTGTGAGGGCAAGGGAACCCCCCTCCTCTCATGCAATGCCATGCTGCTCAAAAGCCACAAGCCCCTTGCTTTGTGCCCACAAGTTACAATCCCTACCATCAACTTACCATGCCACATGCATACTGCCCCTATCCCTTCTCCCTTCCCTCTTTCCCCTCGTCCTCCCTTCCCATTCTTCCCCTTCACTCTCCCTCTCATCCTCCGCTGCTGACCCGGGCAATGGATGCAGACCAAACTGGCTCATCCTTTAAGTCTGCAAACACGCCTTCCAACCACACCCGTGCCACATCAGCAGTTGCCACGTCAGCACGTGCCAGCTCAGCGTCAGCGGTGCGTGTAACGAGCGGGGGGTGGGGCGGCGTTCCCATGTTGCGGGGGAACGGGGTGACATGTCCGGCTTGGGGTAGGATCCGGCCTGCCTGAGGGGAGAGGTGGAAAAGGCGCGGGCTGGGGAGGGATGGGGAGGGTGGTGGGGAAAGAGAGGAAGGCCAGCATTGTAACCAATGAGGAGGAGTTGCGTGTAGCATGGCTAGGAGCGGGTTGCATGGAGGGAAGTGGCGGCTGGGGAGGGATTTGGAAGGGTGGGAGGGGAGATAGTGGATAGGAGACAGGGCACAGCATGGCATGGTGGCATGGTGGATGGGGAGGAAATGAAAAGGCATGGTGGATGGGGAGGAAATGAAAAGGCATGGTGGATGGGGAACGGCATGGCAGCATGTGAGGTGACAATGCAGTAGGGCGGTTGGGGCAGTGGTGGCAGTGGTGGCACTGCTGGCAGTGGCGACAACACACATCCTGCACAGCCAGCTAGGGTATTGCTGGCAGTGGGGATGGTTGCGGCATGCATTGCGGAAGAAACCCCTGCATGTGCGCGCACACCACCTCGCTTCACTCACAGCTGCCTTGCTGACGCATGGCTGCTGCAACCCTACCCTGAGAGCAAGCAGCCCTGCAGCAGCGGCACCTTGAGCCTGGCTGCTGCACGCCACCTTGAGGGGAAGATTCCCTGCTGTGGCGCTAAGTTGAGGAAGGAAGCAGCCGTGCAGAGGCATGGCTGCTGTGGCGCTAAAAGAGGAAAGAGCCCTACATATGGGAGCACACTGTGGGAGCCCTGCATCAAGGTCATCTACCCTTGAATAGACAGCCCTACTGCAGAGGGAGTGCTGTTCCCGCTCGTGCGCCTCCTCCCACGCCGACCACCGCTGCTCCTCGCTCTGCCTGCCCACCCGCACGCACACCTGGCAAAGCTGATGGCGCGCGCATGGGGATGGGGGGCGGGGCAGCAGGGGAGAAAGCAGGCGGAGAGGCACAGAGTGACGCAGCGAAGGGAGGTACGGCTGGCACAGCTGATGGCGCGCGCATGGGCTCGTCTCCAGAAGTCAACGATGCGACGCAGCGCCTGCTGCTGCTGCTCGCGCCACCCCTCCGCCTTCGTTGTAGTTACGCAATTACCGCTACCGCCACCTCTCGTACAATTATTAGCGCTCGTGGTGTTGGTAGCGCTGCTTGTTCCCCTCGCCGCTCTCCCCGCCTTGTCATGCGAATGCAATGGCGTGCCGGACATTCCGCTCCGTAATTGCGACTCCGCCTGCACGATCCGATTCTGCAGCCATCCCGCGAGCTCGACGCGCAACGAACGAGTTCGAGCTTACGATAGATTAAACGCTACGGTCGGTCGATAACGAAGCTTGTTGGGAGTTGAAGAGTAACGGGAGGCAGTTTTCGAACTAAATCGCTTGGGGACGGGCGTGACATGGCAAGACCAAGTAATTGTACGAATCTTCACTATCAGACAGTGCGTGAATGAGATTCTGTACAGGAGGTGCATGCTCGTGAATGGACGGAGGAAGCCATCCTTTTCCTGGTGAAGGATGTCATTTTGGGTAGGCTGCGAAAGATGATAACGGGTTTCCTGTATCGAATCAAATGTTTGTGCGACGAACAAAGCTTGTTTGGAAGAGCACCACGAAAGTTGGGCGAACAGCCGGTGATGATATTTGCGAATTGTCTCGTACTTTTTCATGCTCGCCGCCATCCATGTTACTCCAGTCGCGATACACGGACCACGCTGTGTTCCAAACAGTAACCGTCGTTGACCTGAACGACGCTGCATGTGCATCAGATTCCTGGGGTGGGGGGGTGGGAACGCATGCGCGAAACATTGTCGGTTCAGGGTTGCCTTCTGAAAGACTCTGGTAACAAGCGTTGAAAACATTTCATAACGTTTATAAACGGTTCATCACGGTATACTTGGAAGTTCAATTCTTGAACAGCGTGGACTTGAGATGTCTGCCACCCTGACGGATCTGCTCTGCAAACTTATTTCCATTTCGCGCCACGCGCCACGACGCACCAACGTGCACCTTTGAATTGCTGTGTTGGCCACCTCTCGCTAGACTCCTGAAACAACGGGTCTGCTCCGACGACCTTGTTCCTAAAAATATTGGTATCACCACAACAAGTCGTGATGTCGCCAATCATCGTTAAAATACGTGCCTCGGAAAGTAGGTAGGCAACAGTTCGATGTGACCCAAGTTGAGCTTGCCTTTATTACGGTAGTAATTCGACGTGGCCTTGTGGCGTTCCCTCCGTGAGTGCTGTAACTCGTTCATTGGTAAGAAATTTCTCCCAACCACCGTCTCTTTCCTACAATATTCTTGTCACTGTTGTGTGACCATAGTAGTCTGAAAACACCCCTCGGACCGCACAGCAGAATAGCGTGCGCAACTCAATCTGATCTTGCCCCCTGTACGATTCAAGCAGCAGTTCCACTTAGTCTTGGCAGCGTTTAAAACGGACGGTCCCGCCATGAGCTTGTCGTAACTGAATAATTTCTTTCAACCAACAAAACCTACGATGGTGGCTGCGCGTTTCCTTTCGACTACATTGGCACTGGTAGTGCTGGTGGCGCTCCATATGAGAGCCACGTCAGCGCTCAGCTTCTTAAGCACCGAGGCCGGAAAAGTGCAATTGTCGCTCAACTGCGACTGGGTCGGCAACGACATTGGCCAAGCCGCCGGCAAGAACGAGATGTGCGGGAAGCTGTGCCTCAGCCGCGCGGATTGCACGCACTTCACATGGACGGCCGAAAACGGCGGCACGTGCCGGCTCAAGGGGGCAATGAACGCCACGGAACTGGTCCCCGCCACTGGCACGTCGTGCGGTTACCGCGTCAGCGACAGCGGCGCGATCGGCAACCCGTACAGGGGAGTCCAGCAGTACCTCAACCCGGAGTACGCGGCGAGCGTGAAAGCCGCGATGCTCACCGCGTCTCCCAAAGATGCGTCTGTTTTCGCGAGCGTGGCGCAGTATCCGACGGCCGTATGGCTCGACAAGATGGCGAAGCTAAACACCATCCAAGGTCACCTGGACAACGCTGCGGCTCAGGCGGGGGGAAAGCCGATTCTCGTGCAATTCGTGATATACGACCTCCCGGGCCGCGACTGCCATGCGTATTCGTCTAATGGGGAGATTCCCAAGGGCGGCATCGCCACGTACAAGGCCAATTACATCGACGTCGCCGTGGCGCGCCTTAAAAACAAGACGGCGAACGTGCGCCTATCGCTCGTGATCGAGCCCGACTCGCTGCCCAACCTCGCGACGAACTTGGGGTCAGCTCAGTGCGACGCGACGACGGAGAAGGAGTACACGGAGGGCGTCGCTTACGCGATCGCGAAGCTCTCGCAGATTCCTGGCACGTCGCTGTATGTCGACTCGGGGGGCGGCGGGTGGCTCGGTGAGTGCGTATGCCGCGCGCAGTTCCTTCCGTTCCATTTTTTAGGCGCCTCAGAAATAGATTCCGTTCCATGCCAATCTGTTTCCTTCCTATCCTTCCTCCCCTTTCAGCCGTAGCCCAGCTTCCACCGTTTCGCTTCGCACTCCCCCTCACCCCACCCCACCCCTCAACCCTTACCTGCTCGCCTCTCAACGCTTGAACAGGCTGGCCGAATAATATGAAGGCCGTCGTGACGGTGTACAAGAAAGTCCTCGTGCGCGCGCAGAAGATCCGCGCAGGCGCCAAGATCCGCGGCTTCGCGTCCAACGTGGCCAACTACAGCCCGCTCTTTTCCTACCGCTGCCCCGCGGCGGAGAGATGCCCGCTCGCGAAGCACCCAGGCACAGGCGAAATGAACTACGACTGGAACCCGTGCATCGACGAGAACCGCTTCACGTCGCGGATGAATGCGTACCTGGGAGCCTTGGGATTGCCGACCAGGTGGATCGTGGACACCAGCCGGTCCGGCCGCGCTGGCATTCGAAAGCGCTGGGGGTCGTGGTGCAACGTGAAGGGCGCGGGGATCGGACAGCGCCCCCGCGCGAATCCCGGTAGTGCTCCGCAAGGTGAGCACTTCACAACACGCGCATCCTTGCTTCTTCTTGCTGTTGTTTTTCTTATCTTCTCTTTTTGTTTTCTTTCTAGCACTTCTGTTTTGAAAAGGTGATCACATGCCACCGTTCCTTTCCCACACACCTTGCTTGCCCGACAGTTGATGCTTTGGCTTGGATCAAGCCGCCTGGGGAGAGCGATGGCCACTCGTAAGTAAATATGCAAGATCAACAGTCTGTTTTAATCATTATTGGTACTGCAGGGTCTTCCTAGTTCCTAATATGCGGATTGGTCCTACCAGTTTCCTAATATAGTGTCTTTCTTCTTCTCCCCAGTGGGTTATTTACCGAATCATTCGCTAGGGCAAGCTTCCTTCCACCTTCACTCGTCTCCTCTCCCTTCTCTGTCAGTGGGAACAAACAGTTGGCTATGCTTCTCACTACACCTTCACTCATCTCTCTTTCTTCCTCCCCCCGATGCATCCGATCCAGAAAAAAAATTGGCGTTTCCCCCGTGGATCGTGAATGCGACCCCCTGGACCAGCTGGGTGCGGAAGCCCTAGCTGACGCGCCACGCGCTGGCAAATGGTTCCAGGCGGAATTCGCCATGCTGGTTCGCAACGCCAGCCCGCCCATTCCTGCTGCAACCATGCAATGATCAAGAAGGGGCTGAAGAGTAGAAGGACGAGCAACCAGAGGCCAAGCGACTCAGACCCCTATGGTGTAGGCCCGGAGCTGCTGAGGCGGTAACGTAAGGATTTAATAACATACAGTCATTCTCTTTAATAACATACAGTCGATGTTTCTTTGGTCATAAATGGTTCGTGTGGCACCTCTCCTAGCTGCTCTGTTGGCCCATAGAAGCTTTGACATCGACCTTGAATGGCCATGATTTTGCTAGGTAGTTCCTGAGCGATCCGCGTCCTGGCCCTGCACCTCCTGCGGATCCTCCCACGGGTATACCCATCTCAGCTCCAGGGGATGTCCACTTGCATGTTGTGTCTCTTTTCTCTCCTCTAGCTCCCCCAGCATGGCTCTTTCCTGGGCTTCCTTCAACGCCGCTCGCTCTGTCTGTGGCCTCACAGAAGCTGCCTTGTCTCACCTATACATCCAGAGCGTCGCCACCAGCCAGTGCATGGCGTTGAGACCCAAGCGTCCTTGCTTACTCCAGAGTCCAGCCACTTCCCTTACCTCGGCTGAGGGAATTCGGTGCAGGCCCTCAGATTTCAGGAATTTTACCCTGATTTTGACTTTGAACCCTGATTTTCAGGGTTTTTTTTTGGACCCAACACTGATGAAAAAGTTTTTTTTTTTTCCTGTTCATACCGGTACTTTATTTCCAGCGAGAAATTTTGTACAAGGCCTGAAATTTCAGCTTAAATTTGGTAGAGGACCCTGATTCGAATCATACAGTAGCGAGGCCATCCTCGATGCTGACTTGGCCTAGATTCAATGGATACAGCAAAATTTTCGCCCGGATTTTCCGCCGTCACCGTCAATCACGGGAAACGGCATCTATGCAAAAAGACGTGGTGTCAACAATAATTGTTAAAATACATGCCTCGGACCAAACCCTGCATTGTTAGAGACCAACTTGGCCCCGGCGGCGTTCCCGCCGTGTCTCACGGAGTCTGCCGTAACTCGTTCATTCAATGCACTTCCTTCCGATCCAACTGTCTGGTTCCTATGATTATTGGTGTCGCTCACTACAGCCGAAATTAGAACACACCCCTCGGACCGCACAGCAGAATGACGGACGCAACTCAATCCAGTCTTGTCTCCGACGCGATCCGAGCCGCATTTCCACTTGGTCCGGGCGTTCAAAACGGACTGTCCAGCCATGAGTTTGTCGTAACTCATTCATTCCTTTCAACCGACCAACCTAAACGATGGTGGCTGCGCGTTTCCTGTCGACTACATTGGCACCGGTTGTACTGGTAGTTCTGGTGGCGCTCCATATGAGAGCCACGTCAGCATTCAATTTCACAGCCTCCGAGTTGGGGGAGGTGATGTGGTCGTTCGACTGCGACTGGAAGGGCAACGACATTGGTCGAGTTGCCGGCATGGGCGACACGTGCGGACCGCAGTGCCGCAGCCGCGCGGATTGCACGCATTTCACGTGGAGTAATTTCAACGGCGGCACGTGCTGGCTCAAGGGGGCGATCAACGCGACTGAACTGGTCCCCGCCACTGGCACGTCGTGCGGTTACCGCGTCCGCGACAGCGCGACCGGTAACCCCTACACGACAGTCAAACAGTACCTCAACCGCGGGTACGCGGCGAGCGTGAAATCCTCGATGCTCGCGTCTCCCGCAGACGCGCCGTATTTCGCGAGCGTGGCGGGATATCCGACGGCCGTGTGGCTCGACAATATGGCGTCCCTAGATTCCATCCCGGGCCACCTGGAAGAGGCAGCAATTCAGGGGGGTGCGAAGGCGATTCTCGTGCAATTCGTGATCTACGATCTCCCGGGCCGCGACTGCAAGGCGTGGTCGTCCAATGGGGAGATTCCCAAGGGCGGCCTCGACACGTACAAGACCAACTACATTGATGTTGCCGTGGCGCGCCTTAAAAAGAAGGCGGCAAACGTGCGTCTGTCGCTCGTGATCGAGCCCGACTCGCTGCCCAACATCGCGACGAACATGGGGATGAATCGGTGCGACGCGACGACGGACAAGGAGTACACGGAGGGCGTCGCGTATGCCATCGCGGAGCTCTCGCAGATCCCCGACACCACGCTCTACCTCGACTCGGGCTTCGGCGGCTGGCTCGGTGAGTGCGTGCATGTGTCGCGTGCGCGGCTCGTTCCGTTCCGTTCCGTTCCAAGATCGCAAAATGTTCCTTCCGTTTCCTCCTCCCCCTTGAGCCGTAGCCCTGCTTCCGTCATTCGCTTCGCACTCTCCCCCTCACCCCTCACTCACTCCTACCCTGCTCACCTCTTAACTCGTGAGCAGGCTGGCCCGAGGGAATGAAGCGCGTCGTGGCGGTGTACATGAAAGTCCTCGCGCGCGCGCGGCAGATCCGCGCGAACGCCAAGATCCGCGGCTTCGCGTCCAACGTGGCCAACTACAGCCCGCTCTTTGCGCGGAGCTCCCCGGCCTTGGAGAAATACCCGCTCGTGAAGAACCCGAGCACGGGCGAGATGTGCTACGACTGGAACCCGTGCATCGACGAGAACCGCTTCACGGCGCGCCTCAATGCGTACCTGGGAGCCGCGGGACTGCCCACCAGGTGGATTGTGGATACGAGCCGGTCCGGCCGCACTGGCATTCGCTACCGCTGGGGGTCGTGGTGCAACGTGAGGGGCGCGGGGATCGGAGAGCGCCCCCAGGAGAATCCCCGTAAAGCTAACCAAGGTGAGCACTTTACATCTCGCATTTAACATCCTTTCTTCGTCTTGCTATGGCTTTCCTTTCCTTCACGTGTTTTTTCTGTCTTTCGGACAATTCTGCTTCGAAATGTCATTACTATCCCCCCGGTGATCACATGCCACCGTTCCTTTCCCACACACCTTGCTTGCCCGACAGTTGATGCTTTGGCTTGGATCAAGCCGCCTGGGGAGAGCGATGGCCACTCGTAAGTCCTGTGATACAGCAACGGGTTCTTAATAGTTTCTCAATATGTAGAGTGGTCCTACTAGTTTCCGTGTCTGGTGTCTTTCTGTCTCTCTGCCTCTGATTCAATCCCTTCACTCATCTCACCTCTGCCTCTTTCAGATCAGATGGTTTGCTACGGTTCTCTTCATATCTTACTCACCTCTTTTCCTTCCTCCCCGGATGAATCCGATCCAGAAAAGCAATCTCTGGCATTTCCCCCGTGGATCGCGAATGCAACCCCAGTGACCCCCTGGGCAAGGACGCCCTGGCAGACGCGCCCCGCGCAGGCCAGTGGTTCCCGGCGCATTTCGCTATGCTGGTCCTTAACGCCTACCCCCCCATTCCTGCTGGAACCATGGACCCGTGCATGTACGAGTTTGATCGGCGGAAGAACCCCGCGTGCGATCAGTTCTGGGAGGATCTGGCCGTCCAATACTCCCCGCAGTACAAGTTTCACCCGGATGAGACCATCTGGCCAATCACGATCGACGAGTACCTCACGCACGTGACAAAGATCTTGGGTAGTAGGGATTGGGGAACCGACGCGCTTGTGTACGACGAGGCCCCGATCACTCCGGACAACCTTAGAACGTTGCTCGGGGATGGGGAGTTGAAGACCGCGCGCGACTTGACTGTCCTGCTGGTTGGGGGTGAAGTTCAGGAGGATACTCCCTGGGTGATGGACTCGAGGCGCAACCCGAAGAACGGAGGCACGAAGCTGTACACCATCATTTATAATCCAAAGCCGGATGACAAAGACTCGTTTGTGGAGATTCAGTATTGGCTTTTCTACCCTTACGTGAGTGCTTCATGTTATAGGCTGGTTTCACGTGTTTCCTCTTCCCCCCTACAACCCCCTCTCCCCCCTTCCTTTCTCCCCCCTCCTCCACCCGACCCTGTGAAAGTTCAGTAATCTGTGACATTCAAGCCATTACCCTATTGCTGTTATTGTTCACCTTTGCAGAACTACGTCTGGCACGATACGTTTGCCTCTGAGTACAACCACATCACAGACCTGGTGGCGATTGCAATTCGCTTCTCAAAGACCGGCCAGCCACAGCGCATTTGGTACGCGCAGCACGGCGACGGCCCCGTGTGGGCGTGGGACACTGGGGCTGACTGGAATGACAAAAAGTCAAAGAACTTTGCTACGGTGATGGGAACACATCCCATTGTGTATGTCTCCAAGGGAAATCACGAGCATTACCCAGCCGCCGGTGAGTAGCTAGTGTAGCAGTCGGCATCTCGGCCGCCCCTTTTCTACGCAAAGGCCAAACCTGGTTGCTGTTCTGTTTTTCTCTCTCATTCGCAGGTGATTTCAATTGCAAGGTTGTCATTTGTTTCGATAACACGGCCAACGGAGGGACCGTATGGGCACCCTTTGACAACCCGAAGTCCTCCTTTGAGTTTGTTCACGTGAAGAGCGATATGTCCGCTTCCATGCTGGATGAGGACCGAGAAAAACTGTTCACAGGGAGAAACAAGTGGATGGCTTTTAATGGGAAGATTGGTGGATACTGTAAGTCGGTTCTGTTTTCAATCACAGTTGGGATGGAAATGCTTTGGGTAAATAGTGCTGACCAAGTTTGCTGCTTTTGTTTTCCAGTCCCGTGGCACACTGGAGTGAGCGCGATATCTTTCCAGAAGAACCAAGGAAGGGTAAGCTTGACTTTGGCTACAATACATTACCTTGTATTTTCTCATATGGTATGTGATGTGACATGGCATGCCATGCAAATCAGGCTCTAACATTTGTTCTTGCTGCCCAACAGTTTACAGCTGAGCTGAAGAATGCGTAAACTCCAAGGCCAAGCCGTATCCGCGAGGTGCTTGCTGCGAGTAATGAGTTGGTGTGAGTGCCTCTGGACAGATGATGAAGTGAGCCTGTTGGTGTTGACCTATATATTCTGTAAACAGGAGTACACTACACAATACATATATACCGTATATATATACACACATAATAGTCCTGATCATTGTGCCAGACAGCATACAGAGCACAAACGCACACAAGCAAAAAAATGCGATTGAATACCCTAACACCTGTCCTTCAGGTAACCAGGGTGTGAATGTGTGAAGTCCATCCATTCCATGGTGAACATGTGACTGTGGAGGGGGCACACCCCACCATACTCTGGATAGTCTCACAATCAGGAACAAGGTGGCGACAAGTTGATGCGGTGCAGTGCGGTGTGATACCGTAAGCCCCCGGATAGTAGACCCCCCGGAATACAAGACCCCCGGGTCTGTATTACGGGGGTGGGTCTTTTATTTTGGCAGGTTTTCACTATGCCCCCCCCCTAGAGGGGTAAACATTACTAGACCCCCCCTCTGTGGTTGATAAGTGTTTTTAATGGAAATAAGATGCCTTTTCAAGTGGTTCACTGGCAAGACAAGCATGACACCAATGCAATGTATTCACGGTTCGCAAGTTTGACACCAAGGGCAACATGGGTTGAGAAACACATAAAAATAGCCAGTCATCCTCGCCCGCAACCCACTCCTCCACTTCCTCTCCCTCATAGCGGCCTGCTGCCCACCAGTCGTCTCCATCCTCGCTCCACTCATCCGCACCTCCCATCTTTGCATCTGCCTCACCCCCCTCCTCGTCCGGAGCCATCCCATCCCCTTCCTCGGCAGCGGCATCCACCACATCCTCCTCCCCTGCAAGCCCTTCCTCCTCGTCCTCTGCCTCGTCGTCCTTGGTGGCGGGGGGCTCAGGGGCGTGCGAGGGGTCTTCGTAGAACGGGTTGGGGTGCGCACCGTCCTCCTCCTCCTCCAGCACATCCTCCAGCACCTCCACTTCCGCTTTGTCCCGCAGGTGAGCGAGGATCAGATGATCCTCGCTCCCGTCTTCTGCACTGGAGATGCCGCAGGTGAGGAATGATTTCTTCACCAGCTCCTCTGGCACATCAGCCCATGACTCGACGATCCACTTCAGGATCACTTCAGGGGGGGGCTTCTTCAAGTTCCCTGCAGTGCTGTAGCGGTGGCGCACACCGCACTTGAAACTGCGGTTGATGGAGACGTCAAGCGGTTGCACCAGGGGGGTGCAACTGCCCAGGATGACGGCACGCGTCACCTTAAACATCTTCAGTGTTTGCCCCACGGATTCCGTCAGGCGCCCATTGTACGAGTCGAAGACAAGGAGCGCTTGCTTGCGCCGTCCGCCCTCGTCCCGCAGCGGCTTCAAGAAGGGGACGAGCACCTGTGTTGTCCAATCCTGGACAAGGCGCTCGTCCATCCAGCCCTTCTCTTGGGCGCGGATGACGATACCTGCACACGCCACATCCGTAAATCAGTAACGGAAAAACATTATCAACACACGGAATCAACGACAACAAGACATCCGGCTCACCTGGTGGCACCACGATGCGTGGCACCATCTTCCGCTTGAAGATGACGTACAGGGGAAGCTTCAGGCTGTCAGCCGTCACTGCCGACATGACAGTGACGCGCTCCTTCTCGTAGCCCGTCGTCCTGACATGTACCGTGCGGGCGCCTTTCATTTTGAGGGTGCGTTCCGCTGGCATCTCCAACCAGAGCGGGGTCTAGTCGGCATTCACGATGAGGTTTAGGGGAAACCGATGAACCATGCGCATCTGGCAGACGAACTCCCAGAAGGACTCCACCTTCCCCTTGCAATCTGTTAAGAACACAATGTCAGATTTATATGACAGAGCTACTGTAGGCTATAGTGGGGTAGCACATATGGGGTACAGTTTTCTAGGGTTTGCATTTGTACCCAACTTTCCCTTAGTCATTCTCATTCCTCGTTTCTTATCATGGTATCGAGCAGGTTCCCTAGTGGGAACGATTCCTAGGGCCCACCACCACGAAATTTTTTTTCCTGCCCGGAGCGCGCTTCGCTCAGGCCCGAGTCGCGCCCTGTGTGCTCCCCCCTACCGTCGCGCCCTCGCTAGGCCCCTCACGGCCCCGTCGCGTCGCCCTTAGCGGCCCCCTCACGGCTCGTCGCGCCGCCCCTTACGGCCCTTCGTGCCGCCCTTACGGCCCGTCGCGCCCGTCGCGCCGCCCTTACGGCCCCTCGTGCCGCCCCTTACGGCCCCTCGCGCCGTCCCTTACGGCCCCTCGCGCGGCCCCTTACGCCCCTTACGGCCCCTCTCGCGGCTCCTCACGGCCCCCTACGGCTCGTCGCCGCCCTCCGCGGCCCCGCCACCTACCTGTGCGGCCCCGCCACCTACCTGCGGCCCCGCCACCTACTAGCGGCCCCGCCACCTACTAGCGGCCCCGCCACCTACCTGCGGCCCCGCCACCTACCAGCGGCCCCGCCACCTACCCGCGGCCCCGCCACCTACCTGTGCTGGCCCCGCCACCTACCTGCGGCCCCGCCACCTACCAGCGGCCCCGCCACCTACCGGCGGCCCCGCCACCTACTAGCGGCCCCGCCACCTACCTGCGGCCCCGCCGCCTCCTCTCAGCGGCCTCGCCGCCTCCTCCCAGCGGCCCCGGACGCCGCCCTCTCAGTGTGGCCCCGCCGCCTCCTCTCAGCGGCCCCGCCGCGCCGCCAAGCAGCCGAGCCGCCCAGCCGCCGAGCCGCCCGGCAGCCGAGCCGCCCAGAAGCCGAGCCGCCGAGCCGCCCAGCAGCCGAGCCGCCGAGCCGCCCAGCAGCCGAGCCGCCGAGCCGCCCAGCAGCCGCGCCGCCGAGCCGCCCTGCAGCCGAGCCGCCGAGCCGCCCAGCAGCCGAGCCGCCGAGCCGCCCTGCAGCCGAGCCACCCGAGCCGCCCTGTCCGGTAAGAGCAGCGCCTCTTTCACAGCACTGCCCTCACCCTACTGTTTGCGCTGCTAGTCTACTGCTGTCATGGCTACCCCTAGTGTCCTCGCTTTTGACGCTGAGGGTCGGGCCATTGACTTTGACGTCTGGATAGATGACCTGCAGCTTTTCTTACAGTGCGACAGAGCAGACGGCCTCTCCCTCTTTGACCTCACTTCTGGTGCCTCCCCTGCCCCCGCTGCTGATGCTGACGCCACTGTTCGCTCACAGTGGGCCACGCGCGATGCTGCTGCACGTCTTGCTGTGCGTCGCCACCTGCCTACCTCTGAGCGTGCGCACTTTAGCCAGTACAAGAGTGCTCACACCTTGTACGACGCTGTAGTTGCGCGCTACTCCTCCCCTGCCACTGCTGCACTGAGCCGCCTCATGCTACCGTACCTCTTCCCTGACCTTGCTACCTTTCCCACAGTCGCTGACCTCATTACGCACCTCCGCACTAGTGACACTCGCTACCGCGCTGCGCTTCCTGCTGAGTTCTGCGCCAAGAACCCCCCCCCCATGTACATCACCCTCTACTACATTGTCACCCGGCTCCCTGACTCCCTTCGCGTAGTCAGGGACCACTTCCTCTCAGTCTGCCCCACCACTCTCACCGTTGACCTCCTCGAGAAGTCCCTCCTAGCAGCAGAGAAGAGCATAGTCGCTGTAGGAGCCTCTCGTGGTGACCCTCGCACCCCCATCTTTGAGGGGTGTTCCCCCTCCCCCCTTTTTCCCTCTGTTGCCTTTGCTGCTGCGGCCGACCTCGTTGGGCTTGAGTCGGTCGGTGCGGCGTCTACCCCTAGCGGGAGACGCCGCCCTGGCAAGGGCAAGGGGGGCAGGGGCACTGGAGGAGCTAGCGGGGGCGGTGGAGGCGGCGGTGGAGGCAGTGGAGGGGGTGGGGGTGGTGGTGGGGGTGGAGGTGTCGGTGGCGGCGGTGGAGGCGGAGGCGGCGGCGGCGGTGGCGGTGGGAGCGGAGGTAGCGGCGGTGGAGGAGGCGGCGGCGGAGGAGGTGGAGCAGGTCGGGGTGGCGCTGCGCAGAGGGTCGGCTCCGGTGGTGGTCAGCGCCAGCAGCAGCAGCAGCAGCAGCAGCAGCGCACTCGTGACATCCCCCCCCCTCAGCAGCTCTGTGAGTGGTACGCTGCACGCCAGCGGGGTGGGGGTACTGGTCCGTGCACCTACGTCCTCCGCACCGGCGACCGCGCGGGTGACCAGTGCGGGGGTGCGCACTCCACCCAGCGCTGCTTTGGCCGCCTGACGGACGCTTGGCGTCACCAGTTCCCTGAGGCCACTGAGATCCCCCGCTGGGGTGAGCTGTCTAGGGCGGGTGTCGCTGTCTTTGACCTTGACTTTGATGCTATTCTTGCTGCTATGTATACTGTGACTATTAGTGATGAGGGTGACTGTTACCGGTGTTTTCCGCCCGACCCGGGCATTGAGACTGCTGCTCTAGGTACTGGTGAGGCTGCTGCTCTAGGTGCTAGCGAGGCTGCTGCTCTAGGTGCTAGTGCGTCTGCTTCCTCAGGTGCTGGTGAGTCTGCTCTCTCAGGTACTGCGTCGGCTTCGGCCTCCCACACCTTCACCCTTGACTCGGGGGCTTCTCGCTCCTTCTTTCGAGACCGCACCACACTCACGCCGCTTGGCCGGCCAGTTGCGGTCTCTCTGGCAGACCCCTCTGGGGGTCCTGTCCTTGCTCACTTCTCCACTGTCCTCCCGTGTCCGGCGGCCCCCTCTGGCACCCTGTCTGGTCTTTACCTCCCCTCGTTCTCTACGAACTTGGTGAGTGGTGCTGACCTACAGGATGCGGGGGTTCACCAGTTCACTCCTGCGAGTCAGCGGGTGACCCACTGCACGGACGCTCGGACTGGCCGACACCTGGCCACGTTTACCCGTCGGCCGGGGTCGAGCCTGTACACCCTGACCACTGCGTCTCCTCCAGTCACTGCGTCTGGTCAGGTAGCTGCATCGGGTCAGGTGTTTGCTGCAGCGTCCAGGTCTGGTCCTGAGTCTGCCCCCTGTTCGTGTCGCCTCCTGTCTCACGAGACTCTCCTCTGGCACCACCGCCTTGGTCACCCCTCCCTGCTTCGTCTCCGAGGCATGGCCTCCCGTGTCCTTGTCTCTGGTCTTCCCCGGTCCCTCCCTCCCCTTCCTCCGGGGCCTGGCCCTACCTGCGTCCCCTGTGTCGAGGGGCGGCAGCGGGCTGCCCCTCACTCCTCCCAGTTTCCTCCGACAGAGGCCCCGCTGCAGACGCTTCACATGGACGTGTGGGGCCCGGCCCGCGTCCGTGGACAGGGTCACGAGCGCTACTTCCTGCTGGTGGTTGACGACTACTCGCGTTACACCTCAGTCTTCCCCTTGCGCAGCAAGGGTGATGTCACTGAGGTGTTGATCGACTGGATCCGCGCAGCTCGTCTCCAGCTCAGGCAGAGCTTCGGCTCGGACTTTCCTGTTCTGCGTCTGCACTCTGACAGAGGTGGAGAGTTCTCCTCTGGCCTTCTGCGAGCCTACTGTCGTGCGCGAGGCATCCGCCAGACCTTCACGCTTCCGGACTCTCCACAGCAAAATGGGATTGCTGAGCGCCGCATTGGCATGGTCATGGACGTCGCCCGTACGTCCATGATGCATGCGGCTGCCCCCCATTTTCTGTGGCCGTTTGCGGTTCGGTACGCGGCGCATCAGATCAACCTTCACCCTAGGGTCTCCAGGCCGGAGACCTCCCCAGCTTTGCTGTGGACGGGGAAGGTTGGCGATGCGTCTGCGTTCCGTGTCTGGGGATCTCGGGCGTTTGTCCGCGACTTGTCTGCGGACAAGCTGTCCCCTCGTGCTGCTCCTTGCGTCTTCCTTGGCTTCCCCCCTGACGCGCCAGGGTGGCAGTTCTACCACCCCACCTCTCGCCGTGTTCTGTCCTCCCAGGACGTCACGTTTGACGAGTCGGTCCCCTACTACCGCCTCTTCCCCTACCGCACTCCGTCCCTA